GTGTGTGTATAGTCTATACACACATACATATGTGTGTGCGCGTGTGTGTGTGGGAACTGTTACCGAAATTAAATTGTTTAATTATAATTGTACTAGTTTTTGCCCGCGACTTCGTCCGCGTTAGTTTGGTCAAGAGTAATATATGTAGGTATAGCTGACCAGGCGAACTCTATTCCGTCTTAGAGGCCATAAATAATCAGGTTTTTCCTGTTTCAATCAAACAGAATGTTGACATTATAGTTAGTTGACATTATAGTTAGTTGTCAAATCTAATGTCAATAAAAAAACGTTTGTATGGGAAATAGAAAAGGGATGGTTTTAGGGTTTTCCCGGCAATTATTCAAATTTTTCTCACCTTTCCTGGACTTTCAGGAGTATTTCAAGACTAAAATTAGCCAAATTGGTTCAGCGGTTCTCGAGTTTTAGCGAGACTAAGGAACAACAATCCATTTTTATATATATAGAAGATAGAAGATTATAAAAATGTTGGTTTTCTACCTATTGAGTTTTTAGATATAACATATGCGTTAATGTCATAATTATCATTTTGACCTTTTTAATATTTTTCACAATTGTGATGTAGTAAATAATTTTGGATATAATGAACATTTTACTAAAAATATTATCTACTGTTTACCCAAAGTCCTATGACTGTACCTTTTTATAATTATTTTTTTAATATTGATATGTTTTTAGACGGAGATAACGCAACATTTAGGTATCATATATGTATTTGAAAATTATAAATAGTGGCTTCAGACATTTCGTTAGACTACTGGAAGTAACGCTGAACATTGAAAAACAAATCTAAATCCGTACCTTGCAATAAAACTTCAAAATGCCTGTATTTACTTTCACTCTGATGGTATGAAGACTATTATTAAACGATTGCTATTTATAGGTAACCGTTATCACTGCTCGCGTGCCTAACAATCATTTGTAACAGTTCACAACATTGTCCCTTTTTATTTGCATAATTTTTTTATTCATCATTATTTTTGATAAATATGTATGTTTACATAACCATTATCAACTGTACATCATTAATTTAATGTACTGAAATATTTTTTTCAAATAAAATTAGTTCAGATTGAAGAATAGTTTTATCAAATTAACATTTTTAAACAATTATACACTACAACCGTAGTTTTGTACATCTAGAATATTAAATATATCATATATATGTTGTTTGTATAATATACATTAGTAATATTAATTCCGAACATACATAAAAATCTTCGTATGATTTATTCCCATAATAAAAGTCGTTTTTGATGATCGGCTCAATATTTATTGATAATGTTTTCACGTGTTCCATTATAATGAAATAGTTACAATCAAATTATATATAGAGTGGCAACTAGAGGTTCCAGGAAAACTACGAAACTTACTTATATGTATATTAAAATAAGAATTACATGTTAAAACTTATAACCTATACCTAAGACTACATGATCGCCCCGATGTTAGGATAGCAATACCATTCCATAGCTTGTATCAGGAATCTTCTGGTTCACACGGCTTGGTGTTCGTTCCGCGAAGTCAGCGGCGTCACTCGTTATATATTTTATCTATACAACGATGTTGCCCCGGCGATGTTCATTTATTTCTTCATATGTAGCGCGTACGTAACTCGTGTTCCATTATAATAAAATTAGTTACAATCATTCCAATGTTCTGATTACATTATACATATAATAAAATTCTTAGCTTTAATAAATATGGTAATTTTGTATGTTGGTATGTATTATTGGTTGGTTACATTTGGGCCTTAGAATTTTGCGTTATTTTTATACAATTTTATTTTAATTATTTTAAGTCACGTCATTGGTTTTCGCAAGCGAATTAAATATTATTTCTGCATAAATATATATTTAAGAAAGTTAAATATTTTCGGATATACTACGCGTTTTTTATTATGTTAAGCTATATACACTTTAGGCTTCAGTTACTTTTCAACAACCGTGATCACGGGCAGACGTGAATGTCTGTCAGTTGGTCTTGTTATTTGTCATCTATCGCCAATAATTTCTTAATATCCTAGCGTACCGTAAAATATATTATATTATAAGTCCAGGTTTCCTCACGATGTTTTCCTTCTCCGTATGTCAGTGGTGTCTAAATACTCTTAGAAAGTACATATTTCTCTGAAAAATCACAGTAGTACTTATCAGGTTTCGATCCCGGGTCCTCAAGCGTGGGAGGCGGGCCTTTAACCTCTAGGCCAAAACGACCTTTAATGACTGTAATATTAAGAAATATTTCATAGTATTTACATTGTTATTTCTTCTCCATTCTCCAACTAACTTTTCTTTAACCATCATATATCTCTGCCACTTATTATTTGAGATATAAATAACCATAATCAGAATAGTTTCACATAAATGCATCTTAGTACACATTGTTATTTATTTAATAATAATACACAAATAAAACTACATATTATATCCTAATTCTAAAAATCTTCGAATCGAGTTATGCCTCTTGTATTTCCCTGAAGTAAACTGTGTAAAAAACAACTTAAAAACTGGTAGAACTTCAATCAGACGAATGAGTAATATAATATCAAATTATAAGTTTGAAATCACCGACCCGTCTTGAGTAAAAGTGGTGATTAATGCTCAAACCTTCTCTATGTGAGATGAGGTTTTTGCTCAGCAGTTGGCTCTGATAGGCTGATGATGATTAAAGCCATTTTAATGATGTTTTTATCTATATTAAGTCGAACAAACCACTTGATGTTTATTGAAGACAAATAATATATATTAGTAAGATACAAATATATATAAATATAATAACCATAGTGAGTATGATCGTGTGACCTACATACATGATGCACTGTGATGGATAGCCTGTTCAAAAGCGCATACACAAGGATGCTTAGTAGAAGTATTCATCGACACTACATACGTATCGTTTGCCGTTTAAACGTGATGACAAACTTGGGTTAAACGGTTGTGTTTAAATGAAAACGTTATATAGATACGTTTGATGATTTAAAAATAATATTTTAGGTTTTAATTCCGAGAGCTAATTTCTACTTTTGTTTTAGTCAATTTTAAAATTACTATGGATTTTTCTATTAGATAACTAAACTTTATATACATTTTTGTTCATATTGTTATTTGCTAGAATAAAGGAAATCAAAATTTAGACACGTGAACTTTTTCTGGTAATGAGCTCTAAGACTTACGAGTATGCATTTAAATTTTAAATGAAAGTAATATTATTCGGATCATTGTACGCGTATTTCAAATTTTGTTAGGTAGGGAGAGGAGCTTGGACAGTAGAGGAGCATTTAAAGCGCGTTAGATAGGGGTCCCTTAAACCTACACCTGGGTCGCTAGTCCCAGTCACTGTTGAAGCTCCTCTCACTACAACGATGGACCCGGCACCCACACCGTGAATACATGGAATGATGAGAAGTTTCGTCTCATTGTAAAAACTACATACTCCCGACGTTTTGGTTACTTTTCAACCACCGTGATTAGGGACAGACGAGGTGTGAATATCTGAAATAATAAAATATGCGGAATAATCCGAATAATATTAGTTTCATTTAAATTTCTGATCCTTGAAATTCGGGTCAAAATAAAACAAAAAGTACCTGCTTTCATAACATCATTGAAAACCTTAATACAAGCAATTTTTATAACTGTTCCACGAATAAAGAATCGAAAGCACTTTAATTATAACACGAGTAGCGTTTAACTTGAACTCAAACAGTAAGTCAGTTAAATAAATGAAAGTAGATTCAAAAAGCTTTTAACGGATACAAACATTTATTCAATTTAGTTATTTTTAAACTTTTCATGGCATCATTTATTTTTATATACAAAAATATAGATAATATAATTTAAATATTTATTTAAATTAATCTTTAAATTATTGACAAATATTCCTCGTCTCTTGTGTTATTAATAATTTGTTTAATTTATTTTTCATTAGTGAAACAGTCGGTTTAAATTAACCAAAATAAATATACAACAGAATCACGTAAAGTCAAGGAAAAATATTTTATAAACTATCAATTAGAACCGACTTTGCTTAATATTGCTTATATCTTTTATGTATAATTAATTATCCCTACTAATTTTATAAATCCGAAATTAACTCCTTCTCTTTCTATATGTTACGTTTATATGCCTAAACTGTCTAACCGATTTTTAAAAATTTTAGTATAAAGTTGGATAAAACAATGAAGAAGGACATAGAATGCCTTTTATCAAAATCCCGATTTAAAGCTAGTTAAATTGCAGACCATATTTTTGTATCGTAATACCTACCAATAATTAAAATAATGAGATCATAAAATATATCATCCCGACCCAGGGCCCGATTCCGATATCGAAGCCAATCCCAAAACTGCACGGGCGAAACCGTGAAATGCAGTTAGGGTGCAATGACCGTAGTGATATTATTGTAAATTTATCTCAATCACGACACAATTCCAAAACCACACGGGTGCAACCATGAAGTTTGAATTCAGACGCCGTAGCGATTTTTTAAACTTTTATCCCGATACCTATCCCGAAACTACTCGGGTGGAACAATTGAGTAGTGGCAGACAACAACTTTGAAGTTCACTGGGACGGAGTCGCGGGCAAACCTACTATATTTGCATATTTCAAAAATAGTCTTCCATTTTATATTTCTAATCATTATATTTCTGCTAAGAGTAGTAGAAGAAGTAGAGCAGAAGGTGGTATGTACTAAAGGAAAATACCAAGTAACTCGTTTCATACAAATACTAGTTTATAATTAAATAATCTTTTATTTTATAACCAATAGTGTCTGAGAACTAGATTCGATTTTTCTCTAACTTTCTCCTTAGAGCTATAACAGGGAAGGTAATTAAAATCAATTTTGAATATAAGTGTCTCACTTATACTTATACTTATCTTTATACTTTTATATAAAATGGTATTACGCTGTTATATAGTATTTCTTACTTGATTTATTTCACGTTACAAAACTATATGTTTCTTTTTCAGGTCAAAATGAATGCTCAAGATGGCGGCGAGGTGGCCGCCACAACACCCGTCACTAACGCAACACCTGACGCAGGCCCCCTCATTCCGGTGCCCGTGGCCCCCCGCAAGCCGCCGCGGAGGGGCCCTAAGGTCCCACAGGAGAGGCCCAAGAGGGCCCTCTTCTGTCTCACCCTCAAGAATCCACTACGAAAGCTCTGCATTAACATCGTCGAATGGAAGTATCCTTTTAAAAATAACAAGAATATTATTGTCTTTAAGACAAATAATTTAATTTATAGTTTTTTTAAGTCAGCAAATGTATTATGTATGTGATTTGTTTGCTACATATAGTAAAATAAATATCCAATTCAAAATAACGATCTAATAAATGATATAACATGAAACATATAAGTACATTCAAGATCTTCATTACTTTCACACTTAAATATTCCTCTGAAATCCAATCGTTTCTGATAAATGTATTAAAAAGCGTACCTGCAGCACAAGCAGTGACCTATATTACTTTAAAAACCAATACCTCTGGCGCTGAGCCAACAGATACAAGCTATATTCACTTGTTTACTCACATCAAACTTCCGTTGTGACATCTGTTACAATAAACACATCTACATTAGACGACCAAACTAAGAAATCAAATTAATATAAACTAAATGACAATATAATTAAGGTATATTTTTAATTATTCACTGCATTCTCTAATAGTTAATCTAAAAAGAAATTATTTAAGCTATACTAAATTGAACTTAATCTCATATATATACATATATCTATATATATAAAAATGGATTGCTGTTCCTTAGTCTCGCTAAAACTCGAGAACGGCTGAACGGATTTATCTTATCTTAGTCTTGAAATGTTTGTGGAGGTTCAGGGAAGGTATAAAAGGTGAGAAAATTGGAATAATTGCCGGGAAAACCCTAAAAACAGCCCTTTTCTATTTCCCATACAAACGCTTTTTTTGACATTAGATTTGACAACTAACTAATATGTCAATCATTCTGTTTGATTGAAACAGGAAAAACCTGATTATTTATGGCCTCTAAGACGGAATAGAGTTCACCCGGTCAGCTATACATATATTACTAATGAGGAAACTAACGCGGACGAAGTCGCGGGCAAATACTAGTCTTTATATATATGATTCTTCTGTGAGTGTGTATGTCACTAAACTTCTCTCAAACGACTGGACCGATTTTGATGAAATTGTTTGTGTGTGTTCAAGGGGATCTGGGAATGGTTTAGATCACAATTTTGTCCGCAGGACATGTTTCTTTAATTAATTTTTAATTTATTAGTAGTTGTTGATACAAACGGTTTTTTTTTTGACATTGGATTTGAAAAGTAACTAATATGTCAATCATTCTGTCGCACTTCAAAACACGGAGATGTATGGCTTTAATAGGTAAACTCCAATAATATAAATAAAAAACCGTTACAGATATTTCTTGATTATAGGACGATACGAAGTTCGCCGGGTCTTCTAGTTAATATTATAAATAAGAACAAATGCAGGTTTTATTAAGGTTTAGAACGCTTTGGCAACGAATGCTTTCAACTGTGTTTTCAATATATATGAACGTGGATTTAGAGCATTGATTTGTTAAACATTGAACGAAATTGAGTTAAATTGAAATGAAACTAAGTTTTTCGGATGCAACGAGTTTTTTATTTTAAACTACATACTGCCGACGTTCCTGTTACTTTGCAGCAACCGTGAAACAGCCTATACAGGGTGACTGGTGAATTACTATCGATATTTGAGGACGTGATATTTGACGATCATATATGACAAAATAAAAATTAATATAACATAAATATTAATAAACTTCTAAGTAAAGTTAACCAAAAGTTATGTAATTAATTACGCATCGTATGAACACCCTACAGATTAGGTATACACTCACACTCACACATACGCGAGCGGGGCGTGGTGTTGTATCAGCACGCCGCCGCACGCGCCCACACTCGGAACACTTGGACCGTGTACACACTTTATTTATTTATACGGAAATTTGGTCAAAAATTAAGTACCTATTTTTTTTACATAATTCGAATGAGAATCATGTACTGAGTATGCTCCTTAAATATTGATAGTAATTCACCAGTCCCCCTGTATATTTATACTCTATCGTGCAATTATAAAACAAACAAAAACAGTGTAGTATTCGAAAAAGTTAGTTTCATCACAGAAATTGCTAATTTTCATTGATTTCCTAATTTTTATACATAAGAAAGACCCATAGAAAAATTATTAATCCCAGATCGTTACTGCACGAAATTGGAATCAAGTTATAGCTAAAATACATTGTTCAGTCATGCAATACATTTCCTTTGTCTTGGTTTTTCATGAAATAATTGTTTCGATTTGTTGTCAAATCTTGACATAAAATAATTAAATTTCCTTATACTTCTTTATGCCTCAATACCTTTTTAAACACAAATAGTTATTGATTCTAGTTTTCAATGTCCTTTCAAACTGAAAAAAACATTTTTTTACTTGTTAGAGATGCATACAACTCTTTCGATTTTAAAAGAAGGATTGAATTCAAATTATTTTCTCCGTAGTGTATTACCTTTTTAATAGTCAAAGGAAAGGACAAAAATTCACTGACTTTTTACGAAGATACTGCGACGACCTCAAATGGTCTTGATTTCATCGAAAAACAAATAAACTCAATATAAAAGAATAGGATTCGTTGTATATAATAATAGATATAAAAAATATCAAAGGAATGTAAAACTTATCTCAAGTTGATCCGCAAGGCACGACGCCCTTTCAAAAATAAACAAATAAACTAGAAGTATGTAAAAATGGCGCGAAGCCAAAATACCGCGTGTATGAATGAATACAAACATATACGAATTACCGTTCAGGAAACAATGAAATATTTTTTGAAAGCGGAAATAATCTAAATAGCAAACATTTTTTGTTAAAAAAAACATTTTAATGATCTATTTTTTGTACACTATTTTTAAAACTATGACTAAGCTATGGTTGAAGACTTTTTTTAAATACGACTTCATTGAGATATTTTATGAACAAGATTTGTTCCAAGTTGGACATATTATACCCCTACCACTATCTTTTAATGTAGTAAATAGAAAAATTATTCAACCTCAATCCCTACTAATATTATAAATACGAAAGTAACTCTGTCTGTCCGTTACGCTTTCACGCCTAAACCACTGAACTAATTTTAATGAAATTTGAGAACAGAGATAGAATTGACTCTGAGAAAGAACATAGGATAGCTTTATCCCAGACTTTTGAAAGGTTCCCTTAGAAACGCGATATAAGCGAACTCCACGCGGACGAAGCTGCGGGCGGAAAGCTAGTGTTATATAATCGAATGGTCCAAAACTCCCAAATTTTTTCTTTACATCATCAAAACACCAAAAATCTATAAAGTATATTGAATTTCACAATAATTATTTCAATAATACATAACTCAACATATTTTGTGACGCTGGTATTATGTAGATTTTATCGTATTACCTCCTATTAGATGTTAACAAAACTATATTTATTTCACTCACAAACATATGTACCTCGCGTTGTTTTATGACACGTAATAAATCCCCACTTATAAATAAATATGTACGTGGATTTAGAGCATTGATTTGTTAAACATTGAACGAGATTGAGTTAAATTGAAATGAAACTAAGTTTTTCGGATGCAACGAGATTTTTATTATTTTAAACTACATACTGCTGACGTTCCTGTTACTTTGCAGCAACCGTGAAACAGCCTATGTATGTATACTGTATCGTGCAAATATAAAACAATAAAAACAGCGTAGTCTCCGAAAAATTTAATTTCATCACACAAATTGCTGATTTTCATAAATTTCCTTGTATTTTTACAACAGTCCCATAAAAAAAGATTAATCCCAGATCGTTACTGCACGAAATTGGAATCAAGTTATAGCTAAAATACATTGTTCAGTCATGCAATACATTTCTTTTGTATTGGTTTTTGACGAAAAAATTGTTTCAAATGTTGACATAAAATAATTTAATTTCCTTATACTTCTTTATGCCTCAATATCTTTTTAAACACAAATAGCTATGGAATCTAATTTTCAAAGTCCTTTCAAGCTGACTATACATTTTATTACATGTAACATATGCATACAACTCTTTACATTGTAAAAGAAAGATTGAATTGAACTTATTTCACCCGTAGCGTATTACCTTTTTAATAGTCAAACGAAAGGACAAAAATTCACTGACTTATTACAAAGATACTGCGACGACCTCAAATGGTCTTAATTTCATCGAAAAACAAATAAACTCAATATAAAAGAATAGGATTATTTTTATAGAATAATAGATATAAAAAATATCAAAGGAATTTAAAATTTATCTCAAGTTGAGCCGCAAGGCACGACGCCCTTTCAAAAATAAACAAATAAACTAGAAGTATGTAAAAATGGCGCGAAGCCAAAATACCGCGTGTATGAATGAATACAAACATATACGAATTACCGTTCAGGAAACAATGAAATATTTTTTGTAAGCGGAAATAATCTAAATAGCAAACATTTTTTGTTTAAAAAAATATTTCATAATGATCTATTTTTTTGTACACTATTTTTAAAACTATGACTAAGCTATGGTTGAAGACTTTTTTAAATACGACTTCATTGAGATATTTTATGAACAAGATTTGTTCCAAGTTGAACATATTATACGCCTACCACTAGCTTTTAATGTAGTAAACAGGAAAATTATTTAACCTCAATCCCTACTAATATTATAAATGCGAAAGTAACTCTGTCTGTCTGTTACGCTTTCACGCTTAAACCACTGAACTGATTATAATGAAATTTGAGAACAGAGATAGAATTGACCTCGCAAAAGAACATAGGATAGTTTTTATCCCAGATTGTTGAAAGGTTCTCTTGGAAACGCGATATAACCGAACCCCACGCGGGCGAAGCTGCGGGCGGAAAACTAGTCTTATATAAACGAATGGTCCAAAACTCCCTATTTTTTGCTTTACATAACACCAAAAATCTATAAGGTATATTAAATTTCACAAATATGTAATTATTTCAATAATAACTCAACATATTTTTTTGATGCTGGTATTATGTAGATTTTATCGCATTACCTTTTATTAGATGTTAACAAAACTATATTTATTTCACTCACAAACATACCTCGCGTTGTTTTATGACACGCAATAAATCCCCACTTATAAATACAGATGGAAATCAAACTAAATTGTTTATTAATGATTCAGATAAAGACGTTCTTGTTTCCTAATTGTTTGTTTTGGCTCGAGCTTCCCTTAGTCACTGCGAAATGGATTTTCGAAATATATAACTATTTAAATGATTCATGATTATTCCTAGATTAATTGGGGTGAATGATCTGTTTGTAGACTTATTCATTATTTATATTTTAGGCTTTAAGTTAAAATTAGGGAATCATCATAAAATACCGCTGATTCGGCACCCAAAATAATTCCCAGGTCCATATTCTAAAGAATCATACAGTACTCTCCTTGGTAGCCTTTCCTATAATTAAGAAAATTAAGCATTGCTTTAAGAATAAGATTCTCCCGGGTAACTTTAGTATCAAGATATTTATATTAAATTCAGTCTGTAAAAGGCAATCTAAATAATTGCTTCTCTAATTAAATATCCATTATATTTGAATGAAATCTATTTTTATCAAACCCCTCGCATAAAACTTGACTAGTTAATAGTTTATTTTTAACTTAATAATAATAGATATATTTCCTCAACTCTATATATTAATAAAGACCGTTTGAATGGATGATTCTGACAACTATCTTCGCTAACTGCATCGCCCTGGCTGTCTACACTCCCTACCCCGCTAGTGACTCCAACTACACGAACTGGGTTCTGGTAAGTTTATCTTATAGTTAAGATTTACCCTTTCCATAGTACCACCCTTTCCTGAACTTTCCCTATTCCCACCCTTTTCTTCTTCCTCAAAAATCAAGATCAGCAACGCATTGGCAACATCTATTAAGTTGCAGATGTCCATCGTTTGCCACCTTTCTTATATAAAAAGAGGATTTTTTTTATGTACACTAAGACCCAGTTTTACCAACCAATGTTTGTTTAGTCTAATCACAGCATTTACTAACCAACCTACAAAATTATAAATATCTGTTAAAATATTTACGTCCCACGATGACAAAATAACAACGCATTATTAAACGATATGTCAAATGACCGACTACCAAATTATTCGTTCTTGTTATAAGACGACCAAATGGAAACTATAGCGTTTAATACGGCACGTTTGCCACGATGCACCACTTTATACTTTGATCGTGTATATCCCTCGATACGTCACTTGTAAGGTAATACGACCAAATTTTATATATCGTTGGTTGCATACATTTAGCACACAAAAAGCTTTCTTTTGAATTTACTAGGTGTAACTTGTCAAAATCGTGTTGTCAATAAATTGTGTTATATATTATTGTGTTAAAAATATAGAGATAAATTGTGTTCAAATTATAAGAAATAAAAAGAAAACTTAATTTGCAAAGTCATAGAAAAGCTGGAGTCAAAACCATCACTCTAAATGAAATTTTAATTCACTTTATTAATAATAACAAGGAAATAGTCGAAACTGACAAAACAGATGACGTTACTATGGTTACAAGAAATCAGGGCCGTGTTTGGACAATTGAGTTTTGACAATGCATTAACATTCTGTTAGCCATTAGACGGAGCTCCAGAGCAGGAATTAATATTAGTGGCTTGTTAAGACATTTAAACGGACATTTGTGCATCTAACAGAGCATCAAACGCCTTAAGACGATGTTACTTATTTAACATTGATTGGTGAAACTGGGTCTTACCTTGCTTAATGCCTATGTTTATATACATATTTTTGCTACTATGTATTGTTTCTCTGTATGTTGTGATAAATCTTTGAAACCGCTGAGCCGATTGTGACGGAATTATCGTTAATAGATAGCCGATATTATAAAGAGTAATTAAGTTTATCTACTTATTTTAAAGGAAAAAAATATTTTATTTTATTTATAAAAAATACTATTCCTTGCAGAGAAAGTCGCAAATTAAGCTAGTTTTTTATATGAATACATAATTACTATTTAACTTAATAGAATTATGTTGTTGAAATTTAATTTCAAGAACATTGACACGTTTGTTTTATAATGTTTTCAGGAGAAAATCGAATACATCTTCCTAGTGATATTCACCGGAGAGTGTGTTATGAAGATAATAGCGTACGGCTTCGTCATGCATCCAGGGTCTTACCTGAGGAACGGCTGGAACTTGTTGGATTTCACCATCGTGGTTATCGGGTGAGAAAAAAAATGTTACAAACACAACTGCGTACACTATCACAAATATATATAAATTGTTATCAATATAATAAAAACTTAATTTGGTTTACAGAAATTACAAGTACAGTAACTTTGATTTGGTATTTAAAAATTATTTAGGGTAACTATGTAGTTAAAAATAAATTGGCAAAGCAAATAAACTAAATTAAAAAATTAAAGTTGCTTATATAAATTATATGTAGTTAGAAATAAGTTAGATACCCATATATAAGAAAGTGCATTTAATGAATTAAAACTGGTATAGTATTAAGTTATGAAATATAAAGTTTTTTAATATTTATTTATTTACTAGAAGACCTGGCGAACTTCGTACCGCCCTATAATCAAGAAATATCTATTACGTTTTTTTATTTATATTTTTGGTGTTTACCTATAAGCCAGAAATCTCCGTGTTTTGAAGTGCGACAGAATGATTGACATATTAGTTAGTTGTCAAATCTTATGTCATAAAAAACGTTTGTATGGGAAATAGAAAAGGACTGTTTTTATGGTTTTCCCAGTAATGAGTCAATTTTGTTCAGCCTTTATACCTTCCCTGAACCTCCACGAACATTTCAAGACTAAGATAAGATAAATCCGTTCAGCTGTTCTCGAGTTTTAGCGAGACTAAGGAACAGCAATCCATTTTTATATATATAGAAGATAATGAAAATTAAATCTTTTTAAACTTTCGACATATAACAAACCAATATTATCTTTATTACTTTTTATTAGATTAACAACTAGTTATTTATCACCAATTCTTATGATGTATATTAATATTATTTTCCAGTATGGTCAGCACAGTTCTTTCAAGTATCTTCAAAGACGCGTTTGACGTCAAAGCATTGAGAGCATTCCGTGTACTGCGACCTTTGAGGCTCGTATCAGGAGTTCCTAGTGAGTGAAAACTATTTATATAGTATCAGAAACTAAAATAAAGAAAATATACTATCCCTACTAATACTATAAATGCGAAAGTAACTGTCTGTCTGTCTGTTACGCTTTCACGCCTAAACCACAGAACTGATTTTAATGAAATTTGGTACAGACATAGAGTTGAACTTAAGAAAGAATATAGGATAGTTTTTATTCCAGACTTTTGAAAGGTTTTCTTGGAAACGCGATATAATCGAACTCCACGCGGGCAAACTGCGGGCGGAAAGCTAGTTCGAAATAAAACTAAAATTTGTGATTTACGAGATTTTAATTATTATAACTGTATACTCCCGACGTTTCGGTTACTTTTTAGCAATCGACATTTTCAGTTCGTCTGCCCGTGATCACGGTTGCTGAAAAGTAATCGAAACTTTGAGTGTTTATAGATAAAATTATTAATTGAAGTGACGTGGTAATTACGAAAATATTAGTTTTATTTCAATGAATACTCGCGATATTCTTAGATCTACAATTTATTTATAGCTAGGATTTAAATTATAACGCCAATTAAACAATACAGGTGGAGGTCAGTACCAAGATTAGATTAGAGAGTTAATATTGATCCCTTCCTACTATTAAATCTAACTACGTAATATTGATTCATGAAAATGGTAAATACTGGTGTATCCTTAAATAAATTATTTGGGTAATAAAATTTCATTAGATTTTTAGTACTCGCTAAATGTTTATTGAACTTTCGACTCAACTATTTCATTGTATTCAAATGAATATCGTTTATATGTATTGAAAATACACAAAGCTAGAAATAAAAAATATATTTATTAAGATGTCGTTATATTTGCTAACCTTTATAAGTATAAGTATATATATACGTGCGTACGTATGTGTGTGTGTGTGTGTATGTATGTGTATAAACAAAACACAGTTAGTGATGGCATCAATCGCTATCACTTTCGAAAACCAATAATTCGTTTATCCTGTTATTGAGTACTCTGAAATTAATCTAAGTCTGGAATATGACTTATCTCATTTTACCGATTATAGTATCTTAATTTATTAAACATTGATTTCGTGAAAATAAAGATTTCAACAAGTAAGGCATTACAGTCATTTCTGAATATAATATATAAAGTTTTGTAGTACTTTTTGCTTCTAGTGTTAGGTACTTTATCGAATCTTTTAAATGAAACTAATATTTTCGGATTTACTACGCGATTTTTTATTTTTTATTATAAACTCCATACTCCCGACGTTTCGGCTACTTTACAGCAACTTGATCACGGGCAGACGAGATGTGAGTGTCTGTCAGTCGGTCTTGTTATTTTATCCCCTCGGGAGTACGTAGTTTATAATAAAAAATAAATAAATAGACGTGTGGCACTCGGGAACTGCGGCGGTAAAGCTATGGCATAGCATTTTGTATCAACTTATGCAATTATAATTATTTATTTTTATTTTATTCATACAATATTTCATTTTCTTTGATATTAATTCAAGTTACACTTTTTGAGCGTGGTGACCGATAAGAAAACGAATTTTTCTTTTATTAAAGAAATAAAATGTTAATATTGTTTAAAATATTTTTATTATTTTACAATACATGTGGGTTTTATTATCTTACAGTAGCTGTTGGTTATTCAGGGATATTTATCATTGAAACTATAGGTTTATGATAACTGAAATAAGAAACATAAGTTTGCAACTTAATATCCTCTAAATAGTACCTAGAAAATACCGCGTCAATGGTGGTCCCATATTTTGTTGTGGACTCTTGTGGATCATTATTCATTTTCAAATTCAATGTTTTTGACAGAAAAGTTGTCAACCGCTCTGATTTTTTATCAGCGAAGTTAATGTTAAGTTTCGTAGAGTCGTACAATGCCTCTAATCCCACGCACACAACGCCGTGTCGAAGACTGATGAACTGAAACGACGTTAGACGATCCACGGCCTTCAAGCCACACCTCCGTGCCCGTCGGAGTGGGGAGCGTGAGGTTTTTTTCGTTACGGAATTTCTGGATTCGGTCCCCGCGCTCAAGGCCCGCGATAGAAGCTATGCAATAGCTTAAAAAAAAGCGTTATAAATCCGAAAATATTAGTTTCATTTAAATCAATAACCGCGAAAATCTTAGATCTCATTAGTTTATCAAAACTTCATAATTAAGTAATTTCTTTAAAGTATATCCATTATTTCAGGTTTACAGATCGTGTTGAACTCAATCCTTAAGGCGATGGTTCCGTTACTCCACATCGCGTTGCTGGTCATCTTCGTCATCATCATATACGCCATCATTGGACTCGAGCTGTTCTCCGGAAAAATGCACAAATCCTGCTACAATAAGAGAACAAGTATTCATATATTTTTTGTCTAATACATATTCATTTGTATAACTGAATCAAGGAATAAATAAAGAGTATGAAAATTATTTCACTAAATTGTCTAGTTAAACATAAACCTATTTAGTGATCTACTTAGATAAAATATCACAATTTAAGAAAAGGGAAACCCATGTATACGGTACAGGTTTTAATGCTCCAACTCAGAATACAGAAATCTTAGTTACTACATTTCTTTCTAAAATGTTGGAGTATTTTAGCTATATTGGGATTCTTGACAGGATTGTCTAACATAATAAAATCTTGTATGTATAGACTATAGAAGGTATATCAATAATAATGATAGATAGATTTATTCCGTCTCTAGAAATTAGCCCTCACCAAACAAAAAATCCAATATTATATAGTTTTATGCAAAATACTCTCAATATTTCTAAAAACTTTCACCCTAATAAGTTTACCGAAATTTAAACCTTATTATCATTATCTTAAGACGAAATTATGGACAACCCTCACCCCTGCGACGTGGACAACGGGTTCAACTGTTCGTCCATCGGCGAGGAGATGGAGTGTCGTGATGGATGGATAGGACCTAACTTCGGCATCACCAACTTCGATAACTTCGGACTGTCCATGCTCACTGTATTCCAATGCATCACACTAGAAGGCTGGACTGATGTTATGTATAATGTACGTAACAAACTTTGAAATCGAAGGGTATATTAATAAGATTCAAAATGCATTGTGTGGTTAGACATTTATTTCTCAAAAGAAATTACATTTCACTTAATGAGAACAAAATATTACGTACCAATTTAGTTGTAAGTGTTTAGACGGATACATTTTTTTACATAAATTTTCACAATATCCTCTTCTACCTGGCAATTTCCCAGCTATAGCCAGGGTCTGCATTATATGTTGTGAATAGTTTTGGCTAATTGTTTTTACGACCGGCCGCCTGCCTTACATCAACCCTCTTTGGGAATACATTAATCAGTGATGTCTAAATACTCTTAGACAGTACATATGAGTCGGTAAAACCACATCGGAACTTGCCAGGGTCGAACTCGCACCCTCATACATGAAAGGTAGGCCTTTTAACCACTAGGCCATCACTGACGCTATAATGTGCGTTTATTCTTTAATAACAAAGAAATTTGAAATCTAGACGTATATTAATAAGATTAAAAATTCAAAATGCAGTGGTCAGTGAAAGTAATAAAAATCTTGACTATTTTTTTTTTTGCTTATTCTTTTGTGTATTTCTACAGATCCAAGATGCGATGGGCAACAGTTGGGAATGGATATACTTCGTGTCGATGGTAATTCTCGGAGCCTTCTTCGTCATGAACCTTATTCTCGGTGTGTTGTCCGGGTTAGTACATTTCAGTCAAAAAAAAAATCTTAATTTGACGCAATATTCTCCATTAATTGAATCGATTTCATATTAATATGATATGTTATAGGCTAGATTGTATATATGTTAATCATTGCTGCGCCATCTCTAGTGGGATGGTAAAGCAATAAATACTAACGTAGTTTTTAAGTTTTATATTGTTACTAACAAATTGAGTCTTGTATTGCTTGATTTTTAAATTAAATAAATAAATATTCCAGAGAGTTTTCCAAAGAGAGAGAGAAAGCGAAGAACAGAGGTGATTTCCAGAAATTGAGAGAGAAACAGCAGTTAGAAGAAGATTTGAAAGGTTATTTAGACTGGATCACACAGGCGGAGTACCTCGAGCCTTTGGGAGACAGGGAGACGGAACAAAGAGACTATGGAATCGGAATTGGTGATTATACTTATATATAGACCAGCTTTCCACCCGCAGCTTCGCCCGCGTGGAGTTCGGTTATTTCGCGTTTCCAAGGGAACTTTTCAAAAGTCTGGGTTAAAACTATGTTCTTTCTCAAGGTCAACTCCATCTGTGTACCAAATTTCATTAAAATCAGTTCAGTGGTTTAGGCGTGAAAGCGTAACAGACAGACAGACGAAGTTACTTTCGCATTTAGTATAATATTAGAAGGGATTATAATAATTTGTAGCGTAGGTACTATAGGCAACACACGTAATTGAGTCCTTGCCTGGACAAATTCCTTATTAGGTCGTTACCTAGATGAAAACTTAGTCAAGTGATTTGATCGTAGTTGACCAATTAAACAACTACAACTGTATTGTTTCAAACCAAACAATACTTTGGTGATTTTAACACTACCACCTATTTTACTCGAAGGTACATTTGTAATAAGTGTAAGATAAAATCTATTTATTTCTTTAAAGTTCTAAATATCTTAAATTATTTAAAACATCCTGAGTACTAAAACAACAGCCCATAAATATATATCTATAAACATATATCGTTATCCCTGTAATAATATAATATTTCTATTAAGATGTGAACTACTTGGGTCAAACTCAAACCGAACACGACTCTACGGATCATCTGGGAATCGAACCGATCGAACCGCAGAAGGTGGCGAGGGGGAAGATGTGGAAAAAAGACTTCGATAAGGTAACTGATGTCACAAATAATATTTAATGTTAATAACGATTTAGAAACTAATTCACGATTAAGACATAGTTTAAGATAACTTTCAAATGCACTCTATGTATTTACAACATGTCTTTAATTCATATATAATTCTGTGTTTAAAGACCAAAATATTCTTTTTTTTGGACCAATTTTTCGCCTATCATACAACATCCTTCACTCTGTATCTAGTTAAGTTTTTAATTGTAATGTTTTTGATAAATAAAAAAATAACGCTCAAAAAGAGATAAATATGTCCACGGATTGCTTTTTTATTTACTAAAGCTACATTAATATATACATTCTTCTCACATCACGACGCCCTAGATTCTAAAGGAACACTATGGACGCTCTTTTATTTAAATTACTGAAGTAACTCTTAAAACTACTAGATACTAAAGAAATGAATACTACTAATACTAAAGAATACTAAAGAAATTTAAATATTAGTGTAGTGTTACTTATTGAATGCGTAAAGTCAAATATTAATATTTTCCATATAATGAAGGTAAATCGTCGCATGAAGCGCGCGTGTCGCAGAGCCGTGAAGTCTCAGACGTTCTATTGGCTGATCATTGTTCTGGTGTTTCTGAATACAGTAGTCCTCGCCAGCGAACACTATCAGTAAGTACGGAGAAGAATATTCACCACAAAAATTAAATACACAAAATAATGATATCTAAGACTTTTTGGTGTATTCATTTAAATGAAAGTAAGTTTTTCGGGTACTACACGTTTCAGTTGATTTATAGTAACCGTGATCACGGGCAGACTGATGCAGAAAATGTTGTACATAAAGTAATAAATACGCGTAGTGTATCTTGCGAAAACCTCAGTTACATTTATATGAAGTAATTCACATACTAGAATAATACATTTATAAACATTATCATTGTTCGAGGAGTGTAATTGTTTGAAAATTTATTAGAATTTTTCTAACAAAAAAATTATTTTCATATATAAAATTAACCATATAATTTAAAATTTCAGCCAACCAACTTGGCTGGATCATTTTCAAGAGTACGGGAACGCGATGTTCGTAGCTCTTTTCACGTTGGAGATGCTGGTCAAAATGTACAGTTTGGGATTGCAGGTAAATTACATTTCTATTGCCTTTTGAAGCGTACAAATTTCATAAACTCAAATGAGAATGATATAATATTTTATGCTTTACAATTTTCAGGTCTAAAGTTGTATTATACAAAAAACTTTTTTGTCCATGCTTTGTTCCAAATTTGAAATTGACCAACCAGAATACACATAATTTTGCAAATCATAGTCCAAAACTTACCATTATTTTGACCTCAAACCTATACATACATAATTCTTATATACATGTATTTAAAGAGCAATTTCGTACCAACCAGAATTCGCATATTTTTGCAATTCATAGTCCAAAACTTAGCATTACTTAGTCGTCAAAAAAATAAACGTAGTTCTTATGTATATGTATTTAAAGAGCATTTTCGTTTACCACGTCCAGGGCTACTTCGTGTCTCTGTTCAATCGGTTCGATTGTATTACTTAGTCCTCAAAAAAAATTAAATGCAGTTCTTATGTACATGTATTTAAAGATCATTTTCGTTTACCACGTCCAGGGCTACTTCGTGTCTCTGTTCAATCGGTTCGATTGTTTCGTGGTGGTGGGCTCCATCAGTGAGATGGTCCTCACTAAGACGGAGGTGATGCCTCCGCTGGGAGTGTCCGTGTTACGATGTGTGAGACTACTCAGAGTGTTTAAGGTCACCAAGTGAGTTATTTTGTAACATATGATATAGTCACGGCATTTTCCAATACATGTATGTATCTTTATTATACTGTTTAGGAATTTTTCCTAAGACTTCTACTATAGTATTTCGTGAAACAATAATTTACTTTAATACTATACATTGTTCAAGGAAACCATGTATCAAAAAAAAATATTTGTTTTTTTTCTCCTTCGATCTATTTTTGATCTATTTACCCGTCCATAGAAAAAATAACTTTATTTCAGCAATAAGAACAAGCAATAAGTAAGAAATTTAATTCTGGACTATTTAAACTTTTCTTCCGATATTTTTATACAAAATTTTGTTTCTTTTAACAATAAACTTTAAGATAGATAAGTTCAGTAACATTTTTGATTCACCCATTATAATAATACCATCTATTTCCAAGGTACTGGCGCTCACTATCTAACCTGGTAGCGTCCTTATTAAACTCGATCCAGTCAATCGCTTCGCTGCTGCTTCTTTTGTTCCTCTTCATCATGATCTTTGCTCTACTTGGGATGCAGGTATGGCAAACACTAATTTAATACTTATCAGATATAATTAATGAACAAATCAGAATTATCTTGTTATAATATATCCATAGAAGATTGTCTTCCAATGACTTCTCGAAGACAAACTACATATTTGCTTAAATAAATAAGCTAGATGGATTATTATATTCCGTATATTTATGACTTTAACCAATTAATTTATCAAAGACTCTATTTGCTGAACTAAATAAACTAGATGGATCATTTTATTCTATATATTTATGACTTTAATCAATTAATCTAAATCTGTCACACCCAGGTTTTTGGTGGAAAGTTCAACTACGACCCCGTCGAAGAAAAGGACCGACACAACTTCGATTGTTTTTGGCAAGCTCTCCTCACAGTCTTCCAAGTATGAACAATTATTACATCTCTTGAAATAATGTAGCTCATCCTTAAAAGAGAAGAACAAATTATATTTATCCTGATTATCTTTATACATATATACAATTCTTCTGTGAGTGTGTATGTCACTGAACTTCTCTCAAACGACTGGACCGATTTTGATGAAATTTTTTCTGTGTGTTCAAGGGGATCTGGGAATGGTTAAGATTCACAATTTTGTCCGCTGGACAATGTTTTTTTAATTAATTTTTAATTTATTAGTAGTTGTTGATACAAACATATTTTTTTTTGACATTAGACTTGACAACTAACTAATATGTCAATCATTCTGTCGCACTTCAAAACACGGAGATTTATGGCTTTAATAGATGAACTCCAAAAATATAAATAAAAAAACGTAACAGTTATTTCTTGATTATAGGGCGATACGAGGTTCGCCGGGTCTTCTAGTATATAAATACCCTTATAAAAACGAGAAAACCCTCATAAAAACAAGATAAATGTATGCATGACACTATGGATTTCTGTGTTTAGATTCTAACGGGTGAAGACTGGAACGCCGTGATGTATGAAGGCATCAAGGCGTACGGTGGAGTCGGCACGTTCGGGATCCTCGCCTGCATCTACTTTATAATACTCTTCATCTGTGGTAACTGTATCCTTTTATGAAATAAAATATTTTCACCCTTTTTCATTCAGTTAGTTACCTTTAGTAGTAGCTACCTTAGTTCTCAAAAATACTTGAGATGTTAAGTTAAAATCTACATTAAATTTGTGTACAACGATATAGGTAAGCGGTTTGCGTTGCCTTAGTAAAACATTTTTACTTTTAATTTGTATAACTTAATATTTAACTTATTTGAGATATTTAATAAATTATATTATAAGAATAGTTTTTAAAATGTTATTTTCTATTGATATTATCCTGGTATTTAAAATGAGAACTTACTCATATACTATTCTGCTGTGATACATTTCCTTAAACGTAGAACAGATATTCTGCTAAATGTTTTCTTGGCCATTGCCGTCGATAATCTGGCAGATGCTGAATCATTGACCAATATCGAAAAGGAGGAAGGTGTAAGTATAATTCAAAGAAAATCTGTTATCATCAACACCTTACGGATAGCTAATAAAAAGTATTTTTTCTTAGCAAGCAACAGAAGATCAGCAAGGAGTTGAAGGAGGAGACGGAGAGGAAGTTGAAGGAGCACTCGCTGATACAGACGATGAGTACATACACGATGAAGATGCTTACACTACAGATAAGTATGTACTACTGATTAAAACAATCCTGACAAATTTTACTATACTAACCATATCTACTGAACTTACAGTTCCGAAAGAGATTACGAAGAAACAGGTTCAGAAGGCGAACACCACGAGGATCAAGAAGGAGAAGTAGAAGAAGGTGCAGAAGATAACGGAGAAGGAATAGAGGAAAGTCAAGACAGAGATGATTTGGATAACCTACAGACGAACCACACAGGTAAAGGATACAATATCTTAGATTAAACATTTTATTAGTAAATGAGAAATATAAAACATGTTTGATGTCTCTAAAAATATTAAAATTAATGACCACAAAGAAATTTGGAAGACAAATGTCTACGAAACATTTGTAAAAAAAATGAACTACTTAGTCTAAAATAATAAAAATCTGTCCGGAATGGACTAAAAGCGATGTTTGATAATCGACACATATGTAAATCCCCCGTTCAAACTGTGGGTGGGTGGCGGGCTCCCGTAAGTGTGTGTGAGTGGTCCGCAGCGCGCGGTCCCCGCCTGCGCCGCGCGCCGACGTCCTCATCCGCTCGCCCGCGCCGCCTGTCGGCCGTGGAGCTCGGCGTCGGACCCAAACCCATCCCCGAAGCCTCCTCCTTCTTCGTATTTTCACCCACCAACAGGTCAGCGGCGAGTCACGCCCACACGCCATTGTCGCCGGTTTTATTTTATGTTTGACGATTGATTTCTCTCTATCGCTTCACGTACATGGGTTCGGCATGCTAGGACCTAGGAGGGGTATACGTAGGTAGCTCATAGTATTTTCTATCACGAAGATGGCGAGTGCGAGGAGGAGGGGACGCTCGTTACCGCTAGACCGCGGCGCATCTCTGAACTGAATATGCCCAATCAGACGCCGCCGATACCGAACGCTAGTAGTTTCTTCATATTCTCACCGACGAACAGGTGATTGGTCCGGTACCCATGTCTCATTGTACGAACATTGGCAACGTTATCTCAGTTCTTGATTGGCCATATCCCTTCTTTGCATTTACCTTCCTCTAAGTTTTTTGTTTTCTTTCCCTGTGTTCGATGTGCAAAGTTCAGTCAGTTTATTTTAAACTTCATACTTATTTCTTATCAAAATTCTCCACAATGAGATCCTAGGGTACCTATAAATTTCCAAGTTCCGATGTTAGTGATTCGGTTTTGTTTTTCGTAGTGAAAATCCCAGTTAGAGCATGATCCCAGTTAGAATTTATTGTGAAATTATTAAATGTGTTAGATATTCGTCCTAGCGATAGCCCCGTCATAGATTATAGAAATGCCCTGCCCGAAGATCACGATAGATGCATGTTCTTAGAGTTTAGAAGCTTCAGCATGATTGGTAATTTAATTTGAAATATTGTTTTTTTCCTTAGATGTTCAGTTCATGCATGCTTGTCGTTGTTAGTGGAACTAAATGTGTAATTCATGTTGTCAGAACATAGCGTAATAAAAGGTGTGCTTCATTTTTCCTTGCTTCACAATATTAAGCGTTTGACAAGAAAGCTAAAACTTTACCATGTAACGAAATACAAATAAGATATGGTTTTACTTTTATCCCTTAAATATGATAAATTAAAAATAATTAATATACATTTCCATAATAGGATTTAAAAATACCTACCTAATTTGCATCGATAATTAATGAACCATTAAAAAATGTATGAATGGAAGTGAACCGAATCGAAACAATAATAAGAAGTACAATATAACGCAATAACTAGGTTTCGAGTGTTCTGCTACAAAATGTCTTCATCATCGACGTTCGGGAACATCATCCTGGTGTGTATCATGCTGTCGTCTGCTATGTTAGCTGCAGAGGATCCGTTAGACGCTGTGCAGAAAGGATTTAGGAATTGGGTAAGATATAGTCAACATATGTGGAAACTGAGCAAGAGACTATCAAAATCATATAATTCTAAATCCTTAAATACTTAACAGCTTCTCAGTCAATTCGATATGTTCTTCACGGGAATCTTCACGTTGGAGCTGTTCTTGAAGCTGGTGACATACGGCCTGGTACTTCATCGCGGCGCCTTCCTCCGTTCAGCATTCAATGTGCTGGACATGCTAGTCGTCTGTGTGTCACTCATCTCGATGAGCTTTAAGTAAGTCAACATGCATATTAGAAAACCAATCAGAGCAATTATTTTTTTGCAGTTTCTTTTGGGTAAGGAAATTTACTTGTAATACAATAATTTCAGGTCTGGAAGTATATCAGTTGTGAAAATATTGCGAGTGTTCAGGGTGCTGAGGCCACTAAGAGCCATCAACAGGGCAAAGGGCCTTAAGGTCAGATATAAATTAAATAAAATACTACAATATAATTTAAAATCAATGAAATCCCATTCAATAGATTTTGAATTACAATGCTATATGAAATACTGAAGAAATGTAATGTAATAGTTTCTCCTGATTATAGCACGTTGTTCAATGCGTGATCGTTGCTATCAAAACGATCGGAAACATTTTGTTGGTAACGTCCTTGCTTCAATTCATGTTCGCGGTCATGGGAGTTCAAATGTTCAAGGTAGGGGGCGCTTCGCCTTGACACACATCTACTGTATTCACGTGTGTACACAATGCGTTCTACCAACAATATACTGTTACACCTTTGGGTAATATCTTATTTAATGATTTATCTATTTATTTATAAATTCTCTTCTTCACTCATTTCTCATGATTTTATTTTTCTTTTTTTTTCTTGTTGGCTTTTGGTTTCTGCGCTTTCTTCCGCCTGATTATCTTTTACGCTTACTTTTTGTCTATTTTGAATAAATTTAAAATGTAAAGTGGACATTCTTTACTTTAAGCTTTTAAAAACCACTGGAGGTTATAAAAGATTTCTCTGGCAAAATTATATAAAATATATATTTTGTTACAAATAGAACAAACAATATCGACGATTAGAAAATTGGTGATGACACCAACAAAACATTAATTGGCATGAGACTAAAATCTTCTAGACTATACTTTCATATTAGTATCTACTAACGCATGAATATCCATTGAACCCAAAGGTGTAGATATACATTGAATCATTAGAATATTAACCCCGGTTACATTATATAACCATCCCCCTACCTTGGCGTTTCTTCAAATCCTTGGACGGCATCTAACAGAGAAATGTATATAACGTATGTAGTATCTTCCCCCCAATCGTTGTTTTCGTAAGCCCGGTTAATTAAAAGATCTGCTTTGTCCCTATGTCCCGATGCTGCCTGGTCACCGGAATCTGGACTATCCTTCCCTGGTAACGTATACGCCACTAACTCGCACTCTGTCCTCCACACCGTAGTATGTAGTGAAATGTGTGATAGTAGCCATTAAGACTATAGGAAATATAATGTTAGTTACGTATCTATTACAATTTATGTTCGCTGTCGTCGGTGTACAGTTATTTAAGGTGAGAAACAAAGATATACTCATTATTATTATATAAAAATGTACCAATAACCAAAATTGTGTTCATATTTATGTAAGTGTTTGCTGTAATATAAATAAATTGCTATTTATCATGAGAAATGGGTCGCATTTGTGATGCAGAGATTTTGCTAAATGACGTAATTTATTCCAGGGTTGTATTTAATCACCTGAGTTTTGTTTCAGGGTAAATTTTTTAGATGTAATGATATTTCAAAAATGACTAAAGCTGAGTGTCAGTAAGTAACCATATTATAAATTAGTTTCTTTGCATTAAAAACTAAGAGAAGTTTTTGTGAAATCAGTTATTTCTTGCAGAGGGACGTATTTAGTGTTCGAAAACAGAAATTATGTAGTTAGGGATAGAGAATGGAAGAGGAATGATTTTCATTTTGATAATGTGATGAAAGGGATGCTTACTCTCTTCACTGTGTCTACTTTTGAAGGATGGCCAGGGTAAGAATTTAGGTGATTGTTTGATTTGCAGATTTCTTCAATCTTTATATGAAAATTGTGTTTTTTCAGGTTATTGTATGTGTCTATAGACTCGAATGCCGAGGACCGTGGTCCTATAACTAACTTCCGTCCAATTGTTGCAGCCTACTACATAATTTATATTATTATTATTGCCTTCTTTATGGTTGGTGCACATACAAAAATTATTTAACAAATTTATCTAAATGAAATGCAGTACAAAAAATTTAATTCCAGGTTAATATATTCGTGGGTTTCGTCATAGTGACATTCCAGAACGAGGGTGAACAGGAATACAAGAACTGTGAACTGGATAAGAATCAACGGAACTGTATAGAGTTCGCTTTGAAAGCCAAACCAATAAGGAGGTAAACCTATTTGAAGATTTTACAAGTATAAATATAAAATATAACATTTTTCCCCATTGTTGGGCTATTTTGCATTCTCAGGTACATCCCAAAACACCGTATTCAATACAAAGTGTGGTGGTTCGTGACGTCACAGCCGTTCGAGTACGCGATCTTCGTCCTCATCATGATCAACACCATCACGCTGGCCATGAAGTACCACGACCAGTCGCTGGACTACAGCCGGGCTCTCGACATGTTGAACATGATATTCACCGCGGTGTTCGCGCTAGAGTTTATATTCAAACTAGCGGCATTTAGGTTTAAGGTCAGTTAATACAATTGCTATACATCTTACGTTACGTACATTTACTTTAATAATAATGTACGTAGTCTCAATCTTCAAGGAAGAAATGAAACTTAATATGAAAATGAAAATAGGAAGGACTAGAAATGATTTTTTTGTGGACTCATATTGTTTCTTTAAGATAAATATTATAAACATTGCTTGTAATTCACTATTGACCTACCCATTTAATCTCGCTCCTTCTCTTTCTATTCCCCCTCCCTAGGAGCGTTAAACGTTTAACGCAACCTTGTTGGAAATTTTAGTTCAATAATATTATAGCATACATATATAAATTCTTTAGTATTATAATTATTCTATATAATTCAATCTAGAACTATTTCGGCGACGCGTGGAACACATTTGACTTCATCATAGTCTTGGGCAGTATCATCGACATCGTTGTGTCGCAAGTAAACGAACTCAAGAATCAGGTAATAACAATTATATGGCTATATAATTATAAACCACCTTCACTAAGTAGCTGTTGAAATTATCTTCTTGAAAATATTTTTTTGCCCAAAAAAGAGCAGTTTAGTAGGAAGATATAGTATATATAGTTGATTAATATGGTAAAATAAATCCTAAGAAGATAATTTGAACACAAATCAGTGTAGTTACTGTCCCGAGCATGGACATAGATGTTGTTATAACAGAAGGCTGTTCCTAGCTACGTGTAGATAATTCAGACGATAACTGTTTATTTCAGGGAAGTGGCATGCAAAGAACACACGTCGTCAAGGTAAGTGCACGCTTTAGATATCAGAAAATGACGTCCATCATTAAGAATAGAAGAATTAATAGTTTGATAAATATATTCCGATATCTATCTGATCTCGCAAAAAAATTTGGTTTACAATGTTTAACCCCTTCGGACCCGGCGTCCATTTCAATGGACACTATTTATTATTGCGAGTAACTTGACACAGTATAATAAAAATGCTAGTGTAAATATTTAACTGTACCGTACACTTAACTACAAACGTTACCATAAACAAAACACAATCAGCTTTTATGTAGGCAGGATGAAATAATTAGTCAAGTGTTGACGTTCGCCATGGATACGCACAAAACAAGTAAGTCGTCAGTTTTATTTTATTTACTCCATAACGACTTGATCAATTAGATCGATATTTTTTATCATGTATAATGATCATATTTGCTTACATTTTCACTTACTAAAAATACAAATTATGCATGTTGTCATAAAATATTGCAGATGAAAGTGATGTCCATTTCAGTGGACAAAGGGTCACAATCGTTGTAGAACGTTTGTATTTACAATAAGATTTTGTAATGAATTATACACGTATTTTTTATTTCATTTTAGGTTTTGACGTATCGAAAAGTCAAGACGTGAATAATATACTCAAGTTATTAGAAAACGGTGTAATATCGGATGTTGACGAAGAAAGTGACGATGAAATTGTACAGGCCTTACCAGAAAAAAATGTTCGTGTGGGTAGTAATATAACATTACCAACCGAAAGAGTAATAGCTGATAACTCTGAAGAGGAGGAAGATATGGCAGAGGAGGAAGATTTACAGGAGGCTGAACCAAAACCTGGATCAAGTAGTAAGTCTAAAAATGAAATAATTTGGAGAAAACATTTACAGCTTGAATCTCCACTATTCATTTGGTCTGCTCCACCACCTTCTGAAATAGATTCGCCTGATGCTCCAATTGATTATTTTTCTAAATATATATCACAGTCCCTAATTGAAGATTTTACGTTCAATACTAATTTGTATGCAGTGAGAAATGAAGTCCGTAATTTCAAGCCATGTACTCCTACAGAAATGAAAGTATTTTTGGGGCTTCATATCATTATGGGTAACCTGAAGTTTCCTCGTGTTCGTTTGTATTGGGATTCCAGTTTAGATATGAAAATATTTTTAGAGAATATGGCCAGAGATAGATTTCTTCAGATGAGAAACAATTTGCATGTAATTGATAACAATTCTATTCCACAAAATAACACTGACCGTTTTATCAAAGTTCGACCTTTATATGATTCAATTAGAAAACGATGTCTAGAACTAAAGTTGGAGCAAATATTGAGCGTTGATGAACAGATTGTACCTTTTCGAGGAAAACTTGAAATCAAACAATATGTGAAAGGAAAACCACAGCCATGGGGTGTAAAGATATTTATGATTTGCGGTAAGAGTGGATTAGTTTACGATTTCATCATTTATCAAGGTGCAACTACAAACCTAGACAAAAATGAGGTTTTGAAATATGGCACATCTGCTGCTTATGTAAGTGCCTTGTCGAAAAGAATTTATGGGTCTGGGCATTACCTTTTTTTTGACAATTATTTTTCCAATTACATTTTGCTGAAAGATCTTCGCGAGAGGGAAATTTATGCAGGAGGAACGATCAGAATAAATCGTTTTGGAAAACCGCCACTCATAACCGACAAAGAAGGATCAAAAAAAGAAAGGGGATATACTGATCAAGTTACGAATAATACTAAAGATGTGGTTGTTATCAAGTGGATGGACAACAAAGGTGTCGTACTTGCTTCAAATTTTGTTGGAATAGGAAACCAAGATGAAGTTCGACGATGGAATAAAATATCTAAAACATATGTAACTATATCACGTCCTGAACTGGTGCAATTATATAACAATGGTATGGGTGGTGTAGATAAAACTGATCATCTGATTAGTTTGTATCGTATTTTCATAAGATCCAAAAAATGGACATTACGAATGATATTTCATGCCATTGACCTAGCGCTGACCAATAGTTGGCTAGAATACCAAGAAGATTGCAAAACCTGCAATATACCAAGTACAGACGTTTTAGATCTGTTGCACTTTCGGCAGCGTGTTGCAGAGGCTCTTATAAAAATGGGGCTTCCAATCCCCAGCAAAAAAAGAGGACGGCCTGCGTCTGGAGGTAGTAGTCCAGTAAATTCACCAGCTACGCCAAAACGACATCGTTTTAGAACTGAAATAAGGCCTGCAAGAGAAATTCAGTACGACACAGTTGACCATTTGCCAGAATATGATCAGAAAAAAGAAGCTACAAGATGTAAAAATCCAGGATGTAAAGGAAAGACACATGTTTACTGCCTGAAATGTGAAATACATTTATGTTTTACCAGTGACCGAAATTGCTTCCGAAAATTTCATCAAAAACAAGAATAATCCATCCAATTACAATGTTGTAAAACTGTGAAAATAAATAAACATTATTATTATTATATATGGTTTTGCTTACTTATTTCGTTATAGTACCCACTACAAATCATTACATACTAAATACGTAGTACAACACTATAGACCCGATGTCCACTCAAGTGGACATTAATATTTCCAAAAATCTAAAAACTATAAATCGCATATTTACACAAAAATCCCTTAACTCCACTACTTACTCACAGAAAAAGCATAAAAATATTTTTATTCATGCTTTATATAAAATCAGGTCCGAAGGGGTTAATTACTCGATGGTACTAATAACTCAGCTTTAGTTGTTGCAAAGCATTAATATGTTAGGGTTAGCTTTAAATGTTATTTGCATCTGGGACAGTAACAAGTTGAACTCTATGAGAGTCTTTTAGATATAGACGGCACGTAAGCACAACAAGATATCAAAACTAGCTCCAAATAGACGAAATTTTATATATTTTTAGATGTCCAAATAAGAGATTTAGACTGTAAATACACGTTTACATATTTCGCACTCATTAGATAAATTCTTTATATTTGTATTACTCTTAAATAGGAACAATCAAATATTTGCTGAATGAAACTTTCTTTTTATTATCAACCATGAAACTTGTCAGTAACTTTTTGTTTCACATAAGACTTTTAAGTACTAGCCTAAAAATCTTCTATATATATAAAAATGGATTGCTGTTCCTTAGTCTCGCTAAAACTCGAGAACGGCTGAACCGATTTGGCTAATTTTAGTCTTGAAATACTCCTGGAAGTCCAGGGAAGGTTTAAAAGGTGAGAAAAATTGATTCATAACTGGGAAAACCATAAAAACAACCCTTTTCTATTTCCCATACAAAAGTTTTTTTTTTGACATTAGATTTGACAACTAACAAATATGTCAATTCTATTTGATTGAAACAGGAAAAACCTGATTATTTATGGCCTGTAAGACGGAATAGAATTCGACTGGTTGGCTACAGCTACATATATTACTCTTGACCAAACTGACGCGGACGAAGTCGCGGGCAAAAACTAGTATATGATATAAATCTTAAAGCATAAATTTCTATAACAAATGAATACACACAATATAATAATATATAATAATATTATATCTATATAAAAAGACTCATTAATATTGCATATATTAAATAAAATATTTTGTTTAATCCCTACTAATATTATAAATGCGAAAGTAACTCTGTCTGTCTGTCTGTCTGTCTGTCTGCTACGCTTTCACGCCTAAACCACTGAACTGATTTTAATGAAATTCGGTACAGAGATAGAGTTGACCTTGAGAAAGAACATAGGATAGTTTTTATCCCAGACTTTTGAAAGGTTCTCTTGGAAACGCGATATAACCGAACTCCACGCGGCGAAGCTGCGGGCGGAAAGCTAGTTACCTATAAAGTTAAAAAAAGTTTCTTATTATTACAGTTTCTTAGAAAATATTTTAAAGGTGAGGGTTTGCTGAAACCAATGAATATTAATAGAAATAACAGTTTTTTTCCAGACTAAGTTTTACCTCAAAAATTCGGTGATTTTTCATATTCCTAAATACATAATTTCTTATGTTTTTCGATTGCATCCAAAAATTGCGACAAAAACATTACCAAAATTTTATAAGTTTGATAATTATTTTTATCTAAATGTCTGTATAATAATAAATCGTCCATATTTCCAGGAGAGCTCGATCCCATCCATCAACTTCTTCCGTTTGTTCCGCGTCATGAGACTCGTGAAGCTTCTCTCCAGAGGCGAGGGCATACGAACACTATTATGGACTTTCATCAAGTCCTTTCAAGCACTTCCCTATGTAGCCTTGCTTATCTTGATGTTATTTTTCATTTACGCCGTTGTTGGGATGCAGGTAAATAAAAATTTTAATAAAGTTATTCCATAGAAATATATTTTTATCATACAACATTTAAATGAAACTAATATCGTCTGTTTAACATTCACATCTCGTCTGCTCGTGATTACGGTTGCTGCAACGTTACAGAAACGTCGGGAGTATGTAGTTTTTAAAAATAATTAATTAAATACGCGTATGTACTCGTAGCAATCCGAAAAATATTAGTTTCATTTAAATGACTCGCAAAAGTCTTAGATTTCATTATTATAGAACATTATTTATTTTAGGTTTTTGGTAAAATAGCAATAGACGATGAAACGCCTATCACCAGAAACAATCATTTTCAAACATTTCCTCAAGCCATACTTGTGCTGTTTCGTTCTGCTACCGGTAAGTTTATTCTGGTGTCGAGAATTTCAAGAAATTTACTTCTTCATGACTAATACTTTGAGTTGACTTTAGTTATCATGTCTTAGAGTGAAAGGGAACTTATTTTTCTGATTATTATAGGTGAGGCGTGGCAAGATATCATGATGGGCGTGTCTCCGGATCCAGATGTACGATGTGATGAGAATTATAAAGAAGAAGAAGGCGAGGACGAAGGCGGTGGTTCTTGCGGCTCAGTGTTGGCCTTCCCATACTTTATATCATTCTACGTACTTTGTTCTTTCCTTGTAAGTAATTTTTCACCATTACCTCATGAGAACTTTCTTCTTTTTTCCTTCTTGATTACAATAGCATTGATATAATCTTTTTAATTCTGTTTTCTTCTGACCAAGTGAAAAATACATTTTTCGTTTCATTTCCAGATCATTAATTTATTTGTTGCTGTCATTATGGATAATTTTGACTATTTGACCAGAGATTGGTCAATTTTGGGACCACACCACTTAGATGAATTTATAAGGTAATTTAAATACAATATCTATAAAACTAATAATATTTAATACTGAACTTATTCAATATATTTTCAGACTATGGAGTGAATATGATCCTGACGCGAAAGGACGTATAAAACATTTAGATGTAGTTACCTTACTAAGAAAAATAAGCCCACCATTAGGTAAGATTTTTCTAGTTTTAATATTTGCTTTTAAAAACTTTATACCAAAAAAGACTCATGTCATATTTAAAAATTTCAGTGTTATAATAATTTTATCGAGGTATAGGTCAAGTTTTATTTGGTTTTTCTTCTCACAAGGTTTCGGTAAGCTGTGTCCACACCGCGTCGCGTGTAAGCGCCTCGTGTCAATGAACATGCCTCTCAATTCGGACGGCACCGTCTTATTCAACGCGACCCTTTTCGCTGTGGTCCGGACTTCACTCAAGATCAAAACTGATGGTAAGATAAATTCATATACATTGATGACTTCATTGTTAAAGCTACTAATCTTGTTATTACCTATGAAACTAATATTTTTCGGACATACTACCCATGCTTTATTTTTGTAATAAACTACGTACTTGCGACGTTTCGGTTACTTTTCAGCAAATGTGATCACGGGCAGCCGATATGTATGTAGGCAAAAGTAAAGCACACGTAATATATCCGAAAAATATTAATTTATTTTAAATGAATACTCCCGAAAGTCCTACATCTTGTTATTACCTATTTTCTACCGTTATGTTACAATCAGTTTCTCGTATAATTGACCTTCTATCCCGATAATATTTTTAATATTCTATAACGATGTGTTTGGTCCAGGTAATATTGACGACTGCAACACAGAACTTCGAGCTGTCATTAAGAAGATTTGGAAAAGAACTTCTCCAAAACTATTAGACCAGGTCGTACCACCGCCCGGAGATCCTAACGAAATCACCGTTGGGAAGTTTTACGCTACTTTCCTTATACAAGACTATTTCCGACGGTAAGACTGATGTCGTAATACATAGATTTATTTTGGTGACTAAATTGTATTATAAAATATATTTATGTTTTAAATCTAATAATTATTTTTAAAACAATATAAATAATATATTAAATAAATTGATTGACATAGTAGGAAAATTAAACGTAGATATTAACAAAATTATTTTACTTTAAAGTATTAAATAATCTAAAAACATTAAATAAATTCTATCGGCACAATTAAAGCATCTTCTTTGCAGCTAAAAAACTAAAATGACTCGGAAAATAAAACGAGGCAAATGAGATTTAATCAGAAACTTAGATTTTTATTTTGTGTGAGACCTCTTGTTTGTTCCAATTCATTTCGGTCCAACATTGACATTTTATTTTTGTTCCATAGGAATCACGCGTAAGTAACGCATCTCAGGAAACGTATGTTGTTTAGGAGAAAGAATGTTCCCTTTAGTGTTTTTATCTTGCAACGCTCAAATATAGAAAACTATCGATAGTTTAATAAACAAACAAAAAACGCTATTGCAAACATCTGATATCTTAGCTGTTTTCGGTTGAACCCCGCATGGACCTCAGATATTACAAGATAACCATGACAAATCAACGTTTTTATAAATCTACCAACAACCCACACCACGATCTAATCATACTCCCACATCTACTTAGCATGCTTGTAAAATATTGACAAACAAACAGAAGCCATTTTTAATTGTGTTTCCCACATGTTTTAAATGTTGTGTTTTCTTTTTTTGTGATATATTTTATATGCGTAACTATAGAGATAGAACAATTCATAAGGGAGATGCTCAGTCAGATATACCGCACACTACATACAGATACTATAAGGACTACATATAGAAAAATATAGACGATCAAGTTCATTCAATATCAAACGTAGTGATCAAATGCTTAGATTAAATATTGTGCTAAAATAACGAGCTTATTTTACAACTTTAGATTAAAAGCAATATTAGTCTAGCAAAAAAAATAGAGGCACAGGCTTTAAAAAATCAAGCATCGAATGTAAATATGGCATTATATTCCGGACTTGTGACTTAAAGTAATTAAAAAAAAACAGATTTTTTCACAAGTACGGAGAGTCACCCACAATCAATTCACTTTGATCCATTAAAATAAAGGTTCAAAAAGCGCAAGGAACAAGAGTTGCGGCAGAATGACGAACAAACTCATCAGATGACGCTGCAAGCTGGGTTAAGAACACTACATGAAGCAGGGCCCGAGTTGAAGAGAGCGATCTCTGGGAACCTCGACGACATCATTCCCGAGAGTGACGTGCCCATGCATAGGGTAAATAAAACAAGAACTACTATAATTCTCCTCATACAATAATAACAAAAATTTAAGTGAAATACTAAAATAATGCTATTATAATCGCACTCTTTGATGTCGATAAAAAACTAGGTAATGATTGTTATGTGATCGTAAATATATTGCTTGCAAAAAAGCAACTGCAATAGTATGAGAAAATGTTGGTTTTTGACCTTCTATTGGACCATCATTGTTGCTTTAATTGGATAATATAAGTATATGACATATTTACGTGTTTAATTTTGCGAAGTTTTTTAATAAACATGTTACTTTTCTTTCAGAGGAATCATTCACTTTTCGGTGGAGTGTGGTCAAGTATACGCAGGCACGGACCAAACAGACATTTTCACAGACATCGAAAACATGGCGATTCACCTCAAGGTTAAAATTTTACCATTTTATCTTATAACTTTTTCTTCTTTTCTTGTTATTTTCATATTCTTTTTATCTTATTTGCCATTAGATCGTGAGGTTAAATTAGTAAACTTCTTAAACATAAATTTTTATCTCAATCTTGTTTACAGAAAATGTTGGAAACCATTTAAGTTCCATGATGCAGCGCGAGTATGGAGTGGGACCATTACCATTAGCACCTAACCTGTACGTACAGAACCTATTATTTAACTTTCCACACTACACATACAATACCATTAAATACCATATTTGTACACAGAGCCAATGGACAGCCTAAGGAACAAATACCTCTCCGACCATTAATATTCAACGGGGAATCGGAGAAAATATACCAAGTTTTAGAGTGAGTATTATGATTGTCTCAAAACCAACAACTTAGATGTATTAAATCAATAATAAATACATTATCCATGTACTAGTAAACGAGACTATCGCTTATTACATTGCAGAGCAACAACAAATGATCTAAAGAACGCTATTTACAAAGGTAGCTAAATTACAGTTGCAACGTGTGACAGAGTGGTTTTACTTTCCTTAGAATAGATTATACTAACCATAATCGTGTGATGCTAACGTTAACTCTATCTATGTACGCGGCTCGGAATAGCAATCAAAAGTCAAACTACCCGGAGATGCTCGGTCAGATCGGTCTGGCATTCGGCTGCGTCAACTATCTATCGACACCAGAAACCTCCGGTGCGAAATCAACTTCCCCGGTATCCCGACAAAAGATACATCCGGAGGCGTCCGAAAAACTGTCCGTTCGGAAAGCGTCGCCTGACAAAACTCCATCACCGGGAGAGACGATAGTGCCGAAGATATCGTCCATACCGACGCGCACGGTGGCGCCGGCGGAGTCGCGAGCGATGACGCTGTACGGATATAACGCGGCGGCGCGGCTCCCGTTCGCGTTCTCCCACGCCCGTGAGCGCCGCAGCCTGCGCGCCCCCCCGCGCCCCGCGCCCGCAGGTCGGATGGTCCGCAGCGTGTCGTCCGGCGCCGCCCCCCCCTCTCCGCGCCCCGCGACCACCAGACCTCACGCGCTTGTAGATACGCCTGACACAGGTCTGCACATAGGAAGCTTCCTTCTGATTACAATGGAATTAATAATAAATATATTTATTAATCTCTCTCTCTCTCTAATGTAAATAAAACGACATATGAAGGAACCTTCTTTACATCATGCACTCATTGATTTCCAGCTTCCCAGGTGGTATAAAAAGAAAAGAAAATAAACGAAATAACAATGATGGTATTGTCACATGCACAATGACGCAAACCTATGATTTAAGATCACATGACCTGCAATTTTTATCGCTAGGTTTTACACTTCATCAACTATTTTATAATTTTATTCAATTCTAACAACATAATATTTTAATCACAAATGAACACAACACTTTTTAGAAACACAATAAAGCAAGGATTAAAGGCATGACAATTCACATATCATTGGAACGGCTAAATAGTTTTGCATTAGACTAGTAATACTAACACTACTTTAGAAGCTTTTAGATAACACTAAAGAAAATGATATAACAAACGCTTACATAATAAATGCACGATGTTTGTATGAGAAATCATAATAAATCATGAGAGTTCATTAGTGATTAGTTGTTGAGTGACAGTAGAGATAGACATCGCTTCAAATGAGAGACAAAAAATGACAAGGCTAGCTTGATTAGGCTCTCAAATTAGAAAACTGAGTTAAAATGATATTAAAATAAATAGATTTAAACAAAGCTTCCAGTTTATTGAATGTTTTAGACAAACCTTTATCAACAACAAACAATATGTATTCAAAAAAAATTGGTCCAAATGTACCATTATATATAAGAATATCATCTATGTAGAATTCTAATACAAAATTTTAAACAGGGAGCGATAATTCAAGTCGAGGCGTGGTTTCTCTTCCTGGCAGTCCTCGAAACAGCTCCTCAGTACCAGTAGTTGGTTCAGCGGAAAGTCTCGTAACAAGGGTCTGTATTATATTAGGAAATCCACTTCAATTTGATGATAACCTAAAGCTCGGTTGGAAACTAAACATTCCAAATGAATTAATGGCAGGTGCTCGCTGAACAAGGCTTGGGCGAATATTGTGACCCAGAATTCGTGAGGAACACGTCACGAGAAATGCAAGAAGCACTCGATATGACCCAAGAACAAATGGATAGGTAACATTAATTAAACAATTAAAACTCACATTTGGACAAACTTAATCAAAGTACCCCTTTTTTCAGAGCGGCACATCAATTAATGGTTCAAGAAAAGAACTTAAAACAAGTTCAAAACCAACAAAGCCAAGTGGTAGGTATATTATAATTTTATTGAGGTTAATTTTACCACCGTTTCCATTGGTATTTAATGTGACCCAGACTAACATGTACCCTCACGAGGATATGAAACGAAATTAATAACAAAATTCCAACGGTGTTGAAATGAAACCTGCACCACTGTAGCGTATATTTTGCTCAAGATCCAGGGAATGTATAATGCATGTAGGATAACTTTTGGGATGTTGTAGGGCGAGATCCTAGCCCGACAATACCATCCCCACCACCAGCCAGCCGCTCCCCCACCAGGAAAGCGGTTATAGCACCGACACAAAATGGCGTCCAGGACGGCGCCGACAAACGTCACTCACACCATAGGAGGAAACGGAAACGCAAGCCAGTGCTTGTCTAGACATTTAAAGTCATTGTTTCTTAATTTAACAGTTTGATAATGCTCAATTATTTCCAGATACTCTCGTATCTTAGAGCCTTTTGGCGATCGAATGGCGACTTCGACGGACGGAACAACACTAGGCACTACAACAAATTATAAACTTCTTAAACCCGTGACTAGCACGGACCAAAGTGAGATTTGTAGTTCTGTAGTTATTTAATGGATTATTGTAGTTTAACTTACGATTAGTATGAAATTGTAAAACTTTTGATGCGATTATACAGTATTCGTCGTTTTCCTACAAGAAAATTTAATGCATGGATAAAATTGAAAGAATTTTTTTGGGATCATAGTTTAAAATTTTTCAAGTTTGAGAGAGATATAATTATGTAAAATATTATAAGTACATTACGGCGTGACAAGAATCTTTCTAATGAAAGCTTATACGCACAATAGATAAAGAATGGCATAAATATACTTTGCTACAATTGTAATACTTTAATCTTATATTTGATGAAAACTTGTAACTAGAAATTTCTTAAATGTTTGTTCGAGCTTTAAGCAATGTTTTTTTGTGATGTAACATACGGTATGCGACCTTGATTTATTTCAGTATTAATTATCATTAAGATTAGATGATAAGTAGACAGTCTCTGTCGATGGACCACGATCTTGGTGTTTTTCCATTTCTTTTTCGGCCGTTAACCAGACTGACCTGTTAGCGTTTGTGATAGTAGAACCCTAATTATTCGTGATTTTTCTAACTTTTTAAAAAAACAACACAAATTTTGCATTTACACACTTAAATTTTATAATATACCACAATTACATCAGCGACAATACCACACTTAAAGACTTGACGAACTTTATACTAAGATATTACGTTCAGTAGATCGGAATTATCACAATATTAAAATTCAGGAATTGAAATTTTATTAATAAACAAATATTCTACGGATTACAATATTTTCACGAAGTTTGCCTTATGACATCTCCAGTAATATTAACTTCAAATTCTAAATTATTGTAAGAAAAACCGTTGGAATTGAAATCTCACGTCAGGTATCGCCATTTTAAAATCAAATAGTTAACGTCTAAAAGACAACAGGCAACACCATCACAACCTTAATAGCATTTATAATGAAATATTTCTTTGTCTTCCGTTTCGAACAGCAATTAAGAAATTCATTAAACTTTATGACACTTTAAAATATTCTAAATCTTTAATAATAATAGTTAAATATAAACAATATAGATATTTCTATGTAAATTATAACTTGAAGATATTCAAACAATTTTTAAAATTTTCCGTTCCTCAATTACAATATCTCTATACAAATTTCTTCCAAAATTATTCAAGTCCTTTACTATAAAAATTAATGAAATTGATAAACTTAGCTTAAGGATTCCCTAGTAAGTGTCCTTTTATTCTTGGTGTATTTAGAATAAATATTTGTATTACCTTACCCGTTTGACGAACCACATTCCTCTAGAATTAAGAAAATTAAAAATCAATTAACTGTGGTAATAAAGTTTAATATTATCCGGACACTATATAAAAATCTCAACATTTTGAAAGACAATTTCTATTTTATATGAGTTATATATTTGTCATTTATATGGGTTTTATAGTTAACAAAAATGGCATGATCTTCGATGAATAATTGTTATTGCAACTGATTTTCTATATATAAATTAATGTATCTTAAACCCTGTTATTTTAATTTCATTACAAATATTAGTAATTCTTGAGTTTTATGCAAAGTAGTCATTATTGTTACAACTATGTACAACAGTAAAAATATATTATGCACATTTATTGTTCTATAAAATCCATAGATTTGACAAACTGTTTTATTATTTTTTAATTGTTATGAACCAACCATATAACTATAAAAAAATTGTTTCACGTAAAACTAACTCATTATCTTAATAATGAGTTCAATTCTTTGTTTCTAAACGTTAATTTATTATCTATTTCCTCTGTATAATCTGTGTTTAAAAATATGTATTTCCAAATAGAATACCGAGTGCCAACTCTATTGTTTTTCTTTTTGTCTTCGAAGTTTAAAAAACAAACACTCTTTTGAAAAATGCACAAGTTTTAAAATTTATAGAATACAAACTGTTAAGTCTTCAATATTTATTCTTTGTTATTATATAATAGACGATTATAACTGTTTTTGAAATAATTATTTACTTGAATTTTGCAATTTTAATATTTGACATGTACTTACATGATACAAACCTAATAAATCTATTTAACAATATTGTACATATTTAAATGTAATCTATATTAAAACAAATATCCAATTATTATCTGTTTCAAAAAAATTATAAAATAATCATTTGATCCCGAGACGAATTTTGAAAAATTGTAAATAATGTACAAAATTATGGCATGTGTTTAACGGTTTGTCTACATTTAAATATTTCTTTTTTTATTTTCTAGCTCGAGGCTAGATGTAATGGTACTTTTGAATGTAATTATGTAAATACAAAATATAATTAAAAGATATATTTATTCCGTCAGTCATTATCTATATCTATTGTTTTAAAAACATTGTAAAATTGTTTTCATATAAATAAAAACGTAAAAAAAAATATTGTGTGTTATTTGGTGATATTCGTTGAATTGAGCATGTTCTGCAGTTGAGACCGTGTATGAGCGATGATCAGCATGCGGTGGTTGGCAGAAATTGGATGCTTGTATTCGAAGATCGAGCTAATTAAGCGGCCCACGAGAAAGTTCTATATCCGGTAGTAAACTGACTTAAGCTGATGATGATATCGTTTATATATATTTTATCAGAATTTCAATCACTATTAATTAATGAATAAATAAAAATCGGGGATATTATTTATATTAGCTTGTGTTACCTATATAAGATATTATTTCCCAAAGAGTTTTATTTTTAATAGTGATGAGTGAGTACATACAGATTTTCATGATACACATTATAAATGAAACTAATTTTTTCGGATAATGGCGCCATTTTATTTTTCCACGTTCTCGAAGTTTCATCTCTACTTAGCATGTCAGCTTCCCACGAGTCATGACTACTGTTACTAGAAAGGTATATAAATATAACATTTACTCTCGATGGGGGGTTCAGTCTTCCCTACAATATCCAGTCAGGACTCCACAAGCACAGCAAAACTGGAAAGACGATTCAGTGTAAGTACAGGGTGCGGGGTACAAGAGGCGACACTGGGCTCATATCCTATCGCATCGTATGCACTAAAAAGACCCAAACTCCAAAGGCTAAAAAGTTTACTACTTTTCATCAAAGAATAAAACTAGGGTGAGAAAACAAATAATAGACATTATATCTACTTCATTTTTATTAATTGAGTTATTATCAATAAATTGTAATATAGTAAGTTCAGATACTTGTATATTTTAGTTTTAAACGAATTTGGCTAATGGGCCCTTTATGAGGAAAAAAATGAAAAGTCAAGGTTTTTGCCAAAAAACTCACTAGTGTTTTACCATTCCTGAATCAGCATTAAGTAGACCACTTTTTAAAATTATCTGCAAACTCGTTGTCATATAGGTTTTTTCACACCAGCTAGTAAAAGTTAGTGTTTCGTCTTTTCACAAGATCACAAGTAACAGTATAACAGTATTTCTCGGTAAAATAATAATTGTTATATTTGGATATGCTATTCAAGATGTTAGAACAATAAAAAAATTACAATCTGGAGCTATTCCAGGCAACAATAGTAGAAATTCCAACACAAGATATCAATTTAAAAAAAAAGTGTGAATATCTAAAAAACTGTGATATTTTTACTGAGGTTAAATTGTGACTTTCCGATAGATCTCAAACTCATCTAACTCCTGTGTCACTGGGACGTGTTCATTTTGGGACGCCCTGTATATATATTTTAAACAAACTAATAAATTTCTTAACAAAATAATTGTCACTTTTTATCACTTCAAACACTGATTTAGTACTTTAACACTCTTTACTTATACTATTTTACAAAGTTTCGAAGTAGATCTTAATTCAACTAATGACCACAAATAGAATGAGTTCTCGTCAATTTGCAGCTATTATTATAGTCTCGATTGCCTATGATAGAAGAAACCGCTGGCAAGGGATGGGGTAGGTTTAGTTTGTCAAATATATATATGTATGTAAAGACCTGAAGCTATTAAAAAAGGGTTGATGGAGAATATTAAGTTACAAATGCAATGTCCTCCCATATTTGATACAGTTTTTAAATGTAAAATAATACAAAGATGAATAAAAAATTATTTTATTACTAATTATATTAAAACACATATATTTTTAATCTTTCTTTACATTTTAACCTATTCACTTATCTATTAATGTTCCTCTAACTCTCTTCTCCGAGGCACTATGAGAAGGTGTTTCAGCTTGTCGTTTATTCATACCTTTCCGTTCTAATTGTTTTTCTATTATCCTAGCATTATTGGCGTAACTGTCAGCTACCTCCCTCGCCTCAATTTCATCTTCTTCCTCGTCTATAGTCGACACGGTAACACTACTGAACTTGCCCATGTTTTTAGTATGTTTTGTAACCATGATCTTTTTGGGCTGTGCGAGGGCTACTTGCTTGTAAATATCTGTAACTGCTCCCTCAGCAACTGATTGTACTAGCGCTCCCTCCATAATAAACACTATGTTGTTACCCTGTTCGTGTTTATAGTATATGGGGATGGAACATTTTTTACACTTTAATCTGAATTGTTTTTCAATACCCTTTTCGCGTTTTAGATATACTGTTTCGTCGGTGTCTGCTGTTATTTTATGAGCGTGTTTTGATCCATCGATGACTCTCGCTCCGTCTGTTGGTCGTAAAGGTAACCTGTCTATCGTACAATCTAATATTAAGGACATCTGACCACATATACAGTAGTAAATGTGAAGCGGTTTCGTTTCATTATATTCTTCTTGATCTTTTGTATCTGAACACACAATACTTCGGGATACCACTTTAGGCATAGTGAAATATAATTATTATTGTACTTTTTATCAGTCGTCACTTGATTTGTTTATAATTCAGAACCAATTTTGAATTCAATTTTGTTGTCAAATTTGCCAAATTTGTCAAATTATTGAAGTTCTAGATTGTCAATTCTACATCATCTACTTTATGGAAAGAAAATCATAACATTGAAAAATTTACTTAAGATTCACATATACAAATCATAGTTTAAAGTATTAAGTATTCTTTTGTTAATAATACTGAGAAAAATTAAAAAGATTTCAACTAGACCCACAGAGTTAAAATTCGATTATTTGGGAATAAGAAAGTTTAATAATCTATGTAGAAATTCATGTTCTGTCAACTTCAGACCGATTGTCTTTTATTCGGCCCAATCGTGTTTCATTGCACATGTTCATCGATTTCTTAAGAATTTGGTAAAAGTGAAACAAATTCTTAACTAAAATGGGAGCAATAGCCAGCAGGTACCGTGTATCAAACGCAGGCCTCACTAACGCGGACATACAGAACATAGAAAACGCTAACAAACGTGAAAACCCGGGAACTTTGGATGAACTCCATAAAAAAACTAAAGGTAAGTTTTGTTAAGATACTACAAGGATTACTTAATAGAAATATTCGTGAATTTAACCTAAGAGTCATAAAAGTGCCGCTTTGCTGTATTCATTCAGAAACTATTATATATATATGTTCGGAAGGCTCAGCAATCAATCAAAAGTTTGGTTAGCCTGTGATGTAATATCTGTCTCAATGTTTATATTAACTTATAAATGTTACTATGTGAGTTTTGAGTTTGAAAATGTTGTCAAATAGTTATGAAGCCACATAGCATCGTTTGATCATAGATAAAACAATCTAAATATAATTAACCTACTTTTTGTTCAACTACTCTAAATTTATGTCTAAGTTGCCAGTAAACACAAATTATCTAGAATGTTATATTCATTAATAAAATAAAAAAATATTTCAATAATAAATTTATTTATTTAGCTAGGAAATTAATAACAAAATTACTGTCTCTTTAAACTAGACTAAAATAACTATATTTGTTATTTATTTAGGTATAAAAAATAACAATTAAAGTTTAATTGCTAAAGGAGTTATTTCATCTTAATAAATATATATAATATAATATTTATATGTTTCAGATGTATTACCAGTTAACTTTGAAGGTGGTAAACTTATGGTCAATAAGGGAATCTCCAATCATTTCCAGGTTGGTCTAATATCTAAATACATAAAATATAAATAACTTCATAAAAAATGTTAATATTTATATTTGTTTCCTGGTAAATTATTTTAAATAATATATACTCATGTTACAAATAAATAATAAAATTCATGAAATAATCAAATATTATGCAATATGTAGTAATTATAAACCATAAAACATTGAACTATTCACAGATGTCCCACACTTTAACGATGAGCTCAATGCAAAATGGTTACAAGCTGGGTGCAACATATATTGGTACAAAACAAATATCGCCCACCGAGGCCTTCCCTGTTGTACTGGGTGATGTTGATCCCGCTGGAAATGTTAACTTCAATCTAATACATCAATTAACTCAAGATGTCCGAGTGAAAGTTGCTGCACAGGTATCCTAATAACATTATATATATATACAAATACCTAAATATACAGGGTGACTGGTGAATTACTATCGATATTTGAGGACGTGATATTTGACGATCATATATGACAAAATAAAAATTAATATAACATAAATATTAATAAACTTCTAAGTAAAGTTAACCAAAAGTTGTGTAATTAATTACGCATCGTGTGAACACCCTACAGATTAGGTGTACACTGACACTCACACATACGCGTGTCGTGACGTAGTGTTGTATCAGCACGTCGCCGCACGCGTCCACACTTGAACATTTGGAACGTGTCAACACTTTACTTATTATTACGGAAATTTTGTCAAAAATTAAGTGCCTATTTTTTTTATTAATTCGAATGAGAATCATGTACCGAGTATTCTCCTTAAATATTGATAGTAATTCACCAGTCACCCTGTATAATGGAAAATTCATGAAGAAAAGAGGGTTTGATTTAGAACTGGGATATTGTGATTGAGTTACTTTAGTAAGTAGCAGGTTTAAATCCTGATTGAGTTTAATTAAGTATACATATATTTAGAGAAATATTATGATGCACATTATTTTCATTACTGAATATAATAGTACGAGGGATATTAATTTATATTACATTTATAACACTTATAAACCGTCCAGATTATTTAAAATAATGAAGTATATACTCATTTCAAATTATTATTAAAAAACTACTATTTTTACTAAAAATATTTTTGTTACTGAACTCATTACAGTAACAAAACTTTGAAATTCTATTTATATATACAACAATTTTACACATTGTTTATTTAATTTACCTACAAAATATATATTTTTTAATTATAGGTTCAAGAATGCAAGTTGTCGGCGACACAGGGCACAGTTGAATACAAGGGTTCAGACTATACTTTAGCCCTGGCCGTCGGTAAACCTGACTGTAGTGATAAATCATCTGTGTTTGTTGGACATTACTTGCAGGTAGTTATAAATTTAGAAATTTCATTTGATATTTTTTAAATAAAATAATAGTAATTTTTATTAAAATGTCTGAAAATAAAAGGTAAATTAACTAATAAAATAATGGACTGGAAATAACCAGTACTACTAATAAACTACTTACAGAGTAAATGAAACTAATATTATTCAGATTACTACCGTGATCACGGTGTCGGTTGCTTAAAAGTAACTGAAACATCGGGAGTAGGCAGGTTTAAAATAATAAAATATGTGGAGTGATCCAAATAATATTAGTTTCATTTAAATGAATACTCGCGAAAGTCTTAGATCTTAGATCTCATTATTTGAAAGTCTTAGATCTCATTATTTGCAGAATAATATCCTTAAAATAGCCTTAAAACTAACGGCGAATACAATATTAACACTTAAAATCCTTGGACAATGTCATCTCGATGATCAACAACCGAAATATAGCTGGCCTCTCTTTCACACACTGCTTCTATATAGTTTGTTTTGAACTTTTTACACTTTATATATAAGTTTTACACTCATTATTATTACGATAATATAATTTCCAGTCAGTCAGTAAGCATCTAACGCTGGGTGCGGAGCTCGTGTATCAGAGCAGTGCGCGTATAGCAGGAGGAGAGGTGGCCATCGCCTCGGCAGCAGCAAGATATACTATGGACGGTATGATTCAAATATATTATAGTATTTCTGTACTGTATATTCGACATTATTACGGAATCATGTAAATTCACGCATCATCACCTTTGTTTAATTGCGAAATTACAATAACTTATAATTTAATTCAGTTTACATTCGCTCACGAAGCATATATTTTATTATATGATATTAATCAATTTAAGAAGCATTATCAATTTATATCATTTTATTATGTGTATGAGCAAACTCATGCCTGTAAAAACACTAAACATCACTTAAATTTATACTACATTAGTTCATAAGACGAATGGATTTCTAGATTGGTTTTAAACATATTAATAATGTACACTCATTAAATACATTATAAAATATAAACCATCAGAAACATCTATTGACTGCAACACGTAACTAAATACAATTACAACTATAATTACATTTTCTTAATTAACTATTAAGAATATTTTTTTTAGTTACATCCCATACCTAATTCTGGAGACTAAGCTTATTTACTGTCAAGTTTAATCAATATTAGTTCAGAAATTTGTAGGTGAAAACTAAATCCTACTAAATTGTTGCATTGACCAAATTAATATATTATTATAGCCTTTGAAAAGTAGGAAATAACAAAATATTAAAGAATATATTATAATATTGTTTTCATTGAAACCACAGATTCTGAAGTATCAGCAACTCTGGGAGCTGCTAGCTTCCATGTCTGCTACTTCAAACAAGCTAGTGAACAATTACAGGTGAGAAAATATAGAAATAAATATACTATATACTTGAGAATTTCAATACGCGTTGTGATGATAGTGTTTACGGTTCCTTGGGAAACCAACATCCCCAAAGACCATGCCACAAGGTCAATAAATATTACGAGCTCACTTGAAATAGGTTCGTCGTGTATTTGTACGCAGTAGAAGTGAGAGCTACAACCTACTAAAAGACTTGAGCCTATACAGAACTAATATCAATTAATTCTTGGTTCGTACTTCTAAGGCAGCCCTAGTAGGTTCTTTTTGAATTTGGTAGAGAGTGGAGCTTGGATGGTGGAGGTGAGCGTTTAACGCGCGTTAGATAGGGACCTCTTAAACCTACACCTGGGTCACAAGTGCCAGTCACTGTTGAAGCTCCTCTCACTACAACGATGGACCCGACACACGCACCGTGAATACATGGAATGATGAAAAGCTTCATCTCTTTTAATACTTATACACTAATAACGCCTTTGGGCGTGGGGTTATACACGTCCATTAACCCGGCTCCTGGGAGACTAGAGTCATCTTCTCTGTGCTCCACTAGAGCAACTCCTGTCTGGCGCGTCCTTGTCGCGGGGGTGGGCATCGCACACTTCAGTAGGCCGAAGGGTGTAGATGGCGAAGTTCAGCAGGGACCCAATTCTGCGGGGTATATCGTAGAGCCCGTGCCCAGGGGCTTTACGGGTGAAGACCTCAACGGTGGAAAGAGCGGAGACAATAGTTGTCGGTACGGTCCAACCAGTGGAGGAGGCAAGCCACAGGGGCGTTGTACCTGGATCCTGATGGAGGGCAGCGGTAGCCATCAGTACTGTAGTGAAGCGTAAGAATCATATATTCGGAATTGGTTCACATACAGATTTCTACGGACACTGAGTCTGTAGTACCGCGATGTAGAAAGCAACGGGATACTACTACATTATATTTCCCACGAGAGTTGAATGATGAAATGCAACACAATAAAGTAGTACGTTTGCCTGGCAATCCGCGTAGCAACCGGCGCTATGAGTTTTCCGGGACTCACAGTGTGAAATCGGCTACCGGCCGAGGGAATGTAGGCAACCAGGCATCCCCCGGAAAACATGCGACTGGAAGAAAATCGTTCCAGCTACGAAATACCACTCGTATAGGAACTTGGAACGTACGAGGACTCCTCGATGGGGGTAAATTACATATCTTGGATAATGAGCTCCAGCGATGCAACATCACCATCACCGGTCTAAGCGAGACGCACTGGAAAAGTAGTGGCCACCGAGACTTGAGTAAACACACCATCTATTATTCAGGAGATGACTCCAGTAGCCTTGCTGGAGTGGCCATTGCAATTCCAAAACAATGGACTAAAGCGGTCCTAGGTTATAATCCGGTCAGCAACAGAATTATAATGATGAAGATTGATGCGTGTCCCACTCCACTGAATATTATACAGGTGTATGCGCCCACCAGCACCGTAAAAGATGAAGATGTAGAAAAGTTCTACAATGACATCGAATCTTTAATAGCAACAATACCAAGTAGAGAGTTGTTGATCATACTCGGCGATTTTAATGCAAAAGTGGGTGACACACGCATGGATGTGGGGTTGCGGAATATTGTAGGTAACTATGGTCTCGGTCAAAGAAATGATAGGGGGGAGAGATTGCTCCAATTTGCAGCCGACAACAACTTCACCATAATGAATACAGTATTCCAACATCATCGCAGAAGGCTGTACACTTGGACGTCCCCTGATGGAAAATACCGGAACCAGATTGACTATATACTAATAAGATCTAGATGGCGAAGTTCGATTATGAACGCACACACATTGCCCGGAGCCGACTGTCAATCTGACCATCAGCTTCTCACAGGTACACTTAAACTTAAGTTACGAAACTCCATACCTCGTAAACCTACCAAGAGGCTCGAAATCATAGACAACTTATCCTTCAAGAACCAACTGGAAACACATAAAAGCACATGGCGGTCACTAGCCCTTGATGATGATAGCGACTCACTCTGGCAATCCGCAAAGGAGTACATAAAAAAATCTATCCGCTCCTCGCAACCTATTCGGACAAAAGATAAACGCCAACATTGGATGTCAGAACATACTTGGCGTCTCGTAGAACATCGTCGTGAGTTGAAGACCAAGGGGGCATCCGTCCAAGACCTGAATTTGTTAGGGGCGCAGATACAATCTTCTACGCGTAAGGACTATAATAACTATCTCAAAAACATCTGCCTGGAATTAGAAAAAAATGCCAACCGCCATGAAACTAAAGATTTATTTAAGAAGATTCGAACCATAACTCGACAATTTAAACCGAAAACCTGGGCCGTTGAGGATGAAAATGGAGTGACCGTAACAGAAATCAAGGACATTCTGGGAGTGTGGAGGAAATATTGCGCGCAACTTTTCAGTGATAGCAGCATAAAAACGTCTACGTGTAACATTAATACACTATCACAGCATGATATGGAGCCAAAAATCCTGAAAAGTGAAGTTCGAGCCGCAATAGATCACTTGAAGAGGAATAAAGCTGTAGGAGTTGATACCATTCCGATAGAAGTTTTCAAAGCAATGGGTGAACATGGAGTTGATATTATGCACGTTATCTGCAACCGTGTCTGGGAGACAGAAAAATGGCCACGAGACTGGGCACATTCCGTGTTCATACCTTTGCACAAGAAAGGATCAACGAAGAAATGTGGCAACTACAGACTAATATCTTTAATTACACACGCCAGCAAAGTTCTTCTTCATGTCATAAATACCAGGTTGCGAGCTTTTCTGAATCCCGAAATAGCTATTGAGCAGGCGGGATTTGTCAAGGGTCGTGGAACAAGGGAGCAGATTTTAATTCTTCGACAAATAATTGAAAAGTCTAGAGAGTTTAACATCCCACTCTACATCTGCTTTGTCGACTTTCGCAAAGCATTCGATACTGTCAAGTGGCATAAATTATGGGACGTACTAGTTCAAATGGGTACTCCCATTCATCTGGTTCGTCTCATACGACGACTTTACGAGGATGGAACTGCGAATGTTCGAATAGACGACGTTGACTCGAAAAGTTTCTGTACACACGCTGGAGTTCGGCAAGGATGCATACTCTCTCCACTCCTTTTCAACATCTACACGGAATGTATTATGCGAATTGTACTGGAGACATGGGACAAGGGCATTTCAGTGGGAGGACAGAGAATATCGAACCTAAGATATGCTGACGATACCACTCTTCTAACACAAACGAAAGAAGATATGGAACACCTGCTGACCTGTCTAGAGACAACAAGCCTCGCATTCGGACTGACGATCAACAGAGACAAGACCAAGATGATGATAGTGGACCGAGCTGAACTGAACCATCCTGACATCTCTATGATCGGCAACTGTGAGGTTGTCCAGTCTTTTGTGTACCTCGGTTCCACTATCACAAACACTGGAGGATGTGAGGATGAGATCCGAAGGAGATGTGCTATCACGAGATCTGCGGTAGATAAGCTTAAAAGAGTCTGGTGCAACCGTAATATCACCAAAGCAACAAAAGTCCGCCTAATGAGAAGCCTAGTCTTCCCGATTTTCCTGTATGGCGCAGAGACGTGGACTGTTCATCTTAAAGACCGACGCAAAATCGATGCACTCGAGATGTGGTGCTGGAGGCGATTATTGCGTATTCCCTGGACAGCGTTTCGAACCAACATCTCAATCCTGGAGGAACTAAAGATCAAGCAGAGATTATCGTCGACTGTACAAACACGAATTCTCAAATATTTCGGGCATGTGGTCCGTAACGAACATTCCATGGAGCGACTCGTTGTGCTGGGGCAAGTCGAGGGCAAAAGATCACGTGGCCGAGCACCTACGCGTTGGGTGGACCTTATCAAAAGTACGACGCAAACCTCGGTAGTCCAGAGTTTCCGAGACGCTGAAGACCGGAATAAGTGGAGGCGCATCGCGGGAGCTGTTTTATCCAAAGAAAGTGCAAGTCATCAACCACGACCACTCTGTCAAGAGTGAACGACTGAGGAGACACTAATAAAGTACAAATGAGCTAGTGTTAAAAAATATTATTAAATTACAGGTGGTCGCTGAAATGGAGACTTCATTCAGGGGTATGGAGTCAACGGGGACTATTGGATACCAAGTGACTATACCTAAAGCGGAGCTCGTCTTTAGAGGTACATATTCTATTATCCTACTAATATTATAATAGCGAAAGTTTGTGAGTGTGTGTTTATGATTGTTACTTCTTCACGCTCAAACGGCTGAACCGATTTTGTATACAGGAAGCTGACGTCCAGGAGTAACATTTAGTCTACTTTACATCCCGAAAATCTAGTCCCGGGCGCAGCTAGTATTTACATATATCTCTATCAAAATTTCTTATAAAAAAATTTTCATACACTTTTTATTTTTATTTATAATATCTTTAAAAATATCTGCTTTATAAAGATGTAATTCTAACACAAGAAATACTTTTTTGTGCTAATCACAAAAAACATAGTTAATGAAATAGTATTGAAAGAAATACATATGTTATCGCCATTTACTATTTATTTTATTGATTAATTAATTGTTTATAATAATTTTCAATACTGTAGTATTCAATAAAACTATTAGGTACATTTGACATGTATGTAATGTGCAAAGTAGCAAGAATGTATGACGAGAACTAATATAATAAAGTGATCTACCTATATTACACTTGAAATTATAATATGAATTAACAATTCCAACAAATATAACTAAAATACACAAATATGTTTTCAGGTATGGTTGATTCAAATTGGAATATTGGGGCAGTTCTGGAGAAGAAACTCCAGCCGTTGCCATTTACATTTGCTCTGTCAGGTATGAGCAACCAGGCCAAACAACAGTTCAAGTTTGGTTGCGGCCTCATCATCGGATAGTTGTGAACAGTTGTGATAAGTCGTGCAAAGTTGTCCATTTGTAGAAAGTTGCCCTATATTGGTATTGTGTGACAGTTTAGTGTTATTTCAGCATATATTTCTGATACGCTGAAATTTCAAGAGTTAACATTGATTGTAATAAAGCTCGTAGCCAAACAAAGCAAGGATACATCCAATGTATATATTGATGATTATTTTGGATGCAATGTGTGTCGCTTCTATATAAACAATATATTGGTTCAGTAAAATGTATTGAATTGACATAAAAATTATCAGGTATAAAATAATGAATAATTAGTATCATAAATGCGAGCAACTTGTGTTATGAATGTTTGTTTGCTGTTAAATATCACAATAGTGTGTCCTTGTGTATTATTTTTTACATAGATGTCTGTTTTTACACCGCTACCGCTAAACCAGAACAGCATTTACAAATACTCTAGGGTTATTTTATTAATTGTGTAATCCACACACTTCCATATAACAATCTGTAATATTAGCTTTAAAATGTATTTAAATAGTGCACAATGAAGATTCTATTTTATTACCTAATAATTGTTGTTACGCCAAAGTTTCATAGCCCTAGAGAAGTTTGAATATCAAAGTAAGTCGCTTGTGTGGGTCGTGTGTAGTTTTAACGGTGAATGTACATAGCATATTGTTGAACTGTTTATTTTTAATAGAGTTATGTTAATAAATCAAATATACTTTCATTTATCAACCTTATAATGAGACCGAACCTCTCATCATTCCATGTATTCACGGTGCAGGTGTCGGGTCCATCGTTGTAGTGAGAGGAGCTTCAACAGTGACTGGGACTTGCGACCCAGGTGTAGGTTTAAGCCTTAAGGGGCCCCTTAACTAACGCGCGTTAAACGCTCACCTCACCGTCCAAGCTCCTCTCTCTACCTAATGAATGAATTTAGTTGAAATATATGAAGTATTGACTCAATGTTTTGTATCGGGAAGGAGGATGGAATAAAACGACATGTGTAGTTTAAAAATAACGTAAGTTTATTACATGTAATGAAATAAAAATATACTATAAAGTTTTATTCTGTTACATATATAACTGATTTCATCTGCGTCCATAGAAATTCTTACAAATAATTCAATCTAAGCTGTCGTTAGTTTAATAAAAGCATTATTGACAAGTCTCGTACTATATTTAGTTAATTTACAAAAATCCCGGCATCCCGAGTATCAATGAAGTACAATTATTTCGTGTCGTTGCGATATTAAACTAACTCCAACTCATCAAGCTGGGTGGACTTATAAAAGCTCAACTACCAAATCCATCGAAAAAAACGTCAACCCAACTTACATACCACTAAGAATTTAAACTTTTCATCTTCTTATACCAAAATATATTATTATGGCTTGAGTTATCATTTCAAAGATACATATATGTCTATCAATAATATTTAGTAATCTATTTATAACCTAGACTTAAATATAGACGATTGCAACACTTTGAGGATCGCAAAATGTCGTGGAGATCTGTTATTTATTCGCTATTGTAATGTTCTTGTTGATATTAGAATTTATTTTAAACCCTGACCGAAATTTAAACCTATATATGATATATTAAGCAGAGGTCTATAGTAACTAGACCCAGAACATTACACACAATGTTTGATTATGACAGATCAGCAACGTTGCCAGTCATCAAAAGAAATGCTTAGTATTTGGTAAAGCGCTGAGGAGCTGAAAACCGAAAAACACAAAAACTTGTTTCTGTCATGGCGTAAAAATGAAGTAAAAACGGTTGTGCTAAAACAGAATTAAACTAAGTACATACAGTCAATTGTAAAAAAATATAAATCGGATTGACGCGTGGGGCCGTTGATTTAGAGTGTTGCATGTTGTAAACGACGCCGAGTTAATGAACGTTAAACACATACATGACATCAAAAATTAAGACTAATAAAAATAATTAAATACCTATGAGATACAGCGATGACTGCAGTCAGAAGACCGGGTATAGATTTAAATTGGTTTATGCTATGGGGACAGATTTAAATATTTACAAAATAATACCCTAAGGTCACTGGCGCCCGTTGTGTTGCCAGTTGTTATATATAATGAACATTATGAAATAATTTTTAAAACGTCGTTTTAAAGGCGAGTACATGTTATATATCAAACCTTTTTAAACAACGGTTATACATAGAACCTACATCCCGTCAGAATACGTCACAAGCTCTACACCAACGTGAACATCTTAAAATATTGCTGCTATAAGCGTAATTATACATGTCTCTGCTCACTTTGTAATAGAATTTAGTAATTTCACAATTATGTTTGGTTTTGTGCCAAACTATAAACAAAAGTTATTATGTGGATAGAGCGAATACCATTCCGAGAATATTGTATTATGTTTTGACATATAAAGATAATCCAAACGATATAAAAATTTAATCAGGTCAAAAAAAATGCGAGCCGACCATAGACAAATCTTAGACTTTAACCATAGACATTTCCATCACACCAATATTTAAAAATACGATTAATAATGAATTAATTTTTAAAGCACTTGTGTGTACTGCGTTTTATGAGCATTTATGTGTAAAAAATTGGCATAACGTGGTCCATTTCACAGTACACGTGACCGGTCGCTCTAACATCGGCCCATCGATAAACCCTTAACAACTACAGTACATCACTAAATGGGTGTTATCAATAAGGCGATATCGAATTATATTACTACCTCACATACAATATTTGGCTAATACCTGGCGGTATAATAAATGAGATATGTCTGAAAAAACTTGTAAGTACAAAAGTGAAATTATTCTTTGAGAAAAAATCACTTTTAATGTAATAAAACAATGAGGTAGTAAAATAATTGTATGGACGCTCCAAGCCGAGTGAGATGCCTCAACACACGATCCTTTAACAAAGAACTTTGACATTTTGATCAGAAACTACACATTGAAAATTGATTGCCATTTAAAAATTATCAACACTACACACGATAAAATGCAGACATTACACCGGTTATACAAATCAAAACTAAGTATCATATTAAATTATGAAAATGTTACAATTAATACCAAAGAGTATATATATCGAGAAATATTAGTTTTTTTATAATGGCAATACTCTGTGACAACGTCAAAGACCATAGTACAGACATCCACAAGTTCACAACGGGTCATTGCGTTATAATTCCATATCGTGAGCTTCATCATCACTGAATTCAGACATCGATGATTCTGAATCGCTCGGGGTCTTCGAGGCCCCGAGGCCTGTAATGGCGTCCTTCTCTAAAAGTGCCTCCTCAGTAGCGAAACGACGAACGTAGTCTGCAAATTAATGTCGGGTGGAAGTATATACTTAACATAATAAAATATAACTAGGATTTATCTTATAAAAATGTTTTAAACTTATAATTGTCTGGAAGTGATCGTTTTTTATCGTATTATCTGCCTCTTTTAGAGTTTTTATAGTCGGTTTAATTTTGAAGAGCAATAAAAAGTATTATTATAACTTTTATGTGTGTACCCATAATTAAAAACATTTTCTTAATCATCTTCGTGAATATATCTCTAGTTTTGAATATATTGAAACACCTAACAAGTACTGCTTAGATACAATTGTAAAAGTTGCATATAATTTTATTTTATAATATTAATAACAAGAAATAATAATGGAAGGAACAGTTGTGTCTTTAATAATGCAGCTATCATTTATAAATAAATTTCGTACTATATGACAAGTTATCACTATGAGGTGAATCAAATGCTCAGTACTCAATAATCAATGCTCAATACTCAGAACTCACCTGATACTTTTTTCTTGTACTCCTCGGGCTTGTGCAGGTACATGGCAGCTGCGTCCCCATTGAGAGGATCAATGGGATTAGGATATGTCAATAGTTGTGGCAGGAACGACTCAAATATGTTCGATAGATCTACAAGTAAAAGGTCAATGACATTACATTATTAGAATACTAGGTACCTCAGCTTCGGAGATACTTCACAAAAAATTTAAAATTAGCCTAAGTTGCGTATAATGCGTTGAGTACTTTCTATTCGAGTTAAATGAAGATAAAAAAAAATTTCATCATATTTCTTCGTTAAACATATAATAAGTTTGAACTTAGAAAAACGGTATATTTTTATGTTAATAATAGTTTTTTAATATAATAAAAAACAAAAAAATTGTATACAAAATTAATGACGTGATCATGTGAAAAAATGAGTTATCGCGTGGATTGATTATGAGAATTATTAAACTTATGATAACTTTCAAATGGTACGTCCGAATTAAATAATTCAAAAAGTAATTTATAGATACTGATGTAGGCTTGAACACGAAGTAATTTATTTTGATAAGACTCAACACGGTAATTATGAAAATAGCTTTCATATAAACGCTTCATAAATGGCAATTTTTAAAAGTAATAAAATGGATATAGTATGTTATCCTTGAGAGATAGACATATACCATCGCGGACTTTTCGATAGACCTTTATTAGATACACAATTCCACCATACATTGTTTTGTTATATCTCAAAGGGTTTTAGCAGCATTGTCGTTAAAAGATCCCAGACGCCTCATTTTTTCCCGACATCTCCAACAAATATTGTTAATGTATACACAAATCAATAGAAAATCTTAACAAATTATATATTAAAACCTTTCTCAAGAATCATGCTATCGAATAATGATAACCGCTTGTTAATTGGTACAGTAGTTTTTCTGTTTATTGCGAACATACAGACAGACAGACGCGGCGGGGCACTTTGTTTTATAATATGTATTCTATATAAATAATTAGAACAAATCATATTTAGTCAAATTGATTTTTATATACAATTAGTGCAAAATGATCAATTGAAAATAAAATCGAAATCATCTTATTATATGATAGAAACTGGTGATATCTCTTATTTACGTAGTTTTATAATTTAATATTTCAAATACGGAATGTAATAAGAATATATTTGTTTTAAAAATTCTATCAAATCAAAGCCATCGAGAGTACATTTGCATATACATAGAATAGTCTTCTTCTACCTGGCAATTACCCAGCTTTAGCCAGGGTCTGCCTTACATATGGTGAATAGTTTTGGCTAATGTTTTTACGACCGGCCGCCTGCCTGACATCAACCCTCTTTGGGAATGCATAAATCAGTGATGTCTAAACACTCTTAGAAAGTACATATGACCCGGAAAAATCACATTGGTACATGCCAGGATCGAACCCGCGCATTCGTGTATGAGAGGCGGGCCTTTTAACCACTAGGCCACCACTAACTTATTTGCATATAGAATCCTACTAATATTATAATTGCGAAAGTTTGTGAGTGTGTGTGTATGTTTGTTACTTCTTCACGCTCAAACGGCTGAATCGATTTTGATAAAATTTTGTATACAAGAAGCTGACATCCAGAAATAACACATAGGCTACTTTACATCCCGGATATCCGCGGGTAACACCGCTGGGCGCAGCTAGTAGTATATATAGTAAAATAGTATAAATATTAACGTACCATATAAAGCCGTCCAAGCCTGATTAATGACGTCCAGACACACGGTGCCCGAGACCTCGTCAATATTAGGATGATACACTTTGTTCATGAAACCAATGGACGGGGATTTGAAGGGGTAGTGGTCCGGCAAGTGGACTCTCACTCGCCATACACCACCTTCGTATGGAGCTGGAAATATATGCACGAATAGTTAATATATATCTTTATATATATAATTCTTCTGTGAGTGTGTATGTCACTGAACTTCTCTCAAACGACTGCACCGATTTTGACAAATTTTTTTGTGTGTGTTCAAGGGAATCTGGGAATGCTTTAAATTTACAATTATGTCCGCTGGACAATTTTTTTTTAATTAATTTTTAATTTATTAGTAGTTGTGGATACAATTTTTTTTTTGATATTAGATTTGACAACTAACCAGTGGCGGCTGGTGGGCTATCGAACTGGTGGTGCACTTTAATAAAATATTAAAATTAGAAAATGCAACAAAAAACCAATTGACATAAAATATGTTTATTTTTTAAATATTAAATCAATGCGACGACATTTTTCTGAAGCGAAATGTTCAATCACCTTTTTTATTAAAATCGAGTATTGTTTGTATAATTATTTTTTTCAATACTAAGCATAGAAAGTGCATTTAGCAAGTGCATGGTATTTCGGAGAAAAGTTTTGATTCTTTTCAATTCCAATACGTCATACATCGGTTACTCTCGGTAACCTTCGGCCGCTCGTGCGGCGCTCGAGAACCGACTCGTTACTCGGTACATTTCTATGAACTATCTTTTGTTTCACGCGTCAGGCGTATTATTTCGTATCTCATACAAGATGTATTAGCAGTCTTCGTGCACTCGCCGAGGCGCACGATATTAGTTCAGTAAAGCGCACAAACTTTTTGACTATAATTAGAAATTTAATTTTTTATACGTTTTTGTATGTTTAGAAAATAAATATTAAAATGGTAATTTAAAAATAAAGATGAAGTATTATTTTGTAATTTTTAAATCTTTTGAATTGGTGGTTCAGCGCACGAGTGCACTTAAGGTACAGCCGCCACTGCAACTAACTAATATGTCAATCATTCTGTCGCACTTCAAGACACGGAGATTTATGGCTTTAACAGGTAAACTCCAAAAATATAAATAAAAAAACGTAACAGATTTTTCTTGATTATAGGGCGATACGAAGTTCGCCGGGTCTTCTAGTATATATATATAGGTGTATATAGTCCGGGATAGTGTAAATCTGCGTAACCAGCATTGGATAATTCCGAATATCTTCATTAGAAGCAAATTACCAGAAGAAAGTTTAAGCTGAAATATTTTATAAATTAACAACATTTAAAGTAATTTTTCACAATAAGTAATTATTCAGTGTTTAATTTATTAAAAATTGTGAAAAACTACGAGACTTTCTTCTGATAATCTGCTTCCAATGTAGATACGCGGAATCGGAAAGCGAAATATTTATTGGTTACCGACTAGATAATGCTATTTCCATTATAGTACTACGTATATTAAACTTTTTGTATAAGATTATATATATATATATATATATATATATATATATATATATATATATATATTTAAGTATAACAATTATTTTTATAATAAATGGTTAATGAATAACCAAAACAATACTATTTTACTGATAAGAATACAAAATAATAAATCAGTTATTTTTGCTTATTATAAAAGCGAGTAATGTTTTACTTTAATTATATACAGTGAATATAGTCACTAATTAATTAATTAATACAATATGTTAGTTTATTTAAATTATTTATTATAATGGCAATACTCTAATAAGAAAGATCTTATTAGAGTTGCCATATATGGAAGACATACTACAGATAACAATATTTGATTAAAAAACATTGGTTTAACTTTTATTTTTGCTTATATTATCTATGTGTGAGTATATGTTCATTTCTAACATATTTAATTTATGTCCCCACTTCAAATAATGTTAAAATATTAGTCAATAATCAGTTTCAAAATAAATTAAAAATATATATAATTTTCCATTTATCTAATATACAACTAACTATTAAATGTACTAGTTAAAAAAAACATATATTATATGGTTGTATACTCACTGCCGGGCGGTCCAAAAAATTTCACACAAAATTCATTCAGACCTCCGAGTATTGTGACCTCATGCTTACTTTCAATACTGTTATTGTTGCTAAGGAAAATATAATATGTATGTAAAATTTTATATAAGAACAGGTAAAACAGGCTTTTTAGGCAAAACATAGGTAAAAAATAAATGTAAAATCCTGTAAATTAAAATATTTCTAGATATTGATGAAAAAATATATTTACGTTTTAAAAGTAGTTGTATTAATAGTATTAATGGCATAGTTGTAGTATGTGATAAGATAATAAGTAGACAATTATGTATATACATATATGTGTGTGTGTCTCTGTGTGTGTGTGTGTGTAATTCGACTTAAAAACAGCAATGACAACATAATTTCACCATATTAATATAATACATATTCTCAAAATTATTTTTAACCTATTTTATGAACAAGATTATTAAAACAAAGTAATTTTACCACAAGCATACCTTCATATGATAAGGTGAAGGTAAGGACAAACATATTGAAATAGAAAAATATAATAGTTGCCAGACAATTAATTGTTATTAATTTTGCTATTGCTTTTTGTATTATATAATTATTTGATTGTTCTAGATTTTTCTTTAGTTTACAATCTAAAAATTATGCAGTTTAAATTAAGCTCAGATATATATATGAAATAGTGTGAGTTTTTCAAAATTAATTATTGATAATTTTTAATAACAAATTTTTATTACATTATATAGTTTTCTTTACCTCCAGTGTTTGTCAATTTCAAATTTATAAACGCTATTTATGTCTCCTGAGCAAATATAATTGGCAGAATACCAAGTACCAACTTTACATAGCTTTATAATATTTATTACTTAATTTATACTTATAATCATTATATCATAGTTAACAATAGAACAATGGTAGTCAATATATTACTTTGTTCACAAATACTATATACGGTTTAATGAATTAACGAGAACGGGCAACGAAAAATACGCAACAAGACCGTGGCCTACATACAGATTATGAAATAATACAATCTAAACACACGGAAGATCATTAATATCCTACACTAACTGCGTGTTATATATAGATACGAAAGCTATCTGACAAAGACGCAACATCCAGCCCTTTATAATAATATAACAAATATTATAATTATAATGACTATTACAGCGTAATTATTATAAAGATAAGATGACTATTGAATTCATATAGAAATTATTTTTTTATCGATTGCGTGTAGAGTCGTGACAATCAGCTGATGGCCCTTCTACCTACATGTAAATACATGGTTCCCTAACGCAGTGAGTGCTTTGTAAGATAACAAAGGATACAGTTTTATGACGTCTGTGTCCATGCGACGTTTCCCAGCGCTCGGTGACGACATCTTCGTGATCTATTACAAATAAATCACTGTATCGAACACGAACACTAGCACGAACCCACACTCGACGCAGCGAGATAAAATTTTCGTCCACCACCAGCAGTCAGAAAAATAACATTGTAGAAAAACAATGGACACTAACCATAGACTAAAATTTCCAAGGTGATGTGTAATGAAGTGTTGTACAAAACAAACTTTTAAGTCTATACTGTAAAAATATTTTATATTGATTTATGTAATCAAGGTTTAATATGTTTATAAAATAAAATATTTATTTTATCTGCAATTATTATAATTGTAGAAATATAAAATTTGAAATATTACAAAAATACAGTACCCTGATAAGAAATGTGCTTTATTATCAAGTACATTGAGAAGAAACATAAACATATTTTTAAATATGTAGGAATAGCATAATTATGTCAAAATAGCAGGAAGAAAGAACTAAACAGTCTATATTTATTTTGAAGCAAAAATTAAATTTTGGGTTTACTTCTTAACATGTAATTTTTAAATTATGTTTTCTTTATGTTGATCTACCCTATTTGTACTTAATATCATTAAGAATACTGCCCTCAGAACTTAGGATAACAAAATTTTGTAACTGTAAAAAGTAGTAGAAAGGAAAAAGTTTACTGTTTTGACAGAGATATTCTCGATGTTTCAAATTGATATTTAGACTGTGTTCTGACCAAAGACAAAGCAAGAACATTTTGCGTCATTGCGTCAAAATAAAAAAAAAGCTGACAGTTTGTCTACGCCCTACCATCCAAAACTTCGCGTGTGTGACCCGTGGAACATTATTTATAATTTGATCTAAATATAGATTGATATTATTTATCGTATCCCACAGTTAGTTGGAAAGGTTCGAGAGTGTACAGTGATTCTGCATGTGCAAAAATACAGTGGAAACATGTGTTTCGATGTGAATATATCGTGATTCAATGACACTACCAAAGATAGTTGTCAACAAATTCTAATAATTATATAGAAGTTGCTCTGTATTTAAATTTGCTCGTAATCCGCTGAATGTCTGGGTGATGTGAGATTTTAGTTAGTATCGGTGATAGCGGCGGGGTGTTGAACTGAAACCAACTTCCGGTGATGTAGTGTGGGTGCTTTATTGGTTCAAGATATTACACAGGATGGCGAATCCTCCGGTCGGAGTGTCGTTCGACCAGAATGATATGTCCAGGTGATCAATCAACTTCCACATGTACACTGCATAATAAAAAACTACCTCCTATAAGAACGTCATGTAGCCATAGCAACTTCAGAATTTTGTATAATACTAGCTGCGCCCCGCGGTGTTACCCGCGGATTTCCGGGGCATAAAGTAGCCTATGTGTTATCCCTGGACGTCATCTTCCTGTATACAAAATTTTATCAAAATGGGTTCAGCTGTTTGAGCGTGAAGAAGTAACAAACATACACACAAACTCTCGCAATTATAATATTAGTAGGATAAAACTTTGTTTAGAAAACTTTATAGCCGTTTTATGTCTGTCCCAGTCTACTAAATGTATTAGTGACCTTTGAGTAGTGTGCTAAGTCTTGCCAGTAATCATTATCCTCAATAATTGCTTCATTGTTTAAACATGATTTATATGTCTGTACAACTATGAATTTAATATTTTATTAAACTGTGTCCTATCATCATCTAATATTAATAATATGATGTAATGAAAATAATCATTTTAACAGAATATTCTATTCCTGTATTATATAAAATTGATATTACTTTTTATCTGTTTTTTTCTTTCTAAAATACAACAATATCAAAAAATTAGCATTTTTTTAATGCTTTAATTATGTACCTTGTAGTTAAGAGAGCCTTTCCACTAAGGTAAAAAAAACAACAATAAGAATATAAAATTGTCAATAATTCATATCGTTTAATACATTTAAATGAAAATAAATGACGGTAAATAGACCTTTAACATAAATTTTATATATATATTTCAATATTCTGACTCTATGATTAAGGCTAGCATAAAATCATTGAATTCAGTGAAAAGTAGAGAAATAATTATGTTAAGCAAATATGTTATAATTTTTATTTCAACATAGACAAATCTTGTATATTATATCCACCTTTTCTATTTTCAGTTGGTATTTCAGTGGCCTTTCCCGAGCAGAGGCCACTAAGTTGCTTCTCAATGAAACCGAGAGTGGTGTTTTCCTCGTACGAGACTCAAAAACAATACACGGAGATTATGTACTGTGTGTCAGGTAATTATGAGAAATGGAATCATTATTTGTATGGTTTTCCTTTAGTTATGTTACAGTTAAATATGTTAAACTGTAGTTAATAAGCTTTGTTTTAACTGTTTTAAGTTAACCGTTTGTGTTTGTATTCAATAAAATTATATTTAATTTGTCATGTATGTATTGTGCTTAGTAAGAGTGAATGACAGAAACTAGTGTAATAAAGTGATCTACCTACATTATATCATATTATTTAACAATACACGAATGTGCAAAATGTAAGTTTTTCAGTAGAGGTGTTTTAAATTTAATTTCAATATATTGTTAACATGTGACAACTGATGCTTTTGAAACTTTGTATAGCAACTATTAAAAATGTATAAAAATAAAATACTACTTATTCACTTTCATTCCAGAGCAATGTTTCAATTTTACAAACACTTATATTATGACATATATGTACATCATTTGATATTGATAAACTTTTTTGTAAACCTATAAAATTTTTAAGCCTTTTAAGTGTGTTACTTATTCCCTTTTACTAAAATAAAAACTAAGCCTTTCGACCACCATATACACATTTTTAAAATGTATGTTTTAGAATACAGTACTATAATCGGTTTAAAGCAAAAAAATTAAAATGGCTAAATTGCTACATAGGACCCATTGATATATTATAGATGAAATCAACCCATTTAAGTGCTCACACATTTTCTACTCAAATCTCCATATCAATACAATACTTTCTTATATTGATACACACAGTACACACGGATAGCTATCTATAATTTATTTTCCAGGGAGGATGACCGTGTGTCTCACTATATAATCAACCGAATGGTTTCCCCCGATGGAACCACTCGGTTCCGTATTGGGAACCAGTTGTTTGCTGACATGCCGGCCCTGCTGGCGTTCTATCGACTGCACTATTTGGACACCACGCCGCTAGTGAAGCCCCTGCCTCAAGCCAGTGTCCAAGCCACGGCAGCCCCAACTCATTCATACCACGTGCTAGAAGTTGTTATAGCCAAGTTTGATTTTGTCGGATGTGTGAGTATTGAAGCTTAAAGAAATGTTTGAATGATTTAATCATTATATATTTTTCTGTGTTATGTCTTAAACTACTTATTGTTATATATATAGTAAAGTGTTTTATATTATATTTATACAATATTATGTATATGAAATACCTCTTTAATGAATTACGGTTTACCAAAATATATAATATTATGTTTGTTTGACACATATAAGAATTAATAGATTGGCTGTTTTTAAATGTTTCCGAGTTGAAATTGTTATTATATATTTTTTCGTAAGAGTTCTTACGTAAACTATATTATACATACTATCTTACTAATATTATATTTATAAAGTTTGTAAAGATGTATGCTTTATAGTGTTACTTTACTACACAAAAACTACTTAAAGGTGTTTATAAAAGTATACAGTAATTTAACCCATACATAAAAATAAGACAGGGTGTATATTTTATCCTGGAATTCCTTGCGGTTCCAGTATTTCATGGAATAGTGTGTGATGTCACGTGACACGTACTATAGATGTCGCTGACAGTTAATTAATATATCTACTATTTATAAATACTTTATTATTTCTCTTTTCCAAAATACACGCGGACAAAATCTATTTTTTTATTGTTAAAGAAAAAGGAAATTATCTTATCTAATGTCATTATAATCTACAATGATTATCGAAAACAATCGTATCTATAAACTACAACTAAAATCTCATTAGAATCTGTGAGGAGATTCCAAAGATTACTATATATAACAGTCTTAGTATTACGTAACACTACTATATATAACAATAGGTGTTAAGAAATTCCATATAATTTTACACACACACACACACGCTCACACAAATGTATATATATAGTCTTCGTTGAGTTAATGAAGCCGTCTCTCCTGTCCTAATATTAAATCATGTGCGTCCCATTTTCGCCAGATTGCCGGAAGTAACCTGAATGATTCCCAAAATATAGACGCCTTGATCCATAGCTAGCGAGCGCCATTGACATCCTAACATAATAGATTGGAGAATAATATACTATATATAATGATATTATATAATATTATTGAGCTTTTTTTGGTACAAAAATGTATTAAAAAAACATTGTATAATGACTGCCAAAGTTTATTGTTGCCATCAATAGAATATAAAATTATATAAAATTAAGTTATTGTTAATGTATCAGTTAACCCCATCTTAACAAAAAATCAATGAGATTCTACGGTTACGGAAAATGCACCATTTAAATTTCTCGGTCGTAAGATTAATAATATAGGCCGTACTCCATCTTTAGAAGGAATAGTAGATAGCTTTTCGAACGATCTTAACAAGGTAGGTAGCCAATAGATCAGTAACGTTAAAAAAACTACGATAATTATCTTTTATTCTGCAAGACAAGTTGAGAGATACAGAATTATATAGACATAGGAGCTTTTTGCATTCCATTACCACTAAAATGGTGCATCTTAATTCATGATTGGTCGCCACCATTGCAAAAATTTTATCCCAACGCCTACCAAATGACTTCCACATCAGAGTAATTTGATACGATGGGATAAATCTTGAGAAGTTTCGTCTCTATTCTTACAAACTGACATCCCTACCATTATAAATGCGAAAGTAACTCTGTCTGTCTGTTACGCTTTCAAGCCTAAACCACTGAACTGATTTTAATGAAATTTGGTACAGAGATAGAGTTGACATTGAGAAAGAACATAGGATAGTTTTTGTCCCAGACTATTGAAAGGTTCTCTTGGAAACGCGATAGAACCGAACTCCACGCGGGCGAAGCTGCGGGTGGAAAACTAGTTTATAAAAGTAGGTAAAATGTGTCATATAGATGAATATTATCTTATAAAATAAATTTCAGGACGCCGATGACCTTCCATTCCGCCGTGGAGAGAGGTTGATGGTGATAAATCGTGATGAGGAGCAGTGGTGGACGGCCAGGAACGCTCAGGGAAGGACGGGCTCCATACCCGTCCCTTACGTACAGAGGGTGAGTTTAATATAGCGATTGTCTTACACATAGTGACTTCATCAACTATAAATACACCCTGTATATTTATACTAAATCACCTGCATCCCAATTTCACTTGTCAAAAGTTATCTAAATGGTTCCCAAAACTTATTATGAAAGATAGTATATTATACATGGTTTGATCCATTGGTTATTTGTGGCATTACATGACAATACATTTAATATAGTATAGACTATAGTTCCTTCAACATATTGTATGTATATAGTTGATGGACTAAGAGAGGAAAACTGATGGGTTGATGGAAAAAGTAATAATTTAATACAGAGTCATTGAGTTTTTCACACTATTAATTCAAATTAAATATACATATAACAAGTTGCTGACTCGGCAGACTTCGTTTTGCCTCAATCAATAAATAAATAAATTTTTAATTATATTTTTGGACTTTACCTTTAAGCTTAGATCTCCGTGTTCTAAAGTGCGACACAATGATTGACATATTAGTTAGTTGTCAAATCTATTGTCAAAAAAAGTTTGTATGGGAAATAGAAAATCGCTGTTTTTAGGGATTTCCCGGAAATGAATCATTTTTTTTTCAGCTTTTAAACCATCCCTGAACCTCCAAGAACATTTCAAGACTAAGATAAGATAAACCGTTCAGCGGTTCTCGAGTTATAGTGAGACTAACGAACAGCAATTCATTTTTTTTATATATAGATAGATAGATGTATTGTATTGTTATTATAGAGTATAATAATTATTGTATATTTCCAGTTATTAGATCCGTCTGGTGTACCATACCCGGCAGGCGAGGCGATGTCTCAACTGGACCCGCCGAGCCCACCCGCTAATAAAACGCCGCAGAAACCAACAAATATGCAGGTTAATATAATATATACAAGAAAACAAGTTTTAGTTCAATATAAAGTGATTATTAAGAATAGGAAATGTTCAAAATAATTGTTCAAAACCTCATTATAGGAACAATAATTTTTAATTTAAAATAATAAAAAATATTTATTGTCTGTTTATCTCAGATAAATACACCTTATTTTAATATTGCTTTTTTCTTATAATTTGTATTATTTTTACAATAGCCTTCATAGACATATAAAGAGGATGTTTTTTTTTTCATATGATTAACATTAGTCAGTATTTCTGTTTCTTTATAATAATCATTGGTCTTGTAAAAGAGAATAACTCTTTCTCTACATTAACTTGGCAGTTACCTAATAAAAACTCAATAATTTATTCAAGATAAAAAACTAAAGTTTACATATTAAACAATAATTATATTAAACATATATATTTCCAGCGGACCCTGCCAGCGCTCGCCCGAGTGAGACAGACCCGTGTACCAAACGCTTATGACAAAACAGCACTTAAACTACAAGAAGGAGACATATTGAAGGTTATATATTGTTTATATATACAAGTATACTGCCCCGCTTAGCTTTGAACGGAATGATAGTTTAAGAAATAAAAACACTTAGAAAACATTACTTGTTCGAGAAATAATACTAAAATTTCTTCTAGAAATAAATTGATACATTTACTTGTTGATACCTAGTGGAGTAACAATGTCTAAAAGCTTCTTTGAGTGATATTATTGTAAATATGATATATATGTAATATGTTCTAGTCTAATCTTACCTCAAGTCTGAGTTTCAGCACTACAAAAGTTTGATTTTTTTAGTTTTTTCATTCGAAATTCGCCCAAGACTATGTAAACTTGATGACTGTGTAAGGGTTATATGAAAACGAGATCATACAAACACACATACAGTCGGATATAAAACCTTAATATTATAATGTTTACACATAAATAAAATTGGACTGTCTGTTTGTAATATTGAAAAGAAAGTTTTTACTACATGTACACTACCCGCCAAAAGTTTGAGACCACCCTCATCAAAGAATGAAAATAAAATAAAACTCAAAAAAAAATACGAAGTAAGCGGTTTAATTAATAATTAACATACTTAATACCTCAGGAAGAAAAAAAAATTATATTAAAAATGCCGTTAATATTTAAAAAGATTTTTCATCAAATATCCTTCCATGCATTTCATTACTTTTTCACGAGTCTTGGCATACGACCAATCAATTTGTCGATTGTTTCTTGTGAATATTGTTCCAGCTTTCTTGTAAATTCCTCCACATGTCTTCTTGCGAGGAGGGGCAACAACTGCGTACATTTCTATCAAGCTCTTCCCACAAAACCTCGATCGGGTTGAGATCTGGGCTCTGAGGGCGCCACACCATGTTTTTTAACACTCCTTCTGTTTCTTTATCTTCTAAATAACCCCTTCATAATTTTGAACTATGTTTAGGATCAATATCTTGTTGGAAAAAAAAACTATTTCCAATTAATCTTACACCAGACGGAACGGCATTTTGGTGTAGTATTCGTTTGTACTGCTCCTTTTTCATAATTCCTTCGACTTGTACCAAATCTCCGGTTCCATTGCCTGAGAAGCATCCCCAGACCATAATAGAACCACCACCATGTTTAACAGTTGGCACCACACAGTCTGGCATCATCTTTTCCTCGGCGCTACGTCGAACAAAAATTCCTCTCTTAGACCAAAATATTTCAAATCAGGATTGATCTGTCCAAAGAACTTTTTTAAAGTCCAGTCTCGATAGGCAAGGGCCCACTGCAACCATTTCTTTTTGTTTTGTGGCCTAAGTAGTGGTTTTCGAACGGGAACGCGACTGCCAGTCTCCTTGTATCGGGCTATTGTGTTATGAACACAAGTCTTCGACAACTTAAGTTGAGAGGCAATCGCACGTTCAGATTTACCTTCGTTGTGTAAAACAACTATGGCACAACTATTTTAAAGTAAATTTAATTATTTTAAAGAACTTCTGCATATACTACATTTTTTGTTTTATTATCTTGTGGCAGAAGAACATATTGATTTTCGCCACAACCCGATCTTGAGAACGATCAGCACTCGATACCCATTGCCGGTTCGCCAAAGTTTGGAAATTTTGTGAGGCTAAACGCTGCGAACGTTCAACGCTTGATTCCCTTGCATGGTTTTGTTCAGTAATTGCTCGTTGTGTAGCCAACCTGTGCATATTTTCACCCTCAATTTCATTTCATTTTTCAAAACTCACAGCCGCTCTGCAGTAGCAGTCTGCCGAGAAAGCTGAGTTCTTTTTCTCGGCATTATAGTGATGTAAAATGAAAACACGTAGAAAATGAAAACTTAACTTAAGCGTATCTCGTAATAAAAAAAAGAAACGTAGGATTAAGAATATTAATAATCAGGAACCTAATTACTTTTATTTTTAACGATTATGTCAAAAGAACAACCGTAAAATGAAAATAAGGTAAACTAACTTTATGCTTAAATTTAACCCTAATCTAATGAGAATAAATATGTAGACTACACCTATTTACAGGTTTTATCTAAAGCAAAAAAAAAATAGAAACTCAATACGTTAAACTAAACCCTAATCTAATAAGAATAATTAAGTAGGCGACACCTATTTAGGTACCTACAGGTATTATGTACCACAAAAAAAATTTGAAACTAAATACTATTTTTAAAACAAACAATACTAAACTTATAGAAAACACATACTTATAAATTAATAATTAATCTACATGAAAACACCTCCCGGCTTGCCCGCAAGCACCGCCTCTCCCGCCGCGCCGGCCAGCGTAGAGAGCGAGTTGGTTTTGTTTCGAAGTTATTTATCATTGTAATCTTTAAAGTTTTTTGTTGAAATTAAGTTATGTCAAAGACAATTTTATTCACAATGAAGTGCTCTTAACCAACTACTTTATTTGAATAAAGATTATTATTATTATGTTTATACAACTTAAACAAATTATTTCGGCCAAATTAGGTACCATAAAAACGGTTTTTGTGAGTTAATCTTAAAAGATAGACATATATTGCCGCAGACTGTTTTTTAGATCATTAAAAGAGCTATTATTCTTTAACCCTTTCAGAACTGAATTATTTTTTTTGTGTCAAATGAAACCACAAAAAAAATGAAGCTAGAGTAGAGTAAAAAGACTAAGGAAAAAATTATGAAAAAAATCCTGGTTGTCAGGTTTTTAAGAAAATAACGTTTTTCTTTTTGTGTACAAATGTGCACATCCGTCTTACGTAGTGATAAGACTTGCTGTTCGGGGCTTTTCATTCGAATTATAAAAAGTTAATTTCTCAATGTTTTTATTAGGAAATAAAAAACTAACAAAACTTAAGTACAATTCTTATAATTATTAGCAAAAAAAAAAGATTTTTTCTTTGGGATAGCAGCTAATTGGAACATAGGTAAATTAGTCATTTGAACATTCAAAAAGCAAGTTTCATAAATTTACGTATGAAATGCTAAGAAACAGTTTTTATCTTTGGTAAGGCAAAGTTGAACTTTGCATTTTATACATTTAATCTGGTTCCTCCCTTGCATCCAACCATTTTACACCGTGTCCCAAGTCCCTTATCATGTGCAGGAAAATGCCCAACACCGTCTTTTGCTAGATCCGCTACAGGGCAAATCTCTCCTGGTCTTCTTGGAATAATTTGCGGTATTGGGCTACTGCCACTGGGCCGTCCTCTATTACCGATTATAATTTTATTCCTCAACACCAAACTTTCAGCCAGCTGACGACGAAATTGAAGCAACTTGAGTTGTTCATTCTTTGGTATGTCTAGCAGCGCATTGTCAGTTTGGTACTCTCGGTACGCCTGCACTACAGCTAAATTAGAAGCGTGAAATATCATGCGAAGAGTCCATTTTTTATATTTTATGCAGGTTCTGTAGTAGCTCATGCGTTGATGTAGTAGGTCAACTCCCCCATTGCGTGTTTGTATTTCCTGACCACTTCGGGGCGTGCAACGTCAATAAATTTCTTATCTTTCTTACACCACCTGCTGACTAAGTCTTTTTCACCAATACCAACAAAATTAGAAGCAAGATAGGTAATCTTATTATCGAGCCACTTGACCAGAGTTACATCTTCGTGAAAACTACTTCTTGAGGAAATCCTTGAGGCTTTTTATTGTTGTTTAGGAGTTCCTTGTGTCTCCACCTAATGTTCTGTTTAGGCGTTATATTCTGAAGTATATTTTCATGAGAGGATTCTTTTTCTGTTGTCGGTGGTACTTCGCGAACCACTTCATCGCAGGTGTCAGTAACTCCTGGATCATTCGTCCTAATCCACAATGAGCTAGGCCCTTCATCTTCTTCAGTGTTGGGTGGGAATACCTCTCGTTGGTTTTGATTGATGACATCTGCAACTACTCTGACAGACTGCAACTCTCTTTCAGATGTAAATCCAAACGGCTCTTCGTCATCAGACGATAGCTCCAAATCGGAAAGAGTTCCAGCGCATAGGGCTTTCAAGGCGTCCGGTGAAAACATATCGGTGTTTTTTTTTCTGAAAATGTAAAAAAAATATTTTACCTCAACATATAACATATATTTTATATAGCATAAACAACAAAAACATTATTATTATAGTTACAAACATATTCAAAATAGAGTTTGCAAATACGGCTAAAATACTTCAGCAATCGTAAAAACATTGTTTACGCCTGATGTGTACATTTGTGTACAAATATAAAAATTGTGATAATTGATACAAAAATAGAAAAATAAACTCAAATTATACGTTACTTATGACCTTAGGAATATAACACATCAATTCATATTTTTGCAGTGCGCATATTTAGCTATTTCCTACTTTTTAGAAATAAAAATGACGAGCTTACCCACATCGGTCCAACTTCGGTCAGCCACTGATCGAATCATGTCGAAAAAGTCACAAAAAATGCTAAGAGATAGCGTTAATAGTATACATTTATATAGTTTATAATGTGGACATATGAATACAAGCGTTCTCAATTGCACTTGTAACGAAATAAATAGCAATTTTTTTTATTATATTTTATGTGTACATTTGTGTACGCCAGGTCTGAAAGGGTTAATACATATTTTTTGTGTATCTTGAACCGTTTTTACAGCGCACGCAATGGAAGGCTTCAAAGATGAAATAATTTCACCCGTTTTTTATACATTTACCACTATATCTTTGCTCTTATTGGGCGTAGCGTGATGTTATATATAGCCTACAGCCTTCGTCGATAACTGGACTATCCAAAACAAAAAGAATTATTTAATTCGAACCAGTAGTTTCGGAGATTAGCGCGTTCAAACAAACATACAAACAAACTCTTCAGCTTTATAATATTAGTAAAGATGAGCAGCTGATAAAAATATTACAATGACTCTACCATCTGGTCCCTGCGCGGCACTCATTAATGTTTTATAGCAATAGACCTTTATAATATCATAACTTATTCATAACTTATAAATATACAAAAAGGATGACAATAATTAGTAGTTTAATAACTATAGAATACGCAGATATTAAAATCAGCTATTTGTCATATGTCATGTCGTCAGCCTATCAGCGCCCACTGCTGAGCAAGGCCTCTTTCTCGCATGGAGAAGGTTTGAGCATTAATCACCACGCTTGCTCAAGACGGGTTGGTGATTTCAATCTTATAATTGTTAAACTATAAGTCCAGGTTTCCTCACGATGTTTTCCTTCACCGTATGTCAGTGATGTCTAAATACTCTCAGAAAGTACATATAACTTCGAAAAATCACATTGGTACTTGCCAAGGTTTGAACCCGCGCCCTCGGCAACGAGAGGCGGGCCCCTTAACCACTAGGCCACCACTGACTTACTTTGTCATATGCACTTTTGAAATATTTTGTTGGTGAAGAACATTTTTAGAAGTGGTCTCAAACTTTTGGCCGGCAGTGTATATGAATATATATAGGGTACAAACGCCTTAATAACGTTTTTTACAATTTTTGTCTGTTTGTCCCGGTTAATCTCTGAAATGGCTGAACCGATAGTGACGGGACTTTTACTGGCAGATAGTATCAGGTTCACTGATTCACCGATGTAAAACGGAGTAACTTACGTTAGTTTTCATTCAAATCCCGAAATTAAAAGATATTAACGAAGCGGAGCGAATGTGGCTCTTAATTTTTTTTGCCTAAAATCCTATCTTTTTATTTACAGGTAACGAAAATGAATATAAACGGTCAGTGGGAGGGCGAGCTGAACGGGAAGGTTGGACACTTCCCTTTCACATATGTTGAGTTCCTTGATGACGTCACCAGCTAATAAGGACCAGCGACACACTGTGATGCCTTGAGACACACACACACACACATACACATACATACACACACACTAGCATATGTGTGTCGTCAAAGGAAATTGAACCTTTATTATATATTGTTATGGTAACTTACTGAATGTTAAATTATATAACACAAAATCGTCTCAAAAGAAACGAGATATATATTAATTGTGAATAAATTAATGCAAAATATTAACGATTAGAAGAAGTACTACAGTTGAAAAATACTTTATTTCAATGGCTTATTTGATATAGAACTTAATACAATTTCGCATTATCACCCTACATACGGCGCAGTTAGTTTCTTGTTCAATAACTTACGTTAATACTATCACGAGCGAAGTTTTTGCAATGAGAAACTTAACGTTCCGAACGTACTGTGTAGTGTGTTAATGGATACTTGTATTAGGCGCACAATACGTATGTATGTTAATTTTACAATACATATAAATTTTTATAATAATTATATGACAAAATAGTATACTACAGCAATAATTTAATATATACAGATAAATTGGTATTTCTAATTAAACATTTAAAAAGTCTTGAATAGATTCTCTCTCTCTTTCTGTCTTTTAAATAGTGTTTCCTCATAGATTTCGCCAACGTCTTTGAAAAGATTCATAACATTAAAAGCAAACTCAAAAACCAAAATATTGTCATAATTAATATATTATTATATAAAATAATAAAATTTCTTCATGTTTCCTCCACACAGTACTCAAGATTATAATTCGTACAACAAATAAAAACGTTGACTTTGGCTAAATATTCCATAATTCCAGTGTGAAAGAAGCCATCACTTAAAAAAAGGAAATTATCATTATCTATTATATTAAAAGATTTAGAAATTAAACTCTATAATCATTCAGTTAAGGTACTTTGTCAAATGAATTCAAATTTTTAATATTTTGTATTAATTTATTGAATTTCCCCAACATTATTCAAGGCATCACAGTTGTACTCAGCCCACCGAGAGGGCTATGTATTTTAAATGTAAAATATATGTATGAAATATATTATTATTCTGGGTCGCACAAAATTTCTAAAAAGGGCAGCTTTAATTGCACAGTGCTTAATCTATACAAACTTCATACTATATATTTCTTTGCACAATAACACAAATTATTTAAACTCTGTGCAATTCTACTGAACACATAAATATTGTTTATACATTTTATTATTTTTTATATTTAATTATTCCTTTATACATTTGTATATTTTCTATTGCATTTATATAAAACCGTTTTAATCATCATGGAATTGTTTAAATGTTAATTTATAAGCTTATTGTAGGTACGTCTGAATGTTTATGAGTTGACGGGCATTCTAGTTCATCATCACTATCTCACTTCTAATACTATATTTTCTTCTTAAACTTATTTCTTTTCTTGCACTGAAATCATCTAATATACAAAGTATAACTCCAACCTGTTGTTCCATGTTAAGGAATTGACAAAGTTACATCGAAATAGTTATAGCTTTATAAAGGTTTACAATTTTTTAATTATATATTATAAATGCATGGAAATGAGAATATTAATTAATTTATAAAACAGTATGAATTTTGTCAGCATGATACTAAAATATTAAGTAATATAAGGCATATGTATTAAATTGTTTCATTAATGCTTCATTCTGACACGAGTTATGTATTTTTTTAGTACGGAAAAGGTACTATAACATGGTAATTTATTAAAATAATCTTGTTAAAATATTGAACGTATACATAAAGGCGTTTTTAAAAAACAAAAAAAAAAACACTTTGTTAACAAAGTAAATCGTGTTATTGTCAGTCATATCTAGGTATAGTTACGATTAATACAATTTATTTGGTTTTATTATAAAGGTGGCCCTTTACTTGGCGTTTATTTGTTGTGTTCGGCCAAATAAGACCATGTGTGAAGGACTTATTCATCTTCATTTGACATATTTGCACAAATAAGACAAATAAACGAAAACGCATAAAGACGTGTTGGCATGCCATGTGTGGACGTCGTGTTTGCGCATCTGGACTACGTACAAATATTTGGACAAATGCGGCGAATACGCTACGCCAAGTGAAATGCCACCTTAACGTATAAGCTTTTTGAAACGAACTCGGATTTTTCGGCGATTTAATCATGACGTTGAAATTGGCGCCATTCCAACTGTCACTTAAAACAGTGATTTTAATAATAAAACGGGCATTTTAATTATATAAAATAACAGCTCAATATGATTTTAATAGAAATATTTATATATAAACGAATGTACATGATTATTTTATGTATAAAAATTGTTATGTACCGCTTGACATATCGCCTCCGAGACGAGTTCCCATCACGAAGTAATTCTTCCAAAATATGATAGTCAATATTTTTATAATTGCTGGTGCAAGAAAGTATTTAGTATAGTATTAAGACAAATACTGGACAAGTTCTAAGGACATTTTATCATATGTTAATAACAATGAACTATTAACAAGCGATCCTGTTATATATTAATGTCTTTCAATTTGTCCGGTAATTATTCATAAAAATGCTCCATAGTGTTGGGGTTAGTTAATACCAAATGTTATTCATTGTATAAATCGCTAAGGAAATATATTTTGAGATTACTGAACGTATAATGTATGTATTGTAAACTTTTTGCGTAAAACAAAAAAAATTGTCTAATTTTTTTATAATGTAACATTTTAGTAATAATAAATTTAGGAAGGAGTACATTGATGTAGTTTCTTTTCTACATAATCCTTTTAGGTATGAAATTTTGACTTTAGTATTCCCATTGAAAGCTTCTAATATGGGACGTAAAAAATATATTTAAAACAAAAATTACTGCTTCAAGGTATATGAGAGATGAGATTACACTTTAATACTTAGTTCTTTAAAAATGTTAAATATTGAAGATAAACTCAAAATTATTATTACGTAATGCACTTATGATGGATAATTTGAATCAAAAACTTAAAAAAAAATAAAAATAAAATAGAAATAAACGAAAAATCAATTTACTATTTCGAGCAATATGCTTTTAATTTCATTGCGCTAAGGGGTTTAGAAAATAAAATTATACAACAAAAAATAAAAATACCGCCAAATAATTTTTAGTCAATAAAAATGACGCAGATTTTTTTTTTTACAAATAAAACGGACAGTGGAATTAAAAATATTCGGACATGCGCAGAAAAATAAAGCTTAAAAATATTTTTTTAACGACTATTAGCAAAATGGAAACAAATTTACCTACATTATTATCATCAGTTATGTCAAAATTCTTATTATCAAATTTCTTAAATACGAAAAACAAACTTTTTACTTAAAATATATATTAGAGGGAAAAATTCAGTATATAGTAACACTAGTATTGTGATGGGAAGCTTTTTCGCGATAGCAATGTTGAAAGTTTTGACATTAGCCTTCAGTTCAGATTAAAGATTTCGGCTAAAAGACATTTTGTTAAAAAAATATAAAAATGTGGTTTTCTAATAAGTGTAACCAACACTATGATGAATGTGAATGTTTCTTAACGTCGAGGTTTTAGCAGACGCTTACGATTTGTAGTGTCACTTTTGGTTAATAAGTTCAGAAAAAGGTTTTATAGAAATACTATAGAAGCCATACATACATAATCATCTACTGTTATAATTTGACACAGTACGGTACATAATGCCAATCTATTTTACGTAAGAGCATAGACTTTTCTCATTAAGAGATAAGTTAGTAAAATACAATTATACCTAGTCAAAATATTGATGGTTAAAATAAAAATAAATAAATAAATACTTAGAAAATGGCACAAATACAGATTAAAATAGAGCCAGAAGAAGAAGAGGATTCTATGGATATGGAAGTGAGTTTGAAAATAGAACACGGAGATGAGAGCCAATCGGCTTTGAGCATCGGTTCACAACATTTATTACAAGAAAATCTAGTTGTTATTAAAGAAGAATTACGAGATAATATAGATGTAAAGATAGAACCTATAGATATAAAAGATTGTAAGGAGGATGGGGATGTAGATGAAAAACAAGGAATATATTACGAGAGTGGTAATTATTAAGATATAAATTACTTTAATTTGCTCCCTTTCAATATATTTAAAAATATTCAATATTAACTAGTTTATTTTTTTTATATTCATTGATTGGTTATTTTATTTAAAACATAATCATTAGTTTTTAAACATATTGTTATTAGAATTATAAAAAATTCATAACAGTTTTATTCTCATATATAAAATTTAATTTTTTTCCTAAATGGTAATTAATGTGTCATTCAATTATTGTTACTTAAAACATAGAATAAGATAATAGAAAAAAAGAGATAAGTTTTGGAAAAAAACAAAATAAATTCAATATTTAGCACTATTAAATGTTCAGAGGGTGTATAATTATAGTTTCTATAAAAAATCACTTTATTTTAATTAATAATTATATTTATACAAACAATAAATCTTAAACACAATTTTTTTTATTAAATTAAGTAGTTTTCAAATCATAATTTATTTTTATGTTCTAATCTCATTGAATTACTAATAATCTTTAATATGAATACATCAAAGTAATTTCTTTTACATGTAGAACCTGAAGATCTCTCGGTAAGGAAACCAATGGGTTACAGCTCATGCGATGAAGATAAATCACAAGGATCTGATCTGGACTATCTACCACATAATGAAGACAAGGTACTATGAAATATTGTCACATAATTTTTACTCCGAAGCTCACTTACAAATGTCTCTCAATTTCCTTACCAGTGAATTCCAATAAGATATATTTAGGATTCTAACAAAATCCTTATAAAAATTTAGTTTTCTTATAAAGCGAGTACTTTTAAATAACAATAAAACCTTAACTGGAGCAAACTAATTATTATCTTATGTCAAAACACCTTAAATTAGTTAAATTTTATTTACAATAATACAAGTCGTGTTCACTACATACTTTCCCACATAATATCACATGCATTTGGGAATATAAAGGTTTGGTTCGAATAAAAAGTGTGTTCCCTAAATACATACATATATTATATGAATGACTTTAATGTTTACTAAGTGATAGATATATAAAGTGTCTAATTGGCAGACCCTGGCTAAAGCTGGCAAATTGCCAGGAAGAAGAGATATAGTGGTTAATTTTTAACTATATATAATTAAAAGATGGAATTACTAACTGCTTGATGTTAATAGAATGAAGTATTTTCGATAAAGTGGTTAACTTTTAACTGTATAAAATTAAGCAATGGAATTACTTATTGCTTGTAGGCTGTCAATTAAATAAATATTTTTGTTTTCAGACAAAAGAACCAAATGTGAAGCCTACATTCAATGGAAAAATTAGAAGTAAGTATTTTAGTTGTAATCAATATATTTTATAAGAACCTTTAGTTATATCCCTACTAATATTATAAATGCAAAAGTAACTCTGTTGGTCTGTCTGTCTGTTACGCTTTCACGCCTAAACCACTGACCTGATTTTAATGAAATTTGGTACAAAGAAAGGTTCTCTTGGAAACGCGATATAATCGAACTCCACGCGGGCGAAGCTGTTGGCGGAAAGTTAGTATATAATATAGAACGAAAATTAAATTCTTTGGTCAGAGTTCTTTCGGAACTAGAGTTGTTTGTAAGTGATTCTAGAATGGGTTTTCTAATGACTTTGGCTTAAAATACCCTAAGAAAGTACACATGACTCAGAAAAACCACATTGGTACTTGCCGGGATCGAACCCGCGTCCTCATACATGAGAGGCGGGCCTTTAACCACTAGGCCACCACTGACTAGTTAGGCAGTTACTTCCGAGACATGATGATATAAATTTTGTTGAAAGTTTTTTGAAGTTACATAGTGTTCTAAGGGTGTTAAGATCCCTACTAATATTATAAATGCGAAAGTAACTATATCTGTCTGTCTGTCTGTTACTCTTTCACGCCTAAACCACTGAACTGATTTTAATGAAATTTGGTACAGATATAGGGTTGACCTTGACAAAGAACATAGGATAGTTTTTATCCCAGGCTTTTGAAAGGTTCTTTTGGAAACGCGATATAACCGAACTCCACGCGGACGAAGTTGCGGGCGGAAAGCTAGTATTTCATAACTGTGCTCATTCTCGAAATCGTTTCGCTCGACCATACCGTTCTTTTGGTGTCCCAGAAGATGACGCACTAAAGCAAGAAGTGTGAATAGCAATGATATCGGTTTTTGCCGTTTTCGTTCAATTAGTTAGTAGTGGAAAAAGAAATGCAGAAAGATATTTGTAAGATATCTGAGTTTCTCTGATATTTGAGAAACAAGTCGAAGATCATGTTCTTTGAGGGCAGGGGTAGAAAGCGTGACAAACTGCCACCAGTACTTAACGGAATTGACAAGATTTTACAAATTTAAATATCTTGGCCGTGTGTTGACCCCTGATTTGAAAGATGAAGACATTGAACGTGCGTTGAGGGCGTTTTCGGTTAGAGCTAATATGATAGTTCGCGATTTGCACGTTGCTCCCCAGAAGTCAAATTCACTCTCTTCAGAGCCTGCTATACAAACTTTTATACGTGAAGTCTTTGGGCTTGATATACGCGGAAATCGTACATGTACGTGTTCAATATAATAATGCGTTTAGGCCGCTGGTAGTGCATCTGTGATGTTTGCAGATGCACACATAGTTTGTTTTATGCCACAATGCGTAAACGCTGTGCATCTCTGGTGTATGTTGGTCGCTGTTGTGCCATCTCTTATTGATGTTAAGACAGTGATGCATAAAGTCTAACTACTAACATAGGTGTAAGTCTTAGTAACAATTTGGATAAATCATGGTTACTCGAAATAAAAATTATTATTATTATTAAAACTACGTGGTGACCTTGTATCAATTACTAAAACTTTCTAGGCATTTCTCGCCGCAATTCGCCGGGTCAGAAGTGGTGTATTTTGATTTGTTATGCTTATTTACAACATAATTTATTTGTCACGCAGAGACAGTTATATTCAGCGAATAACCACTGTTTACTACTCTTGACAGTCAATAAAAATAACAGTAAAAATATTATGATTAATTCCTTTTGAAAAGATAAGTGATAAGGAGTATAAAAGAATTAAATAGTAAAGCTATAAACGTGAAAAACAGCTAAAATAAATAAAAAAAACTTGTGAGAGCAAACGCCTCAGTGTATTTTCTTCTAGGTGACACCAAACATCCTAAATAAACTCTATGTTCAATTCAATCACCATAATAGGTTTAAAGAAGTTTATTTCCAAACTAGTTTTTGCCCGCGACTTCGTCCGCGTTAGTTTGGTCAAGAGTAATATATGTAGGTAGGTATAGCTGACCAGGCGAACTCTATTCCGTCTTAGAGGCCATAAATAATCAGGTTTTTTGTTGTTGTTGTTTCAATCAAACAGAATGATTGACATATTAGTTAGTTGTCAAATCTAATGTAAAAAAAAAACGTTTGTATGGGAAATAAAAAATTGCTGTTTTTAGGGTTTTTCCGGCAATTATTCCATTTTTTCTCACCTTTTAAACCTTCCCTGGACTTCCAGGAGTATTTCAAGACTAAAATTAGCCCAATCCGTTCAGCCGTTCTCGAGTTTTAGCGAGACTAAGGAACAGCAATCCATTTTTATATATATAGAAGATAGAACAAAGTTCGCTTACAAAGAAAATTTTAAAATTATAACAACAAGTAAGATTACAAATAATAAACAGTAGTGATATTAAACGAGATCAGTGAAATCTTCTAATATATGGGTTCTTAATCGTTTTTTAAATATATTTAGAGATTTTGAATTGACTACAGTTAGAGGTAAAGAGTTATACAGCTGTGCTCTTTCAAGTGAAATAGTTTTAATGCCAGTTTTATTCTTTTAATTTAACCATCATTTCAAGGTTTCAAGGTTACAGCGAGCTTTTAATATATGATTATCGAGTCCAATCTCTAACATTTTATCCATTGCTGTGGTTAGTAAAGTCCTCATACGGTTTATACTTTGCATATGATAACTGACCCTGATTGTATGTACGGGCGCGGTTGTGGATTCCGAATTATATTTATAAAATTGTATATTCTTATTTGTTTAACTTCAAATTATTAAAAATCACCTGATACTGTCTTTAAAAGGGCGAACTTTGTCAGAGCATTCATTATATTGGCGGCAACAAGTGTGATAACATTTTAAGCCAAAACTCTCGAAGTTTGAATACAGATCTGTTACTGTGAAGTCTGTGGTATTATTTCTAAAGCAATCTATAAAGAAAATGATCCCGATAATAATCTAGAGCACGCTACTCCGACAGCTGCGGTGGGATCAAAAAAAAATTTAAGACGGCTCACGAGACGTGACTCGAAACGACCAGAAATTAACAATACAAGAGGTTATTGGTCTAGTTTATAGAATAAGCAAACAAGCAGCTTCAAGCTGACCGTGACCGTGACCGTGACCGTGACTTTAAGAAACAGCTTAACTTGAGGAACAGCTTAATTTCTATCTCCCACCCTTCGACCCGGTCGTCCGCTCACATGGCATTCAAGACTGGTGCTCAAGCGTGGATGAAATTATTACCCACGACAAGAAGCAAGAATGAAAGGAACTACAACTACAAGGAAGGGCTAGGATCTGGGTTAACACGTGGTTATGCAGTCTACCTCATGGAAACAAGTGAAAGAAGACCTCATTCCAACCTTTGGAAGGGAGTTCCGCTTCGCTGACGATGTACAGAAGTAAACAGTTACACATCTGAGCAAGCGAACAGTTACTCCGAGTGCGCAACGACGGAATGGACACTGCTCAAACGCGTCAGACCAGAAGCAAGTGATTAGGAATGATTGACGCTTTGTTAACAGGTATTTATCGTGACTATATTAGAAGTGAATTAAGGAATATACCCAGATCTTTACCTGCCTCAGTGTCTGTTCTTAAAAGAAAATATTATAATTTCGAAAGTAGCCATAGTAACCAATTTAAAAGAACACGACTAACAAAAGTAGTCACTAAACAGTATGGTAATTATTATAATTATAATGAACCCGGTCATTTTGCTCGCGATTGTAAAAATAAAAGAACCGTTACACCCGGAGGTCCATTGGTTTTAAATAGTGAAAATAATACTAATAATATAATAAAATATACTGAATGTAGTTACTGTTTTACGCGAGGTGATGTGAAAAAAAATTGCTTCCTTAAACAAAATGACTGTTCGAAGTCAAATAATCAAAGTATTGGTTTATGTACTTTAAGAGATCGTAGTATGACTGATATAAAGATAGGTGGTCAAACTTTATTATTTTAATTCGATACTGGAGCCGATTGCTCTTTAATTAGAAATAAATTCGCGGGATCTATTCCAGGTAAGAGAAAAGTCGCGTTTTCTAAAAAAAACCGTGATCACGGTTGCTGAAAAGTAGCCGAAACGTCGGGAGTATGTAGTTTATAATCAAAAATAAAAACGCGAAGTAAAATCCGAAAATATTAGTTTCATTTAAATGAGTACTCGCGAAAATCTTAGATCTCATTAAGAGAAAAATCATGGGTCCTTTATGGGTATAGGCGGGTGTCCAGTGATCTCAACTCAAAGTATTACAACTACTGTAGAATCTAATTTGCATTGAAATACAATTTTATGTAGTCGACGATACTCAAACTCAGTTTGACATTTTAATTGGCTTCGATGTTATTAAAACCTCAGGACTAAGCGTTACTTTTTATAAAAACGGTATATCGATAAAACGTAGTTTTATTATATACTATCTTTCCGCCCGCAGCTTCGCCTGCGTGGAGTTCGGTTATATCGCGTTTCCAAGAGAACCTTTCAATAGTCTGGAATAAAAAAATATCCTGTTCTTTATCAAGGTCAACTCCATCTCTGTATCAAATTTCATTAAAATCAGTTCAGTGGATTAGGCGTGAAAGCGTAACAGACAGACAGACAGACAGTTACTTTCGCATTTATAATATTAGTAGGGAATAAAGTGTCACGATTACTAATTATGATGACTTTAATATTAATACTGATATTCAAGATCCAATATTATTATCGAAATTAAAAAGAACTCTTGACAGCTTTAAACACAGTTTTACAGTCGGTAATTAAATTAATTAAGCATCAAACTGAAAAATCCAGATAAAATAGTTCAAACGTCGACCGCATCGAATGTTATCAATAGAACGTGAAACTGTTAAAAATATTATAAACTAGCTTTCCGCCCGCAGCTTCGCTCGCGTGGAGTTCGGTTATATCGCGTTTCCAAGAGAACCTTTCAAAAGTCTGGAATAAAAAATATCCTGTTCTTTATCAAGGTCGACTCTATCTATGTAACAAATTTCATTAAAATTAGTTCAGTGGTTTAGGCGTGAAAGCGTAACAGACAGACAGTTAGACAGAGTTACTTTCGCATTTATAATATTAGTAGCGATGACCTAAAAGCTAATAATATTATTCGAGATAGTTCTTCCCCGTTTAGTAGCCCGATGCTTTTAGTTTAGAAGAAAGACGGGTCTGACCGTAATGTCTGTAAGGGATAATTATTCACTACCATTAATCGCGGACCAAATTAATAAATTAGGTAACCCGCAATTCTTTACGTGTTAAGATATGGCCGCCGGCTTTCACGGAATTGTAATCAGGGAACCCTCTATTGAGAAAACCGCATTTGTTATCCCAGATGGACAATTTGAGTACTTACATATACCTTTTGGTTTGTGTAATGCACCCGCAATATACCAGCGCGCTATAAATAAAGTTTTAGGTGACTATAATGATAAATTAGCCCTAATTAAGTTGATGACGTCGTTATGTCACGGAGTATTGAAGAGGGTATACTTAATTTAAAACTTAGTATTACAAAGATTATCAGATGCGGGTTTTTCAGTAAATATTTCCAAGTTTCCTTTCCTGAAAACTAGCTAAAGATAAACCAAGATCAAGGAAAATTTCTGCTCTGTCCAAAACTCAAGTACAAGTAATTTAAAAGAGCTGAGATAGTTTAACGGCCTTGCGGGTTATCTTAGAAAATTCGATCCGATTTTTTCAAAAATTATAGCTCCACTTTGAGTTGACAAAAGCTAATGTCCCGTGGAAATGAACGGATAGTCAAGATAGAGACAGGAATCCTACTAATATTATAATTGCGAAAGTTTGTGAGTGTGTGTGTATGTTTGTTGCTTCTTCACGCTCAAACGGCTGAACCGATTTTGATAAATTTTTGTATATAGGAAGCTGACGTCCAGGAATAACACATGGGCTACTTTACATCCCGGAAATCTCGAAAATCCGCGGGTAACACCGCGGGGCGCAGCTAGTAAAATTATAAATAGGTTAACATCTTCCCCTTTATTAGCTATACTCGAGCCAGACTTACCCTACGAACTGCACACCGACGCAAGCTCTCTAGGCTTTGGTGCTGTTCTAATTCAAAGACGAGAGTTCACACTACATGTTATAGTTTATTATAGCATGCGAATAACTAACGTGGAAAGTAAATATCATTATTATTAACTAACGCACCGACGCGATGGTGGCTTTTTTTCAGAATTTTCGGTTTGAAGTAGAATATCGAAAAGGTGATCGCTTAGCTCACGCCGATTATTTCAGTCGCAATCCAATCGAGTTTTTTTGTATCGGATAAAAAACAGTGATTTTCAACCATTTAATCTATCTTTAAATACTTCAACTATTGATCACAATTGGCTTCTCATAGAACAAAAGCGTGACCAATTCTTTAACAATATTGTTGACAAATTAAAATCGGATTCAATTCCCCAGACATTAGCGGATATATAGGTATGTTATTTTAAAAGATAAATTGTTAAGGCGTAAAATTCAAATCCCTACTAACATTATAAATGCGAAAGTAACTGTCTGTCTGTCTGTTACGCTTTCACGCCTAAACCACTGAACTGATTTAAATAAAACTTGAGAAAGAACATAGGATAGTATTATCTCAGACTTTTGAAAGGTTCTCTTGGAAACGCGATATAACCAAACTCCACGCGAGCGAAGCTGCGGGCGGAAAGCTAGTAGATGATAAAACACAAAAACTTATTATAGTACCCAATAATCATCGTTAGTCTTATTTCCCATTATCCTGATTCTTTACAACATTTTTGTTGGGAAAAAGTTTTAGCTAAAGAAAAGTTTTAGGCCGTAATGGGTGAGCCATTTAATTAGTTTATTCACAGATTATTTACAGCCCGAGGAGCGCGCTGGATCAGAATGGCCTTATGAGCGCGGTTGTGGATTCCGAATTATATTTATAAAATTGTATATTGTTATTTGTTTAACTTGAAATGATTAAAAATCACCTGATACTGTCTTTAAAAGGGCGAACATTGTCAGAGCATTCATTATATTGGTGGCACCGAGTGATATAACATTGTAAGCCGAAACTCTTGAAGTTTGAATACAAATCTGTTACTGTGAAGTCTGTGGTATTATTTCTAAAGCAATCTGTTAAGAAAATGGTCCCTATAATAATCTAGAGCACGCAACTCCGACATATGCGTAATATTGATCTAGTTTTAAGAAGCCATTTAGTAAAATTCAATGCATTATTAGCTAAAAGGAATTCTCCACAATTTTCAGAGGACAAGGAACAGAAATATTCAGATGAGATAACGAAACACATAGAGATAGTGACTATAGATGAATCGGCCCGTCAACTGGAGCATCGAGAACTATTGGCTGGACGGCTTCATATGAACTACACATGTGAACCCTGCGCGCTGGGTTTCGTGGTGGAAGAGGCGTACGTCATGCACATGAAAATACACTCGCCGGTAAACACATAGTATGTAGATATAGATATATTAACACAGACGTTTTTCACCAAACATACATCATTATAGTTCAAACAGAAATTATTAATCACTTTATTTGTATTATAAATCAGATAAGTCCAATATTTTGACTCCAAAAACAATACACTTTATTTTACTAATATATTTGGTGCAGGAAAACGGTCCACACGAGTGCAGTATATGCAAGTCCCGCGTCAAATCCCTGGACGTGTTGTATCGTCACAGATTACGTCACTACCGCCGCTATCGCTGCGCCATCTGTCGGTTACAATTACGTGACAAAGACACTGTCGCCGCTCACGTGATGAGGGAACATTTGGGATCCGCTTTCCTCTGCACACATTGCGGCAGGGGGTTCAAGTAAGCATTTGACGTCATCCGCTAGTTTTGCTACTACCCTCCATTTCTTTTAATTCATATTTCTTGTATTTAATAGAAGTATAATTATTAATTATGTGTTTTGTTGTGTAGACGTCCTCAATATTTGAAGCGTCACGTGGAACAGATGCACACGCGGCCGCTTCACTTGGAGTGTCCCGTGTGTCACAGGGTGTTCTACGAACGAGGATGGTATAGGTGTCATGTTAGGTGCGTGCTATGATCATATTAATTATATTTTGAACACACACAGACACACACACAGAATTAACGAAAATCTGTTACACAAAAAAATGAGGGATAAAATCATTACTTTGGCACTAATCGGTTGTTGATATTTTTTAATCCATCATTTTTTAACATTAAATTACTTTTTCTCACGGCTATAGGATCATTTTTGTCAGAGACACAGCTTAATAATTGTATTATAATATGTATCTTTCTTTATTCCCTTCATAATTTTTCCCTTCAAAAATTTACACTCTCACACACACACACACTCACACACAAACTTCTCAAATATACTCATGCTCAATTTTACACTTACTACTAATTCTATTTTACTATACTAGTTATATAGAGCAACAGGAGAGTACTGTCGCCTGAAATACAGGTTTATACCTAACTCAGGGACAGTAGACTTCTTTTATATACAATACCTTTATGCATTGTGATCTTATGTATTGTGATTAAAAGTTCCTTTCTTTTTTATTGCTTTTTCTTTAAAATAAATTAAATTATTAAATTAATTATTATTAAAATTTCCGTTCCTCTAATCTGATATAGAACTACATACAAATGAATCTATTGTCATTTAAATATTATGTCTTCATATCTCCAGAACCCACAACGAACAAGTCAAACAGCGTGCTGATCGTAAAGCGGTGTGTTCGCACTGCGGGCGTGAGTTTAGGAACAAGTCGTATTTAATACGACACCTACATACACACGAGGACAGACAACAGGTGCGGTGTGAAGAATGTGCGAGGTGCTTCAAGAATAATGAGGTGCTGAGGGTGCATAGACGACAACATCATACCGAGAACCCTTCTAGGTTAGTAATATATACATAGATGAATATCAGTGGTGGCCTAGTGGTTAACAGGCCCGCCTCTCATACATCAGGGCGCGGGTTCGATCCTGGCAAGTACCAATGTGACTTTTCCGAGTCATATGTACTTTCTAAGAGTATTTAGACACCACTGATTATTGCATTTCCAAAGAGGGTTGATGTCAGGCAAGCGGCCGGTCGTAAAAAACAATTACCCAAAACTATTCACAACATGTAAGGCAGACCCTGGCTAAAGCTGAAAAATTGCCAGGTAGAAGAAGAAGATATATGTATATTAGTTTTCCGCCCGCAGCTTAGTCCGCGTTAAGTTCTTTTATATCGCGTTTCCAAGAAAACCTTTCAAAAGCCTGGGATAAAAACTATCCTATGTTATTTCTCAAGGTCAACTCTATCTCTGTAACAAATTTCATTATAATCAGTTCCGTAGTTTAGGCGTGAAAGCGTATTTTTCGTTGTTTACCCACCGCAACCCACCTTGTGGGTGGAATTTCATAAAATCCGTTCTTAGCTGACCTGTACTCGGCGAAAGGAATAATCCTACCAAATTTCAAGTCGCTACACCTTATGGTTCCAGAGATATCGTGATGAGTCAATATACAGGGTGACTGGTGAATTACTATCAATATTTAAGGAGAATACTCGGTACATGATTCTCATTCGAATTATGTAATAAAATAGTTACTTAATTTTTGACCAAATTTCCGTATAAATAAATAAAGTGTGTTGTGTGTGTGTATACCTAATCTGTAGGGTGTTCACACGATGCGTAATTAATTACATAACTTTTGGTCAACTTTACTTAGAAGTTTATTAATATTTATGTTATATTAATTTTTAATTTGTCATATATGATCGTCAAATATCACGTCCTCAAGTATCGATAGTAATTCACCAGTCACCCTGTATAGTTGGAAATCTCTTTTATATATATAGATGTACTGTCACGTGACTTAATGTGGCTAAATGTATGTAAAGTAAAGGTTTTTTTTGTGATTGAAGTACCAAATTCTTCGTTACAGATACGGTCTCGACAGCGACGGATTTAAGATTTACCCAACAAATATATCTGGGTGAGTTATACATACCTACCAATAATTAAAATATTACTAAACAGTCTCCTGTCAAATAAGCAGATTCTAAAATTTTGAGGCACTAGTGTGCTGTATGACATATATACGAGTATGTTTTTTAATAATACTTATTTAATTTTACTCTGTTTTTATTATTACATTACATCATGATTATATTACTTCAGGATTCATTCATAAACAAATGTATATTCTTGAAGTCGCTTCATATTGCGTTATTGTAATACATTATACAGGGTGACTGGTGAATTACTATCAATATTTAAGGAGAATACTCGGTACATGATTCTCATTCGAATTATGTAAAAAAAATAGGCACTTAATTTTTGACAAAATTTCCGTATAAATAAATAAAGTGTTGACACGTTCCAAATGTTCAAGTGTGGACGCGTGCGGCGACGTGCTGATACAACACTACGTCACGACACGCGTATGTGTGAGTGTCAGTGTATACCTAATCTGTAGGGTGTTCACACGATGCGTAATTAATTACATAACTTTTGGTTAACTTTACTTAGAAGTTTATTAATATTTATGTTATATTAATTTTTATTTTGTCATATATGATCGTCAAATATCACGTCCTCAAATATCGATAGTAATTCACCAGTCACCCTGTATATTTTTTAAATACAATCAAGAGATCTCTATACCTGCGTGAAACTAAAGTTTCATTAAGTCTTTCAATGGCTATTCAAATATATTAATAGGCAGTATAATATACATATATATGTTTCTTATTAATCAATGTTTCTCATATAATATAATATATTTCTATCTTCAGCCCAGCGAATACTACTTGCGAGCAGTGCGGCCGAGTGTTGACTACACGCGCGATGCTAACGAGACACATTAATAGGATGCACACGGACAGAACTAAGAAGTATGTATAACATACACATACCAGGAATAACATTATACTAGCTGCGCCCCGCGATGTTACCCGCGGACTTCCGGGATGTAAAGTAGCCTATGTGTTATTCCTACACATCAGCTTCCTGTATACAAAATTTTATCAAAATCGGTTCAGCCGTTTGAGCGTGAAGAAGTAACAAACAAACAAATAATAATATTAGTAGGATTACACACATAATCTATACCTCCTATATAAGTTGTTGTATGCCACAAAAATGATATTTTAAAATATCCTATTGTAGATCATTATTCATTACATCCATTCAAAGTAAAAAAAACAACAAAAACACTATTTCAAAGGATTTGTCAGACGCATACCTAATGTTGTAATTTTAAAATTTTACAGATTTTGGTTTTAATTTGAATCTTTGAAACGCTGTAGTGTAAATTTACAGTTTTGGAGATACAAAAACTTACATGGGCGGTGGGATGTATGTTAAATACATTATTATGTCAATAAAAATATTGTTGAGAATCATTATGAAATATAAAATATTAATAAACTGCTTATTTTTAGTCCATTATCAAAATAGCAATAAAAATGTTATGAGCTAATAACAATTTAAACATATATTACATGATCTAGGATTCCTTGAATTTAGATAATATAACATATTTTAATATTAAAAAACTTTATTGTGAAGGAAACTTGGACTGATGATTTTAAATTATAAGTATAAAATTAATGCTCAAACCTTCCATATGAGAAGAGGTAGCTCAGCAGTGGGTTATAAGCTAATGATAATAATGAATCCCTATATCCTTAACCAGGTTCCAATGCGACTACTGCAAGCGTCACTACTTCTCCAAAGCGGAGGTCCGTTCTCACATCGAGTGGACCCACCTACAGCAGAGAAGACACGCGTGTACCTGCGGCAGAGTGTTCCGTACACCAGCGAGACTCAGGGCCCACGCGTGTACCGTACACCTCAGAATACAACAACCGAGGGATAAAACGTGTCCCGTGTGTGGGAAAATGTTCGCGGTGAGTTATTAACTGTTGAATATAATGTTGTTACAAATAAATAGATTTAGTCATTATGTTAGAATATTCTCTATATGTAGTATGTATTATTCCCAAAGAGGGTTGATACCAGGCAGGCGGCCGGTCGTAAAAACAATTAGCCAAAACTATTCACAACATGTAAGGCAGACCCTGGCTAAAGCTAGGAAATTGCCAGGTAGAAGAAGGATTCTCTATATGTAGTATGCTTTTTCTATGATTGTCTCACTTTAATATAGAATGTCTCTTTTGAGTGCAATATGACTAATTAATTTATCAAAATAATTAATTATCTTTAAGCAACTTTATTATTTAAGTATAATTTAAACCAAAAACATTATGAAATTATAAATAATCAGCAAATATAAGTACTAGCTATTACATAGTATAGTGGACTTTTTCTCTTGTTAGTAAATTTCATATTTTTCCTACATTATATCTACGTGACTACGTGATTATTTTTTGTTTTTGCATACATTATTATTATCAATACTATCATATCCAACTCTGAAAACCATATAATACGTAATAATATAATCTCAATGTTTTCCAGAACCAACAAGTCTTAACGCGTCACATTCGAGGTCACTCCGGCGAGACCTACCCTTGTACAGAATGCGGGCAGTCATTCAAAACACAATCATACGTTAAAATACACTACAAGATAAAACATTTAAACATGACGCGAGCCGAAATAAAAGCGCAGAGCAAAAGAAAACTCATTATGTTGGAGAACGTAGAAGAAAGTATGAACGCTAAGATTAAGAAGAAGAATAATATAAAGAAGGATCCATTGAATATAGAAGGAAGTGTTAGAATAAAGAAGGAAATTACAGATATAACGGTACCTCTGTTTGAAACATTCGTTGATATACAAAGGGAGTATTGAATTAAATAAAAGACAATATAGACGGCGTCTGGAATAGAGTTACTCTATGGTCTTAGTGGTTTTTGATTCGGTAGAAATATTTTATTAAGTACAAAGCGCTCATGATAATTTTTGGTGTGGTGCAATGTTAATTGATCTCTTATTATAAGCACAGAATATAATGATTATGGAAATTAAATTATTATTAAAAAAGCAATACAAACAATGCAATATATTTAGGAATCTCAAAGAATGAAAGAAAATATGGCCCATACACAAACAGGCAGGGTATATAGGAAAAACAGATACATGATTATTGATAGAAATTAATATGGAACTATTTGTAGTACATTGATCTCTGTAGTATAGTAGTTGGTAGTTTAGAAAATTGATTAGTACATAGAGTATATGAAGGTTATTTTATGATTGATTATTATTATAGGAGACGTTTATTTATTTGAAATATAAGTTTATTTATGTTCTGTTATGTTATTGAAATGTTTCAATTTCTATTATATTTAATAACAAAGGTAGTTTCAATTCTGGTGAATTCAGTGGGATGTACAAATATTAAATATATATTTGAAACTATTGATCATGTTTTATTTTATGGTGTACCTCAAATACAATGACGTCACTTGAAAATGGCAGGTATTTCTACAACTATCTTTAAATATCATATATATGTCGAAATTATTACCGCTTTATCTTTTATAATAATATAATTCTTACATACTTTTAATCATACATTACGAAATACAAAAAGTGCCATCTAGCAATGTAAAAACGAAACATCTTCGAACGGCCGCTGCTAGCTGCTAGCGCAGCTATGCAGCCAGAGCGGCGGTATGCACACTCTGCTTATTTTCCATACAAAAATTCTCAAGGACGATCTACAAATCTCGTGTATGTATACAGGAAATGTTTGTATGTGTGTGTGTAAATCTATTCATGTGTTAGTGTTCGAGAGGCACTGCTTCCTTAACCCTACTCGTTTAAAACGTCATAGAAACTGTCAAATGAAAGGTACTTTTTAAACGGTTGGTATACCATTCAAATATTTTTTTGCCACTTTGTTATTATTGTCTTTTTATTACTAATAAGTTTAATTTGCTTAATGAGTGAATTTATTAACCTATTATTGAATGTTATATCTGTGAGTTCTATACTGGTGATATGTGTTTGACTGGTGAATTTTCGTTTGATGATAAATTTAATTGAAAGTGTGTGATCAGTTTATATTTAACTTAAAAAAGATAATGTTACTCGTTTTAATGAAAAGTATTATCATAATTTTAATTATCTAGCTGGTTGTGTACACTCGGTTATTTTGTTTTCCTTGTCTGTTGTTTTTAAATAATAATAATTTTATTTTTTCGACTTTTATGTAATTATTAAAATTGCTTATAGCTTAACAGAAATCCATTCGTTTACCTAGAAAGGGTGGTAAATATATAAGGATTTTCTCTTTATCAAAAGGAATAAAGACATAGTATAATATTCACAAAACATCGATACCTATTATAAAATAATGAATATTTGTTATATAATTGTATTCATTGTGGTATGTCTCCGCTCCAGTCGACTACTCTCTTATCATACCAAACATACTCTCCTTTTATATTATCTGGTGCATCCAAGGCTAAGAAAAGCGGGGCCTCAGCTCCTTCATCTATAGACATGAACCCTTCATGAGAAGTCATATCCGTTTTAACACACCCTGGATTCACAGCATTCACGTTAATATCTGAAAAAATTTAGTTACATTTTGTCATTATCATCATCATCCTATCAGAGCCTATTGCTGAGCATATGCCTCTTCTCACGTGGAGAAGTTTAGAGCATTAATCACCACCCTTGCTCAAGATTGGTTCGCGATTCCAAACTTATAATTTGAAATTATAAGACCAGGTTTCCTTCACTGCCTGTCAGTGGTGTCTCTGTACTCTTAAGAAGTATTTATGACTCGAAAAAATCACATTGGTACTTGCTAACTTTCGAACCCACGCCCTCATGCAGGAGAGGCGGACTTTTAACCTTTAGGTTACTATGACCTTAGTTACATGTGAAAACCAAAAATCATTATTGAGATAATTTTCGTCAAACTCACCTCTATCGTTTAACATTCTTTGATGTATTCTTGTCAACGCTGTTACCCCAACTTTTGATACCACGTACGCTGAATTACCCCAGTCAGAGTAATTTCCATGTTTCACTGCGATTACATATTGAGACATTAGTTCTGATAAATCGGATACAGTCAAATTCGGATCTTGAAAGCGCTCAGCCAATTTCTTATTTGGTATACGACTTAAATGTCCCCACGAACTAGATAGGTTGATAACCCTGGCTCCGTGACGAAGTAATGGAAAAAGAATATTGCAGGTCGATAGAAACGAGAAATAATTAACAAATATAGTTTTTTCAGCCTTCACAGACATCGGTACAGGTGAATAACTCATAGTAATTCCAGCGTTGTTGACTAAAATGTCTATACCAAAATATTTTTCTTTAAGATAGTCCCGAAATGCTTTAACACTTCTAGGTACAGTGATATCTAATTGGTGATATTTTGGATGAAAGCCTTCTCTTTTAAGATCATCTACTGCGTTCTTTCCCAGTTTTTCGTTCCTGGAGGTAAGATACACAACGCCGTCAAAACGCCTACAAAGTCCTCGAACTATCCCAAAACCGATGCCTTTGTTAGCTCCTGTCACAACTGCTACTTTAGTGCACATTATGAATAAAACTGAAATACGATATTGCTTTGAACTCGAAAGAACTGCTAATAAATAATTATATTTAACAAAAATGCAAATTGGATTTAGGTTAATTGCCAAATTTATATATATTTTTGAATTGTTATCTATAAAATTTGAATGTGATAATGTTTTTGTAACATTTTCTTTATTAGACTCTCAGTGTTTCGTTTTAAACTTACTTATCTTACAACTACGTAAATTTGTAATCATGAGAAGTCAAATCATAGAAAATATTGTTAATAACAGTGTTGCGATCACTTACAAAATAATGAGAGTAGGACGCTATTTTGATATCTCCATTATGTACATTCAGTAATTTGTGTGAATAAGTACCCAAGTAGCTACCCTTATATCAACTGCAAAAGCCTCTGTACAGAATGCATTCAGCAAACCCTAAGCGATAGGTTTATGCAAAATTTGACCTTCAATACATTTTTTCGCACATGATGGATCTAATAGGGACTTTTGACAAATTGTTTGTTTGCTTCCGAATATTCATGAACATTTTCAGCTTATTAATTAAATTTATGCCACCTTGAATGTCTATTTTGACTGGACTATTAGTTAAATAATAAATATAATATTATTACATACAAATTCTCATGTCTAATTAACATATGTAGAAATGGAATCATTAGTTATATTTGATTGCTTAATGTAGAATAATAGAAATGAAACAAAATAAACAAAAATATGTGTTTATTTGAATATTTACAATTCATTAATCTCTTATTTTGTAAATTCATAATAAAATATAATAATTAAAAACATTTTGTTTTTACTGCAGTAAAATCAATAATTTTTTGTGATGTAAAAAAGGATAATTATTTTTAGGCCTTTAATATCAATATTATGTACATAGGTAGAACTTAAAAATTAGGTTTTTCTCCACTCCAACTGACTATCTTCTTGTTGTACCACACATATTCCCCACGGACACTATCTGGAGCATCCAAAGCCAAGAACAGTGGAGCCGCGGCTCCTTCATCAATAGACAGCGGACCCTTGTGTGACGACATGTCCGTGTTCACATATCCCGGATGTACAGCATTCACTTTAATATCTGAAAATATTAAATATAAGTTAGAAATTTTCCATTCTGTTATCTTTAACAGTATAACATATTATGTAACTATAATTATGTCATGTTTAAGTGATAAGATAAATATTGGTGATAAATAACACACCTCTATCCATCAATAGCCTCTGTTGTATCTTGGTCAATGCTGTTACTCCTACTTTTGATACAGCATATGATGAGTTTCCCCATTCAGTTGCTTGTGTTCCCTGTTTAGCTGCTTCTATATATCTATTCATGAGTTCAGATAACTCTGGGATCGTTAAATTAGGATCCTGAAAGCGTGCGACCAACTTCTTACTCGGTATATTTGAAAGATGACCCGCTGAACTCGATACATTTACAACTCTAGCACCTTTACGAAGTATTGGGAATAAAATCTCACAAGTGGACACGAGCGAGAAGTAATTGACGAAGAGAGTTTGCTCTGCTTGTACAGCCACAGGATCGGGGGCATTACCTTTGAATGCAATCGCAGCATTGTTGACTAAAACATCTATACCTCCGTATTTCTCTTTAACGTAGTCACGGAATACCTCTACACTTTTCGGTTCTGTGATGTCTAGCTGATGGTATTTAGGATTTAAACCTTCTTTTTCAAGTTCAGCCACTGCCTCTGCTCCACGATTTTCGTCTCTAGACGTGAGGTAAACAATGCCGTCAAACCTCTTGCAAAGTCCTCGGACTATTGCAAAACCGATCCCTTTATTTGCACCGGTTACGACAGCTATTTTAGAGCTCATTATTGAGATATATATAATTAAACACTGTTATAAACAACTTCAAACGACAGCGGTTTACCGGTGAATGACAACAGACAAGAGTAGTTTCTTAACAGTAGTAGATACGTCATACGATGGAAATATTATAAACTCTAGAAACGTCTATAGACAATAAAATTATATGTAATTGAATGTTCATAATAATTAACTATCATTACAAAGGAATATTTTATGAATATATTTATTTTTTATTGTTTGTGAAGATGTCTTTCATTTTCACTTGGTCTTGTCTTTATGACAGTAAAGTCAGATTCACAATAATTATAAAACAGGAAAACTATCGGAAAAATATATTTTTATATAAATAAATAATTGTATAAGCAAGTCTTGAGGAAAATCTTGAAAATATTTTTTATATAAAAAAGGTTATTATGATGAGATGTTTTTTCATTAGGTATATTTTTTTACTTGAATATCTAGGATTGTTAATAGTTTTTATCTTTTGTAACTTACGCTCCAGGATTACCGTAGGTCTTTAGGAGGGAATTATTAAAGTTTTAAGTAAGTTAATATATTCTGAAATGATATTATTCAGTAGTCAACTTAATCATGATGTTTGCATTTACTGTCTTCAACCCTTATATTTTTATCAATTAAGGGAGTCGTGGATACAGGGTTGCAACACATTTTTGAGATTAAAGATTTTCGCAAATAATCATTTAAATGAAAAAATTATTTTGTTATATTTTTATCATTTTCCTAAATTCGAGAGCAGATGAAGTTTAGATATAATTGGAAATTTGTTTGTTTTTCACACATTGTACTGAATTTGGAAAGTTTTTACAAGATACTGAACTTCTTAAAATATTATCAGCTTACTTTGAAAGGTGAAATTACGCCAACACTGTAGGTATTCACTATGAAAACAATTTTTCTCAGAGAATTCAGAATTGTAAATTATGGACCCACATTCCTTTTGTCACAACAACATAAGACCACAGTCGACTTTTATAGGCCTTTAGGGATCTATATAGAACATGTTGTAAATCAATGAATTAGGCAAACATATATTTGAATAATAAAACAATATAAGTGTCTTATGATTTATTAAGGCATAATAATTATAACATTTAGGAAGTAGTTACAAACTATTAAGTGGACGGTGCTTAATCAATACACAACTATCTTATACAAATATTCTTAATATTTCTTATATAACAAATCGATAATTTTAAACAAGTATCAAAAATAGTTATTTGCTCGATAATTCTTATGTATATAATAAATTTAGAATGTATATAATTCAATCACATAAGTTACATGTTTTAGTTCAGACTCCGTCCATAAATTTGGCAATTTAAATGTTCAATATAAGGCCACTATATTATTACTGGCATTTATGTTTAGTCCTTACATATTTTTTAACACAAAATATACCATTATAGATACTTAAAATAATTATTTTCATTGCTTACATCTTATTTCTCTTCCATCAACAAATAAAGTTCAATAATTGAATAATTAATTATTCTCTATATTAAAATTGTTATTTACTTTAACATCTTCAAGTCAACTTCATAATACATGACCAACTTCAAACAGATATTATTTATCAAATAGTTTAGATACTACCAAATATTTTACAAACAATGTATTTATATATATAAGTGCACACTTATATTACAGTCAAATACAGAACATACTTCTTATAGTCAGTCAATGATATTACATCACAATGACTGTTTACCGCTCTGCGTTGAGTAGGTATGGTATGACGTCATCAATGCTGACGTCACCAACGAAGCCTACGAAGAACACGTCCTCAATGAAGCTGCCGCTGAAGGTTCTCAGTACTGGTAGCTGTAGCAGGAGGCAGGCGGCGCGCTCGTCGTCTGATGAACAAGCGGCGCGGAGTGAACGGACTAAGGATGACTGGAGCTGCTGTAGTTTGTGGGTTAGGAAGTCTGGGGCGCCATCTGGAAGATAATATTGATTAAATTGATATAGGTTAAAGGCTCGCTTATTTTGCATGAGGATATTGGAAACCTGGCAAGTACCAATGGGATTTTTTCCGAGGAATATGTAGTTTGTGAGTATTTAGAAACCACTGACAGATGAAGGAAAACGTGAGGAAACGTGGATTTTATTTAAAATATAAGTATGAAATCGCCAACCCGTCTTGAGTATGTAGTGGTTAATGCTTTAACCTTCTCCATATGAGAAGAGGCAGCTCAGCAGTGGGCTCTGATAGGCTGATGATGATTGAACGAAATTAGGTTGTGTTTCATGATATTAATGACTATGATATTAATGACAGATTTCCGGTATGTAAAGTAGCCTATATGTCATTCCTGGACGTCAGCTTCCTGTATACAACATTTTATCAAAATCCGTTCACCCGTTTGAGCGTGAAGAAGTAACAAACATACACGCACACTCACAAACTTTCGCAATTATAATATTAATGATACCAACCTGGTGAGAACAGACATAATGCTCTAAGGTGAGCATACTCCCGGTCGGACACACGGAACTGTTCCATGTGACACACAAACTGGTGCAGACGACACAACATAGAACACACTTCAGAGATACGCTCGTCGGAATAGTCTGAAATACTTATCTGAAAAAAAAATGTACATGAATGTTAAATATATGATATCTGGTTACCGAACTTTGCTTGGTGTTTAGGAATTATTAGTATTTATTGTGTTTTTTTTATTTCGTTTAGGTATTTTTATGTGAACACGTTTAGACACAAAACAATATAAATCAATAATTAATTTCTTAGTCTAACTTCCAAAACATTCATTGACTTTTTGTTACTTAACAATGCCATCTGCTGTTGTGTCGTTTAAGAAATTAGTAAAAGCAATTAGCAAAAAGTAGTATTACTATTCGCTAATAGATGTCAGGAAGAGTCATATTAATTTAAACGCCTCCTTATTGTTACTATTTTTTATTTTATAAAATGACATTTTCTAAAAATAATTTCTAGCTAGATCGATTTATCGCCCCCGAAACCTGCTATATACTAAAATTAATGAATATCCAGTTATATATTATATATATATCTACAAGATTTTGCTCATTTAAAGATATAAGTTATAAATTATAATTTATAATACTTTCTGCACGACACGAGATGTTAGATACAATGCTATCATTATATTAACAGTAGAAAAAATTATAAATTGCGCTCTATATACACTTATCAAATTCATTATGACTAGAATGTTTAAATTACATATTTTTTTGCACAATCTTAATTTTTCCTTCTACATATTTTCAGACCCATGACAGAATATTACAATCATGTGCGTTAGGAACGTATTGGTCGTGGTCACTTATTTAATCCTCGACCTGTTTCAACTTCTCTGTAAAGAGATCTATGACTTTATATCTTAGAATTTATCGCGTACTTTATACGAAAAATATTACAGTAATAGCCCGCTTAACGCGACCCCGTTGTGCGTGGTGTCACTATAACGCGATTATCAAAAATTTATTCAGGTTGGGACATTGCAGAGTATAGGCAATAATGATGACTGTGTCCTGAACGTGTGTCAAACGATTAAAAACAGTGTTTGGTGTTATGAACGTATTTTACAAGAACGTAAACAAAACGCTACCCAAAAGACAATACATGTATGTTTTCGTAAAAAATAGGAGTACCTATGTATTGTATAGTGTTCTAAGAATTAAAGTGATTGATTAAAATGATTTTTATATTTGTGTATTAAATTTTGACTGTGTTTAATCTTAAACCTCGATATACGCGAATTTCAGTTAACGCGATTTTCTTCGGAACGTATCCCTCGCGTTAAGCGGGGTATTACTGTAGTTCTATTTAATCGACCCCTCTGTCCTTATATCTATATCTCTGTACCCACTCTCCCTCAAGTTGTGTATGTCAGTCAGTATATATACCTCAGCTCCTCCGTCGTCCTGTGTGGGTGAGTGTCCCTGTTCGCTCCTCTCTCTAAGCTCGGCCCGAAGGTGAGCGGCGAGGGCCGGTAGTAGCGCGCTCAAACATAGCGCCTCCGACCAGCGACACAGACCCAACACGAACAGTTCCGACCAGCACTTACGGAGAAGAGACACGCGGGCTTCGAACCTGGGACATGAAATATAGACGGTGTATATATGTGTGTGTAGATGGGAATGTATGTGTGTGTAGTGGTGTAACTACAGGATGGCAAATCGGCAAAATACCACGAGCCCTCAGTCAGCTGAATATATATACTATTATTCAACATTCAGGTTTTTATAATCGGGGGGGTCGGATGAATTTTGCCACGAGTCTCGAACGGTGTAGTTACGACACTGTGTGTCTATATATATATAATATATGTAAAGCAAATTCGTTGCCGTATTTTATTTATTTGTATTTTGCAACCTACACTGTATCGCCATTAGTTTGTTGTATGATCTGTGCTAATTATTTGACAGATATGCTGGAAGAGATTTTGTGCTGTTGAATGTTTGGAATATTAAAATTTGTGAAATAATTAACTTTATATGTCGTTTCTTTGTCTACAGGTACATATGTGTTTGGGTAATAGGTTGCAAATTGGGGTTAATTGTTTATAAGTTTTGTAATAATAAAATGCTTTGTCTACAGAGCAATATATTAATGTCTTTTATTTCACAATCGAAGATTATAAGCTTATAAGCACGGCATGGTGATTTTGAATTAGTTTAATAATAAACTTCTTAGGATTCAGTTGATTTTTTCATAGAAATTATGAGCGGCCAGTGCAGAATAGGGTAGGGATTGTCACTGAATGTGAGGACGGCAGAATGCTATGGGCAACCGTCAAATAAAGTGCACAAAACTAACCTATTGGCTCATACACTATTTTCATCTTATTATTTGATTGTTATTTTAATTAGAGTTATAAAGAAATCGATTAATAAAACATATAAACATAACACGAGAAATAAACACAAACTTGAATTACCCAAGACCAGGACCAAATACGGAATTAAAACTTTGAGGGAGCGAAACTATATAATAGCTTACCTAATGAAATTTTTAATGAAAAAACCTTTACGATTTTTAGAAAGAAATTATTAACTTATTGTAAAAAGCTTTTAGATTAACTACTCTTAAATTGTATAAGTCGTTACTACTACACTAAATTGTTAATTAAATTAAATTATGTTATATATCTCATTTAAGTGAACATTGTATGTTCTTTTTGAAGAAATAAAGTTCTTTAACCACATAATAACATTGTACAGTACAAGTGTGCTTTTATTTATGAGTTCCAAACGTCACAACGCTCATGATGGATATTAAAAGCTAAGACTGCCATGAGGCATGTTCCTGACGCTCCGACATAAATATATGTGTGTGTGTGTGTGTGTGTGTGTGTGTGTGTGTGTGTGTGTGTGTGTGTACTAACGGCATGCCGGCGGCGGCGGGCACGCTGTTCGTCCACCTCGCGCAGGCGGCCAGCAGTCGCGCGGCTGACTCACACGCCGCGTGTAGTCGGAGCGGCCCGCCCGCGCCCGCCGGCAGGGACAGAGGCAGGGTTAGGCTCTGAGATGTACTGAGGATCACACCCTCCTCTGAAACAGAAAATAATAATAATATTAATATTAAATTTATACTCATTGTAGTAACAACTAAGTTGTAAATTATCTATGAAGTTTAATAACGTTATCTAGTGGCGTAAGGTTGATAAGTTTGGATATGTACATATAGTGCAACAATAAGTCGTCACTTTATGCTTAATAATTTTACTGTTCAATTTTAGTGCTCACAGGTGTAGTTATGTATGGTGGAATCTTTACGTAGTTAAGTCACATTCTAATCATCTACCGTCCCTTCCAAGTCAATACTACTTCTATAACAGTATATTTTATGAAGTTCGTCATATATCCGTTAGATGTCACTACATATATAGTATCCTTCGCTCACCGTCAGTTTGTGCGTCGTCTGCGTGAACCGTGTTCATAGTCACCTCCGCTGGGGTCGCACCGTACGCCGTCTGAAGATACTCGTTGATTGCACCTGGAAAAATATGTCGATATAAAATATATAATATGACAAATATTGAGCTTTTGTATATAATTTTTTAATATACTAAATAAAACTTAAGATATATGCAATTAAAGTCTAAAATGTTTGTACACATCAGTATATGGGTATTTCTCAAAAAATGTTCAAAATGTAGTCCCGAGTCTTTGCTGCTGAGTCAGATGATTTAATTATGGTTATTACTTTTTCATTTCAATTTATGCTGTCCTATACTACTGTCGCTGATAAAGAAAACGTGAAATTATAAATAAAAAATATATATAAGCAACTCCGAAAATCATTCCCTCATCTTGTCCCTTACTCCAAAACCCTTTACTAAAAAGTCTGTTCGTCACAAATGAAACAATATTGTTATAATTCAAATATTGTGAACATATTAGAACGACAGTGTTAGTGTTTATATGAATTTTAATTGCACTACGATGAATACATATAAATAAAATACTGTTTTAAATTATGTCCCGCCAAATAAAATCATTCCCTCATCGTTTACGGTTTATCGATTTCTGATCCCATCGAACATGATTATTGGACGAAACCAAAAGTTTTATTAAGCTCTTAATACTCCCTAACGTTTCAAAATGGCGATTTCAAATCTGCTCAACAATAGGTGAGTTTGTACAAAAAATATTTCGTTGAAAATAGTTAAGAATTAAAGGCAGTCATTACCTCACGTGGCATATATGTAAAAGTTACTTAACTATACGTATTTATGTTAAGTAATGTTTATGCTTTTTTGGGAGTCAAATTATAATTCAAAACCTTTAAAACAAATTGAAGTTATGTGCCGGTGTTTTTGTAATTTTAGTTAAAATTCGTCATTCCCTTACGATCATTCCCTCACTGCATTAAGGAGTGAGGGACTAACGGTTGTATGAGGGAATGATTTCTACAATATTCTTTTAGGTTTTTCATATATTTCCTTCAATTTGTCTTTCACTGCATTACAATCTTTATAGGTATTTTATATAGAAGAAAAATGGCACGACAAAAAAAGTTGAGTGATGCAGAAAAGAAATAAAAAAGAAAGAGTATGAGAGAAAAAGGCGAGAAAAAATGAAAAGTAATGTGGAATCTTTGGAAAAACAGTGAGAAAAGGAAAGGTTAAAATATATGAAGAAAAAAGAGAAGGGTCAAGTGAAATCAGTCATTGCTATGAATGCTAGAGAACGCAGACAAAAACGGACAATAAAGGTACAACAACACGCAAAACTTTACATAGAATTCTTGATGATACACCTCCAATCAAGTCAGTGGTGGCCTAGTGGTTAAAGAGCCCGCCTCTCGTTGCCGAGGGCGCGGGTTCAAACCTGGCAAGTACCGATGTGATTTTTCGGAGTCATGTGTACTTTCTGAGAGTAGTTAGACATCACTGACAGACGTGAGGAAAACTGGACTTATAGTTTCACAATTATAAGTTTGAAATCACCAACCCGTTTTGAGCAAGCGTGGTGATTAATGCTCAAACCTTCTCCATGTGAGAAAGAGGCCTTTGCTCAGCAGACATCTCCAACAAGTCCGACACTAGTTTTGCAGCAATGTAGGGAAGATGTAGCTGCTCGTAATAGACGTCAGATGCGAAGGCGACGAGCTATTTTGTATGCACGGATTATCAGGTTGAAGAAAGAAACTAACGAATGCAGTTAAGCGAAAAATACAAGAAAAGATATTTAAGGCTCAAAAGCCAATAGATATTGATACAATGAATGTAGATTATGAGAACCACCAAGTATCACTACCGTCTTCTTCACACATTTAAAAACCTACTGATAACTATGGTAGCCATCAGATCGCTGACATTGGAGATTATGTCCTGGTCAAATGGGACAAGTCAAGTTATCCCGGAGAGGTTCTTTCTGTTTTTGAAGATGGTTTAATGGTAATATGCATGAAGCGGGGACTGAAGTTTTGGAAATGGCCTGCGATTAAAGACGAACAATTATTATATTTAAAAACCAAAGTTAATTAAGACAGGGAATTACGTATTACAGAGTTAGATGAACTTTACGATTAATATCGATTAAATTATCTATTATTTAAATTACCAAAAATTACAGGTGATTCATAAATATTCAAACAGAATAATAGTAATAATGAGAAAACAAAATAAAACATGAAAATATTTTCACGTTTAAGAGAAATGTTAAGTACAAAGTTTAAAATAATGTGATATTAGGAATAAGCATATTAGGATTAATAAAATTTTGTTACCTTCTGTTATTTATGTTTTGGAATAATTTTTGTTTGTTTTCTTTAACTAGAAGTACAAGGTTTTAAGTTAAATTTGTTTAGAACAAGAAAAGTGCTGTTAAATATATTAAAAGTTACATAATTTCATAATATTATTACTATATAATAAAGATATATTTCATATATGATAAAGATAAAAAATCATTCCCTCATTCTTTTACTCATTCCCTCATTTCATTTTTATTTTTAACTCATTTTATATCTACTGTGTACAAAAATATGGAAGACTATGTTTTAATAATAAACCTTTTATAGCTACATTACATTACATTTCTGCAAAAAAAAATTACTTTATATGTACAAAACATTTTTTTTTCAATATACCTGAACATTCGACATTTGATAAGAAATACCCATGTGTATCACAATCATGTACTTTTATTGTAATTTGAAAGTAGTTTTAAATAAAAATATATAATTTGTGATCACTCATGTGACATCATGGATACCAAAGTGAAAATATATGTTTAGTATATTTTGTATGGACAGTAAAAATAAATTTATTAATATATAATAATACTTAATAATACTTTGAACGGAAATCTTTGAAATTAATTCAATTAATTGAACAAAAGGTAAAGGATACATTTTCCTTTATTAATATTTCTATACAGGGTGACTGGTGAATTACTATCAATATTTAAGGAGCATACTCGGTACATGATTCTCATTCGAATTATGTAAAAAAAATAGGTACTTAATTTTTGACCAAATTTCCGTATAAATAAATAAAGTGTGTACACGTTCCAAGTGTTCCAAGCGTGGACGCGTGCGGCGGCGTAGTGTTGTATCAGCACGCGTGTGTGAGTGTGTGTGTATACCTAATCTGTAGGGTGTTCATACGATGCGTAATTAATTACATAACTTTTGGTTAACTTTACTTAGAAGTTTATTAGTATTTATGTGATATTAATTTTTATTTTGTCATATATGATCGTCAAATATCACGTCATCAAATATCGATAGTAATTCACCAATCACCCTGTATATTAAAAAATATCAAGACCACATACATAACACTGAGGCCATATAAATAATATGATAACATTATATATGGTGTTATCACATTCACTACTTTCTTTAAAATCCAGTAACGAATTTTGAATCTCTATTGACATATAGAATAAGATATTGATAAGTGTGTTAGAACCAAATATTCCTGTGGACTGTGAGTACATAATCAAGTTTGAGAATGGATAAGTAGATCTATAGTGTATGGGCACACTTAAAAATGAATAAATACTCTTGTGAGAGAATTAATCAGCGGAGGCAATTTAAATTGTAGTCTGAAATGTAAGCAATATAGTTTTATAAGTAAAACCAATTATTCTTGCACCCTCCTCTTTAATGTAATTATTAGGAATATTCTGTCTATGTGTGAGTATATACATGTATGAATGTGTAGTGTAGTCCTATAGTATAGTGTAGTATAGTATATAGTACTGACCGAACTGCCCCATCTTGAACAGGTTCTTGGCCAAGGTCGTCTGTAGCATCAGCTGGTGTCTGCGGGCTCCCTCAGCGTCCCCTCCCGACAGGTACGGAGATACTGTACACACAAAAAACACATACATATAAACACCTCACTATATATATGTGTGTATTTAGGATATACTTAAAACATTTCTAACTAGTTTTTTCCCGCGACATCGTCTGCAGTAATTTCGGAACTAGTAATATAATATGTATAGGTGACTGGAAAAACTCTATTCTTATAGAGGCTACAAATAACCAGATATTGGAATTTATTAAGTTTTTTTTACGTTTACGTCAAGTTTTTTTAACGAATCAAATATCCTATGTAAGTCTCCTGGGTTCAATCTGTCTCTACACCATTTTCCAACCATATTCCCACAGCGCTTCTTGAGTTATAAGCTAATTTTAATATTTCAATCAGTTCATCCATAATACAAATATCATTCAGAAGAGATATTTAAAGTTGAACGACCAACTCAAAGATATATACATAATATATTTTATAAACTAGTATATTTCACCTGGGTTTCCTTTATTGAAAGCTACAGCTGCTGCTAGCGCGAAGTTAAGCGCCGGAGCAGCGGGGGACACGGCGCTGAACGTATCCGATGGTTCGTCCTTAGGATTTATCTGAAGATAACAACATCATTAGTATATGAATATCATATTAAAGTATTAACCATTGTATTTGTTAGTGCATACATGATTTCTTCCTTTAAGATCAGACCTGTACAAATAAATATTTCGACATATATAAATAATAAATATATTAATATTTAATGGAATTAATATTAACATAGATGATCCCTACTGATATAAATATACCACTGAACTGATTTCAATGAGATTTGGTACAGAGATAGAGTTGACCTTGAGAAAGAACAGGATAGTTTTTATACCAGAATTTTGAAAGGTTCTCTTGAAAACGCGATAAATATATGATATAACCGAAGTCCACGCGGGCGAAGCTGCGGACGGAAAGCTAGTTTATAATAATCTCATAGTCATAAGATTTGACACTGCTTTCTTCATTATAGTATTTCAATTGTTTGGCCAACTGAGCTTTAGTGCCTTAAAAAGTAGGTCATTGAGTTATTGCCATATATGTATATTATATATAAAATACTCGTGTCGCGGTGTTAGACAGAAAACTCATCCGAAACGGCTGAACCGATTTTTATGAAATTTTGTCAGAATATTGAGTAGGTCTGAGAATCTGCCAACATCTATTTTTCGTACCCCTAAGTTATAAGGGTTGTTCACCATTATTTTTATTATTTTCGGACAAATTTTCTTTGTTTTTATTTTTTATAATGTAGCATTAAAAATACATACAGCCCAAAATTTTTACTTTTTTATTACCAACCCTTTTTTATGTGGCAAAACAATGTTTGCTGAGTCAGCTAGTATATATATATATTATCTAGATGTATTAATAGTAATATTAAGAGTATGTTAATTTCACCTGTGACTGAGCGCTGCCAGCAAGTCCCAGCAGCTTGGAGTATGCTGCTCGCTCCTCTTTGGACTTATCAACGATAGGCTTCCTCTCATGTTGAACCGCTGTCATAAAGCAAGAATTACTGCTCATAGACCACCACATAGCCCACCATTACAATACGTGGTGTGGTGGGTTACATAGTGTTCATATAACGCATGCGATTCCAATTATTTGAAAATTATTGCACAAAAAATTTTTCAAGTATAGTTCGGAAAAAATTGTTTAAGTTTTTTATTATTGCTTGAATATCTAGTGTTATAATAAACAGAAGTGAATTTTGTATATAGGAAATTATAACTATATAATGATATGTAGAGACAAAAATATTTATATTGGTACTTATAATAAAATTAGTTCTTTATATGTGTGTTTAAGTAATGTAAATAATTTAACCAGTACTACTCACAGTCACTTCTCATACCGCACGCCAAACATTTCTGTAAGCGACAGTATTGACATCTGTTGCGATGGTGTTTGGTCACTTCACAATTCATGCTGCCTCGGCATTGATAGCCTAACTTCTTACGGATTGAACGCTTGAAGAAACCCTTACAACCTGGAAAGTATTACTAAATTGTTATAGCTGAGTATTTTGAGCAATTTTGAGTGTTATTGGGTCTTAACTGAGTATTTTGAGTGGTACAAGTCAAGTTCTATCTGTATTATGCCAATAAATGTTATATTGCTTGTTGATTGTATAGTTATTGTTAATTTCATCAAAATCTTTACAGTGTCTAGACATATAAATTTAAAATAACATTAATAATGATGTAATTATATTATTATTCCAATATATTAAAGAAAGTTGAAATTTAGTCCCAATCTAGCTGGTAGCCGGTTCCTATAAAAATTACTCTCAACTAACTACAGTACTTTCATATAATTTTAACAATTAATCATATACTTGTATGAAAATATCAATAGCAACTTATTAACTTAACTTAGTATATACTCATATACATTGTATGAAAACTAAGATTTTTGTGACTCTTATTCATTTTAATGAAATGAATATTTTTTTGGATGTACTATGTGACTTTATTTTTGATAAAAAACTACATACTCCCGTATATAAGTTTTATTTAAATGAATATTCATAGTATGTTAGTCGTCACCTCACCTTCACAACTGATAGCTCCATAATGTCTGCCGCTGGCTCTGTCCCCACACACTATACACAGCTCCAAGCCCCCGACTTCATTGCCGCTGTACTTGATCTCCATTTGATCCTGGGCCTCCATAACCAGTTTACCATGAACTCTGAATGCAAACTCAATATTATGTAGCACAAAGCATTTAGATCTCTATGTAAATTTGATACTCCACATTAATGACTTTAAAATTATTATTTATCTAATATAATTATACTTTTATGATAAATACGATATATGAAAGTCGTCAACTACATGTACAGATCGGAAGAAATGAAAAAGGCCTTAAGCCTTTCACTTCGTAACTTTCAAGAACTTGGCATTTAAAAACAGGTTAAAAAATAAGTAGGCGAAAGAATTATGTTACATTAGTTCCATATAATATACTCTCTTTGCTCATTGATGTAGAAAATATGTATTGCTAACTCTATGAATGCCTTGAGAAAATAGTACAATGTACAAAGTCATTCTCACCTGATTAATTAGGTTTTAATTAACTAGAGGACGACTAAACATTGAAATTTACAATCATACTTCGTAAATTAACAATTTGTTCAGTAACTTGAAAAGAAAACGTAAATAAAGATTAATTTATAAACACGTTACATATGTGTAGGAAAAGAATGTTTCACAAACACTGCCATACAGATTATAAAGCGTATAGAGATATAACACAGATAAACGAATTTACGGAAGAAGCTAGAGGATTATTAAAGAAAACACGTCTTAAATTGTTTGAAGAATATATTCAATTGGTATGTAATTTAATATTTTATTTTAAGGTACAGCTTTATTCGCACTGGTATCTTTAAATATTTTATCAATCCAAACGTTTTTATTATTATTGAGTTATTGTCGTGATTATTAAACTATCCTTATATTCTATATTAATATTAACAAGTATATTTAGGAATTTCATATGTCAGTTTCGCATGTTCAATATGTCAGTGTCAAACAATAACCTCGTGTAAAATAAAAAATAAAGTTTATTTATAACAGTTTTCAAGTAAATTACAATATAATATAAGAAAAGTAACAGAAACAAAAATGACGAGTGACAAAATTGATGATATAATAGACAAATTCAGCGTCTTAACTGAGAAACCTGTGAAGTTTTTAACAGTTCAAGATGATATACAGGGTGATATCAGGAACTTGGTGAAATCCATCTATGATCTTACTAAGTCACAAGAGAGCGGGAATAAGAAGAAACAGGCGCTATCTAGTATGATAGTGAGTGATTTTGACGAGGAACAGATTTGGCAACAGATAGAATTGCAGAACTCAGAGCGATGGGACGAATTGGTCTGGGATGTAGCTAATAGCGTGTCCAGTAAAAATGACCTCACGTTCCCTATAGACTTCCCAGAAGAGAAAGATGACGAAGTCATTGAAAATGAGGATGATGTTATGTCAGAAGAAGAACATCAAGAAGAAGAAGTAGAAGAATCTAATGTTAAAGCGGCGAAAACGAAACCTAGTAAAAAACAATCAATTGTTGACGATGATTTCTTTAAATTACAAGATATGGAAAACTTTTTATTGAAAGAAGAAAAAATGGAGGGAAAAATCAAAAAGGGTGAAGATGATGAGGACTCGATAGATATGTTTGAAGATATGGATAGTGAGGGATCTGACGAAGAAGGTGGCAAAGATGTTAAATATTATGACTTTTTCAATGAAGATAATGAAAATGGTCAGGAGGAAAATGATGAGAAGGATGATGATGATGATGATGAAGAAGATAATGATAATAAGATAGAACTAAACAAACAAAAGAAAAGTGACAAGAAAGTAAGGTTTCTCGAGCCAGATTCAGAATCAGGTGATTCAGATGACAGTGAAGAACAAAAATCCAAGCACATAAATGGCAGCGACAAGGAAAATAAATCAGAATTTGAACTTCGGCAAGAGCGGTTGCAGAAACATATTACAAGACTGGAGGAGAAATCTATAAACGAAGCGCCGTGGCAATTGAAAGGTGAAGTTGATGCCACGAAAAGACCACAGAACTCATTACTTGAAGAAGTTCTAGATTTCGATCTCACAACCCGACCACCTCCGGTCATAACAGAAGAAACGACAATCACATTAGAAGGCCTCATCAGACAACGCATCAAAGACAAAGCCTGGGACGACGTCACCAGGAAAGAAAAGCCCGTGGATGACCAATTTCTGTTCAAAAAGCCCGAAGTTCTAGATCAGTCTAAGAGTAAAATGAGTCTCGCACAAGTCTATGAAGCAGAGTATCTTAAACAAAAGCAAGCATTATCCGGTGAAGTTGATGATGAGAAGGAACCGGAAACTCATACCGAGATTCGGGAAGCTATGAAAAACTTATTTTCCAAGCTCGATGCTTTATGTCATTATCATTACACACCGAAACCACCCCAAGCTGAAGTTAAAATTGTTAGTAATACTCCAGCAATATCAATGGAAGAAGTTGCACCAGTTGCAGTGAGTGATGCTGCTCTATTAGCACCCGAGGAAGTTAAAAGGAAAACAAAAGGAGATCTTATGAGCAAGGAGGAACGAACACAGACAGATAAAAACAGAGAGAGGAGGAAAAAGAAGAAACTACAAAGGAAAAAGGGCTCGGTAATGAAAGTAACGGATAACAGAAACACAAAGGCAGCCGTTGAAAGCAACGACAAGTCTCTTAAAACATCCAAAGCATTCTTCCAACAACTAAATGATAATTCAACTAGTCTTATTAAAACTAAAACTAAAAAGCTTATTAAAAATAAGGGACAATAAAGTTGTAAATTATATATTGTGTCTCATTTTAACAATCACATATAATATAGGTACATATAAATTAGTTAATGTGACAAAAATTAAACAAAACAATTTTCTTTTAAGTTTGACTTACTTTGTTACAAATGTTTACTATAAAAATTAACTATTTCCATGCTAATACAGATAGTTTAACAAAACCACCATCGACATTATATTACTGTAATGAAACAAACACTAAACTAAAGTTTTCGTTACAAAACAAGCTCAGAGGCATTAACTTTAGCCCTGCCATTAAAAAAGATTGCGTTTCTATGTAATCTTAAAACTACGATTAGCTAACATCCCCGAATGCCACAAACTGCGTTGGCTCGCGGGCTGTTCGTAATTAGCGCGGGAAAAACGAGACGATATGGCGCGAAACGAATCTCTGTCGCGGGAATGTTGGAATTGTTGAGTGGAGTCGCTTCTATTTCTTATTTTTTAAATGGCCGTCGAAGTCATCTCGTATTATTTTATAGCTTCACATTCTATACCAATATATTTAATTTAATACGTTTTTCTTAACATTTATTGAATATTTTATTACACTATTTAGAGTAAACGCAAAATATTTTAAATTTTTATTAGAACTTAATTTAGGCTTTTCATACATATGTATATACATTTAAGGGTATCTAAACAACAGATTAAAAACAGATTTCTCTTAAAAATATGTAGACATAATAAACCAATTTGGTATCATTAAAAAGACGCGAGGTTAAATTCAAATTTAATTACACTGAAGTAAAGTGCCTATTAAAATAAAAAAGCAAAAGCGCATTCGTGCTTCGTTGCTCCGCGGGCACGTCTATAGCATTTAGTCCCCGCCTAGAAGTTACGTAACGACGCCGTTACTTTTTAGCTACAGTCCAAATGCTAAATGCCTATGCACTTACATAGTATGGCTATGTGAAGAAATATCTTGAAACAAATATATTGAAATATTGTAAAGTTATTTGTAAAACGCAATTAGTTGTATCCGCGTTTCGATATTGTTTCAATTATTTTATTGAAAATTCAATTTTGCAGTTCCGCCATATATGAAATAATTTTTTTTGTCGTATACAAAGTTCGTTCCGTTTTTCGTTAGGATTCTGTTACAATTATGAATTTAATAAAACCGCATGTGGTAGTTTTTAACATTTTGCGTATAATGAAACGTAAAAAATTATAATATATTTTATATTGAGACTATGTGTATATAATATATATTGGTGCAGTCTGTTGAAGAAGTGGTGGCTGTAATCCACGTCCTTCGGTCACATGTTTATAATTTGTACAATTACCACCGCGCTACGGAAACACAGATCTTGGTACATATAGACAGGACATTACAAATAATATTATAATTTTATATCTGTGGTACTACTTAGTAACTTTTAGTTTTTTTAATAACTTAGTTCTCTGTGTACTTTTTTGAGAACGTATTCCTTTATTAATTTTAAAACATATATGTATGAAGTTAATATGAAAAATGTGCTTATAATTCTGATGAAACAAGTTGAGATCACATATTTTTAAAATATTATATTGTTAAATAAAATAAAATCTGACGTCATAAAAATAGTTTGTTTTTAGCTTTTTTGAACTTAAATTCTCTCTGAGCTTATAATTATATTGATATTCCAATATTTATGAGTAGATATATAATATAATAATATAAAATATATACATAAAAGTGACTTCTAAATATTCCTAATTCTGTACAAAGCAGCATCGGTGTGCTGCAACCAGCAGACAAATAAATTTAGGGGCGCGATAAGCGCAGCATAACTCAACTGAAAAAAAATACGCTCTAGGCTGGTCTTGAGATACTCCACACTGTGAAATGGATTGCTACTTATATAGAACATACCTACATGTTTAAAAGAAGCAAAACTATATACGTATGAGTAATTATATATTATACTAGCTGACAAACGTTGTTTTGCCATAAAAGAATAGGTGTTGATAATAACAAAGTAAAAAATTTGGGTTGTTTGTTTTTTTAATGCTCAATTATAAAAAAATAAAACCAAAAATTTCAAAATAATAATTAAGGGTGAATAACCTTATGACTTAGGGGTATGAAAAATAGATGTTGGCTGATTCTCAGACCTACTCTATACACTCACAAAATTTAATCATAATCGGTCAAGCCGTTTGGAGGAGTTTTCTGTCTAATACTTCGACACGAAAATTTTATATATAAGAATTTAATAGTAAATGAAATTTAAGTCATTACGTATGTTTATATTCAAGATATATATATATATTATTGTTATTTAAATGTTTTTTCACCAATATGATAGTTTTTTTCTAGTCAAGAGTAAAGGCTTCCTTTAAAGCCTTATTTCCAGTGTCGCGTGCTTATAAAAGATGATATCCTTTCTTAAAACATATTAACCATAAATACTAACTCCCGGTTTGAGCGGGAAAATGTAAGTTTTATTTAACGCGACGTCGGTGGCATAAGAAAATTGCAATTTGCCACAGAACATTAAAATGGCTTGAGGATTTGTGAATATTGGCCTGGAATTTATATTAGACGAACAGTATACGTGCACTTTGGAATATTTAGAAGGTGCAATATGAATTATCGTGTATTTTTTGAAAATTTCCAACCATTTTTGTTCGTATGGACACACAGATCGAATCCTGGGAGCTATAAAACCTTTTTATTAGATAAGTAAGGATGCTAGATGCTCTCTCTCAATTCCCGCCTGGAGTGCACATAAAATAAATCCAGCTAGTGTCATGGCGCCTCTAACATTTGTTACATCTACGTCACGTAAGATTATATTTTGACTTTCTACTATTAAACGATTTATTGGTAACTTTGAACAATTATATCGAAAAGAATTATTTATATAAATATATTATATCTGATATAAAAGATATAATAAGTTGATTTTTGAATAGTTTTAAGAAAAGGCTGTGTTAACAAGTAAAGGCGTTATTAAAAAGTTATTTTTTGTTTTCATTTTAATCTAGAAGATCGAATTTTAGTTTAAACTCCGTAGTAATTTAAGTAAATGGCCGATTAATAATAAAACTTGTTAATTATATTTGATATTTTAAATTCTACAACAAATTTAACCTTACTATCAAAGGATACGTTATATGAAAAACTGGAAGCACTATATAATTACGATATGTGATATTATATTGAGTTAAGTGTGGTCTAACATACTATATATTATATTAGGTATAATTAATATTAAATAATAATATAATATTTTTTTTGTGGAAATCGTTCGTTATTGTATGCTTTTATATATAAATAGGCATTATTTGATTATAATTATTGTCGTTATTAAATTTCTGTATTACATATCTTACTTTTTCATTTAATAAAATTTTTTGTGTTAATTTTTTTTTATATTTATTATGTAACAAGAAAACATTTGAAGTTATTATTTAAATCATATTATATTAAAAAAAATGTCAATATTAATTTAAAAAATAACTAACTTATTAATTTAATTATAAATTTAATACACACAAGAGTGTGGTACTTAATTGGGTACTCGTAAGCCAGAAATGCTTTACATTATTTGAAAATGTATGCATGAACTCCGCAAAGCTTTCAAATTAAAGAAACCGAATTAAAATCGGTCCATCCGTTTCAGAGCTACGATGCTACAAACAGTTACACATACATTGGCGTCAAATACAACACCTCTGTTTTGAGTGGAGGGTAAAATGTAAAACTGTTTTACTAAATGAATTAATATTATTAAATGTTAGAAATAGTATTCGCTACTAATATGTATACTAGTTTTTGTTCGTGACTTCGTCCGACTTGATTTCGGAATAAGTAATATATGAATGTAAAACTGACCGGTGAAACTCTGTTCCGCCTTAAAGGCCTTAATTGACCATATATTAGAGTTTATTAAGTATTTTTCTCTTTTTCGATCGAACAGAATTAAATATCCTATGTCTGTGTCCTTGTTCTAAGCTATCTCTCCACCAATTTTCAACCATATCTGATATCCCTACAGCTGTTCTTGAGCTTGAATATTGTAACTAACACGAATTTCTTTTATCTTCTTCTACCTGGCAATTTTCCAGGTTTAGCCAGGGTCTGCCTTACATGTTGTGTATAGTTTTTGGCTAATTGTTTTTACGATCGACCGCCTGCCTGACATTAACTCTCTTTTGGAATGCATTAATCAGTGATATCTAAATACTCTTATAAAGTACATATGACTCGGAAAAATCACATTGGTACTTGCCAGGGCCAGGATCGGACTCGCGCCCTCATGCATGAGAGGCGGGCCTTTTGACCATTAGGCCACCACTGACTTTCTTTTATATATATAAATATATGTTTTAATGAACTACTTTGTTATATACAGTCGTACTGCCTTTTAGGTATTCAAGTTATATTGTTCCTGTACATTTTTTTAGCAATTTCACTTATTTTGTACAGTTTTATATAGTTTTAGTACTTATTTGTCCATATGTCTGACATTTATATACTATTTTGACATTTATCTTTTGACTTTTTTGACATTACTGTCAGAATTATGAAAAAACTTTGACTTTGCATTGACAGTTTCTTTAATCAGTATAGTTATTCAAAGTTTCTATCGTCACACTATATACAAAGCGTATCCCTTTTCTCATTCAATATTCTACGATAATACGCGAAAATTTATGAAAACTTTTAACGCTGCGTATGTAGTGACGATGCTTGCTTGGACTAAGGTCTAAGGGTACAGTATTTTCAATGAGTCTCATCTTTTAACCAACTAATTATAATTCCATGATCGTGGTTTCTTTTCACGTAGTCACATTCTGCATCATGTTCAACCTTGGATATTATTGATACCAAAACGCAGGAAAAGGAAGGCCAACTTAAAATTATTGGGAAAACGGTCTTGGAAGAAGAATTTTGTTATAAAATGTTCCAAAGCGTGAAGTGACTTTGTGTATGTCACTGAACTTATCTCAAACGACTGGACCGATTTTGATGAAATTTTTTGTGTGTGTTCAAGGGGATCTGGGAATGGTTTAGATTCACAATTTTGTCCGCTGGACAATGTTTTTTTAATTATTTTTTAATTTATCAGTAGTTGTTGATACAAACTTTTTTTTGACATTAGATTTGACAACTAACTAATATGTCAACCATTCTGTCGCACTTCAAAAAACGGAAATTTATGGTTTTAATAGGTAAACTCCAAAAATATAAATAAAAAAGTAACAGATATTTCTTGATTATAGGGCGATACGAAGCTCGCGGGGTCTTCTAGTATTCTTATAATTTCAAATATTTATTTGTTACTGAAACCGCATTAGGTCTTTTAATGCAGTATTGGTTGTGCAAGGTCAGTTATGCCTGGTATGGTTGAAAGCTGGTAAATGTACGAAGAGTTTTAAACAGTAGGAGTCTGATACTCATTCTTGTCCCACCCGGGATAAGAGGGGTTGTATGACGATTTTCCACCTTAAAAAAGAAAGGTAATTAAATGCAATTGTTTTCTAACTTTAGTATCTTTTTTGTTTTTTTTCTATATAAAATTTCAATACAATTACGATTTTTAATTTAAAAAAAATGAAATGATAATTTTGGTGAGTATACGTTTAAATTGATACAAAGTTAATAAGATCTAAAACTTTCGCGAGTATTCATTTAAATGAAACTAATATTTTCGGATTACTACACATTATTTTATTATTTTAATATCACACTCAAGAAGTTTAACTCAAGACGTTTCAGTTACTTTTCATCAACCGTGATCACGGACAGACGAGATGTGAATACTATGTGATACTATGTTTTTCGGATATATTACATGTTTTATTTTACATTCACCTAACAAAACATAAATTAACCTTAGTGATTATCATATAACCTTTACCTTACATAACTCTTACCTTTTAGGTATACACGTATTAAACTACCCACACTAACATACAGACTCAAGACTTAACAAAAACCAATATAACACCAAAACAACAATACAAAATCAATAAATTTTCATTGATATTTAAATATGGACGGCCATTTAGCAATTTTCAAATAACCATACGCGATATTAAACACGATAAGACCGGGTGCGGGGCTATCGGGAACATAAAGTCGGACAGGCGAAATTAAAAAGAGTTACTGCATTGACGCCGCGGGCACAACTGACTACTGACATGTACTTTTTATTTTACACAGTAATTAGTCTGTTATATACGTATTTATATACAAATGTATTAGGAATATATTGATTTTCATTGATAAATTAATATTTGGGTCACTAAGTGAGTATAAAATAAAATAAGTTTAAAAATTATATGTATATGAGTTTGATATATAAAAATGCATTTACATGTGGCTTAATGACGTCTTTCCTAATATATGTACATATTTAAATAAAATTAATATTCTCGAATTATTATGCGTTTTTTTGTTATTATATAATCTCGATTTTTCAGTTATTTTACAGTAAATATGATCACGGGAGTGAAATGAAAGTGTAGTATCAAAAAATTATTTTTTTAATTGTGTACATACGAAAATTTTATAAACCATTATATGCATTATTAATTTATATTTACTTATTATTGCCTTGTATGTAAGTATATAGTTAGTTTTTTCAAACATTCCGTCTGTGAATTATTATGTTTTCAGAGATATTGGCCTTAGAAAAATCAAAACATAGTGACTTCTTGATTTTTAGTTATATTATTGTAAAGTTACATGAAAATCAAGTATGTCTAGGGTGTATGGGTAAAAAATGTCAATCATAAAACATACATACATACAAATTTTGTCATTTAAATTATTTTTATACATATATACATATAGTTGACGTTAACGAGACAACGTAGTACGTGTCACGTTGAATATAAAACGTGAAAACTTAAAGATTCATCCCGAACGCCGGCCGCGGAGGAGAAATCAAATCTTTATTTAAGTCGTGTGCACACTCGCTTGAATAATTTAGCCGGCGCTCTGTTCTCGGCCTAATATAATATATGGCCTAGGATTTTGAGTCTCTTACTTGTGTTATATTAGATTTACTACTCCTTCATTATTTACAGACTAATCTATTACACAGAACTTTATTCATTTAATTAAAACTCTCTACTATATAGAGAGGAGCTTGGACAGTGGAGGTCTTTTAACGCGCGTTAGATAGGGTCCCTTAAACCTACACCTGGGTCACAAGTCCCAGTCACTGTTGAAGCTCCTCTCACTACAACGATGAACCTGACACACGCACCGTGAATACATGGAATGATGAGAGGTTTAGTTTATACACATACATATGTATATTAGGTTTAAGTAAATGTAAAAACAAATTTGATTGTAATTTATTTCCAGTTTATGAACCAAATTTCTTAGAATTACAAATCTTTCAGCTTACTATATATCAAAGTAATATATATATATATGCTGCCTCTGTGTATATTTGCTCTGTCCCCTGCGCCTGTAGCTTCAGCCTGCTCCTTGCTCTAATACTAATCACACCCAAATATATTATATGTGCCGCTTAATGTAAGTGCAGCGGATTTAATGAGAGGGAGCTCATTATACACTGGGATGTGGGACTGTTGTACGGAGATGTGGAAAATATGGAAAAAGACAGATGGAAATTATAGTTTATATGGAATTGAGATCGAGGGATGGGTAGTACTTATAAAGTATATACATATACAATGTTATAATAAGCGTCTTTAACATATATTATTATGATTTTTTATGATACTCGTCTCTATCTCTGTCTATCTGTTTGTTACGATTAATCTCTGTAACTTTGGAATATATTTGAATAGAACTACACTCGCAAATAACTAATAAAATAAGGAGTAATTTAAGTTATTTTTATATGAATATAGGTACCCACCCCAGCTTCGCAGGGGTAGTTTAAAAAAAAATCTTGCGCATAATGCGTTGATACTTACTTTTTGATTTATTTAAACCAAGACAAACAAAAATTTCATCATTTTCGTTAAAAATATTTTGAATTTGAACTTTTGAACGGTATATTTTATGATAATAATAGTTTTTAATATATAAAAAATTTGTATACAAAATTAATGACGTGATCATGTGAAAAAGTGAGCTATCACGTGGATTTAATTTTGAGAATTATTAAACTTATGATAACTTTCAAATGTACACACAATCAATACAAAACCTTAACAAATTATATTTTGAAACCTTCCATAAGAATAACAATGAACAATATAATCTAAGTTTTGAATTAATTTACGAATATTATTCCTCTAACAGTTACTCACTCCTATGACTTACAAACTCATTTTACTTAATAAATTTTATTAGTATGAGTATTATTATCCTTAGTAATGATATCATATTTAACGTCAATACTGACAGTGTGGACGTCTTAATGCAAGCCTTTCAATACTATAATGTATAAAGATTGACGAGTGAAACACTGCAGAAGTTTAGTAAGTCAAAACTGGAAATATTCCGTTTCGTTGTAAACTTGATAAGGGTATTATATTACGCATGTAAGAAAGTTTGGACGCAATACTTTCAGTTTAAAGTCATTTTTATTTTAATTTAATGTACACGAAGATTCATGTAGTAGAAACTTTGTAACTTTCCGTGTGACGTCACGATGAATACTTTTGATGATAGAGTGTCTTTACCACAAGAATACGTAGACGTAAGTACTGACAGTATGACGTTTTCGTGTATGTAAGTTGATACTAAAATAAGAGAAGATATAATTTTTTGACAGCAGACTACGTATGTAGTTTTAAATAAGAACTTATACTTAGTGTATTATGCTATTATTTAGTTTCATTTTCTTTATAAGTATCTAAGAAATTTTCATTGAAGGATACTAATTTACTGAAGTATACACACTACAGATAATTTCAAGGTCAACAAATACATATATACATATATATTTGTACGTGTATGTGTGGGCGTGCGTGTGTGTGTGTGCGTGTGTGTGTTAATATTATTTAATGATAAAGATATTCATCAAATAGTTCGTGTCCGGAATCGAACTGGCGACAGTGCGCTGACCGCAGAGTTACTGCAGTAACTACTGAGACGATCATAGAGAGAGTTTAATACAAACATATATCAAAAAATATCACTGATATATACAAAAGATACTATCCTAATATAAAAATGTGTATAATATATTATTCAACACATATGTTACTTTTATATAATATAATAAATATATTTAAATCAATACAATCTCTTAATTACTGTAATAATAGATTTCTTAAGAAAAAAAAATGCCCAAATCGCTACGCCGTTCCGCCCAAGATGTGTTTTCCACTCACACATGTAAAGGACTCGCACACATGCACACACACATACAGCACGTGACATTTATAGACTCGTCAGCTGAAACACGGAACGAGCGATTGTGACACTTATTGCAATGAAATAGAGTCCTCCACATACAGTCGGACCACGATAAATTAGGATATTTCAAAAGTCGAATACAACACTTACAAGTGTCCGTGTTCAAGGTAATATGAGTCGTGTGTGAAGGGAGTAAGGTTCATATTAGTGAGAGGCAGCTCCCAGCTCCGAACGGAGAGAGCTTTCCGAAGACGACCGAGCGTGTACCGATCGGCTCCGAGCGGCGCCGCGAGTGCATCACCAGCCGGGGCTCAGGGCTGGCAGCGGGGAAAACTTCAAAGACCTTTTATTACACGCTGTAACACTATACATCACACTTCTCAATGATTATTTTTTCTATGGAAAAATGTAAAGTTTTTAAAAACCTTCAGTTCTATAAGATGATCAATTTAATCAGACTTCTTTGTAAGTTTAGAGTAAATATAACATGTACATGAGAAGTATTTTTATAGGACTGGGTATAGTACCATGTGAAACGATTTCGTAATATTCGGACAGCCACTCGCGTATTATCCCTTAACATACGACGTCTAATGTATGCATATTTCCTCGAATATTTTTCGTGATATATTACATTGCGGAAAACTCATAAGTATCACCCCTAGTGGGTGGGCGGGCGAGGGAGGGGTGAGGGAGTGGAGCGTGCGGCGGGGGGAGATACGGCGAGGGGCGAGGGAGCAGGGCTCGCGCCAGTCGGTCGCGGCGCGCCGCGCAGCCCGCACGCGTTATGCGCGCCCTATAGCGTATTATGTTCCTCCCCGAGCTCCCGCGAGCCTGCATGGTGGACGACGTAGCGACGTACCTGCAAGCGCCCTCCTCGGGACAGGTGCTACAATATATTAACAACAAAGCCCATATGTAATTAACAATGATCATATTAACAGATGTTGTGAGCTATTGTCGCTTACCCCGCGCGATCGCCGCCCGGGTATTTTCGGGTACGTTCTTATAACACGTGATGACCCTGACGGCGTACAATAAGGTACCGTTCAATATAATAATTATAATACGAGAGACGTCACGCGCACCCACTAGTATGTACTAGTTGACAAACAACATGTAAAGGTAGCCAGCGTCTGTAAACAGATCGAACATTCATAAGAGAAACCTCTGGAGGCTCTACGCAGGGCTTGAGATCGGGAAAAACAATCATAATCAAACGTAAAATATTATACACCGAATTATATATAAAATATAATCATCTCTTAAACTAAAACAAATATAAAACAACAAAATGTCAAAGAAAATTTGTATATAATATTTTTGAAAAATTCCTATTAAATTGTTTGTCAAGTCCACTAGCGAAGACTGTAGACACGTGCGAGTCAAATTAAATGAGAGTGACGTTTAAAAATATTATTATAATAATGATTATTCAATTCATTTAATACATACATACTAATAAGATATTAAATTAAAACAAATATTTCTTTTACAATTTACATAATACATATATAAAACAAAAAAAAATCAAATAACAAAATTATATATAGTTAAAACGAATTCGTGATTAAATAAAACATGTATAAATATATATAAAGCATATTAATTTTATATAATACGATAGTATTATATATATGTATGTACATATATATGTAGAGTCTTGATCGCGATACAGTTATATATATGTATATATATATTGTTGTGTAAATCAATATAAGAAGTAATGCAGTCGAAATACGCCATCGCCTCCATGGTATCTGCAGTCGGGACGCCATAGATTTATGGCTTACAGTTTTATATTGTGAGCTTTATCATGGGAGCGTCTTTGTTACTCATATATTATATATATATGTATGTATATGTATATATGTATGTATATTTGGAGTTTTTCCACCCCAAGGTCGCGTCCCAAATACTCTAATTCATGCTGTAGTTTCATAACGTTTTTTTTTTTAATAAATATTTTTTATTCTATATACTTATAATGTGCTTATATATATATATATATATATATATATATATATATATATATATATATATATATATATATATATATATATATATATATATATATATTATTATCATTACATACTATGAATTTTATTTATTTTATTAATGTTTTGTTTTAATTGTATATATGATGAGATGGAAATACGTCTTTTACATTTGGTGATAAAATCATTAGTCATTTAAATTGTTACAAAAATTATTAGCATGTACATAGAGTTCGTAGGCTTTAAAAGTATTTTGTGTTAATTATAATTTGTATAAAATATAATGTAAGTCTACTTCAAAAATTAATAATATAATCTGTTATTTTATGTAGAGTTGCAAAAAGTCTTAATTATGATTCAATTATTACGACGTTCACGAAAAAGGTCCAGTATTTATAAATAAATACTTAAATAACCCAAATAAATCATATAAAACTAAATTAAAATTCCAATATATCAAAAATCATTTGATAAAAATACGAAAAACTAATTGGAAAATAGAATCCAATGAAATAGATTGAAAAAGTTATAAGTAAAATTTCCTATGACGAAACCAACAAAATTTATTATAAAAAAAAACAAAATAAAATAATGATCTTGATAAATATTCACAATTTAATTTAAACTGAGTAAACATGACAATTAAATTTAACTACATTAAAAATCTCATCAATAACGATTTTTGGAAATTATAATCAAATCAAAATCCAACTCAAAAATGAAATATAAATTAAATTTATTTATGACAAAAAATTAATGTTATAGAAAAGAAACAAATTCAAAAATGGAATGTAATTTAAATAAATTCTAAAAAAGATTTAATATTATAGAAAAGAATCAAATTCAAAAATGGAATTAAATTTAAATTTATTCTAAAAAAAGTTCCAAAGTTATAGAACAGAATCAATTACAAAGCAGAAGCAAATTCAAAAATAGAATGTAATTTAAATTTATTCTACAAAAAAGTTCCAATGTTATAGAACAGAATCAAATTCAAAAATGGAATCCAATAGCTGTAGCGTCCGAGTCCGGGCGGGCGGTGTACAGTCAGCAACACTTACACTTGGAAATGATTAAATTAAATTAAATTTTAATACAATATACATAAGGTATATAAGTAGTGGAGTATTCCGTGTCTAGTGTATAGTACTGTGTGTGTATCCGAAAGTACCCGGGCGCAGTGGCCGGTGGCCGTCGTGCGTCGCTCGGTGTCTTAACGAGTATCCTCGATGTTGTCCGTCCCCCTCTAACGTGTTTTCTTTCTCTTTCTCTCACCTTTTCTTGCCACTCTCGGTGTTTGAATGTTTATCACTAACTGTTAATGTTGATATCTAGTTATATGTTTTCGATACACACGCCACAGATTATAAATGTATGTAAAGATTGATCTTAGTAATGTTTAATCTGTGGAGTTTGTATTGAAAAGTTTGTATATATATTAAGGTTAATAAATTCGATTAAATTTTTTTGTATGTACATATATGTTTATTTAATTTTGATGTATTTAATCTAATTTATTAACGATGTATGTGCATGAATCCTGAATGCACTCCCTACAAGAATGTATGCACGTGCCCTTTTCGTTTATATATATATATTTTTTTTAATCCGGAGGCAAAGGAAAGTCCATTAGTGGATTGGTGTGTGATTTAAAAACTCTTTGGTAAGCTGTATATAATCAATTATCCTTATGGCTATTCGATAATTAAATCACGTAAACCTATCGGCTTACTCGCTCCGATTATTCGAGCCGAAATACGAAAATTGAAATCGCAATTTTTGGTTCAATTATTTCACCAGAATCATGTTTTGTGAATTTATATAGTTTTGTAAATGAAATTATATGTGAAATTTAATGGAATTATGGATTTTTATATGAACAAGGGATAAGCAAATATTTAATTTTGAATTTGAATCTTTCACTGAGCTTTTAGGTACATTTTTTTTCTTAAAAATATAAATTAAATATATTTAGTATATATTTGAAATAATATTATTATTTCATCTTTAACGATACTAACTGACAGGTGACAGTGTCACCCGTAAAATTTATGTCACCGTTAAAATTCAAGAATGACATTGACAATTAAATAATTCCAATTTGAACGAAACTACCATAAATTAAAAAAATATAATAAAAAGGTTTTATATATTATATATGTATAATGTTTATAAATATTTGAATATTTATAAGAATTTCGTCTTAATGATCACGGTTGCTGAAAAGTAACTGAAACGTATGAGAATGTAGTTAAAAATAATAAAATACGCGTAGTAATATGAAAAATAACAGTTTCATGTTGAAATGAGTTTCTTAAACGTTATATTTATTCTTAAATAATGATTGCACTATATATCCCTACTAATATTATAAATGCGAAAGTAACTCTGTCTGTCTGTTACGCTTTCACGCCTAAACCACTGAACTGATTTTAATGAAATTTAGTACAAAGATGGAGTTGACCTTGAGTAAGAACATAGGATAGTTTTTATTCTAGACTTTTGAAAGGTTCTCTTTTAAACGCGATATAACCGAACTCCACGCGGGCGAAGCTACGGGCGGAAAGATAGTTATATATATACATATATAGTGAGTCATTTAAATAGTTTTGTTTGTATGTACCAAAATAACATAATATATTAAACATTTTATTCACTCGGATTAAATAATTAGTATGTTTAAATTTATTTATGTGATTTAAATCTTGTTTATACGAAGCTACACCAATGTAGTGTTGCTTTAAACGTTAATAGTTTTTGAGGAGTAGACATTGGATTGGCAGATTTAGGATTCGTAATAATATAATTGTGGTTTAAAATATATATGAGACATATACTATATATGTATATAGACGAAACCTCTCATCATTCAATGTATTCACGGTGCGTGTGTCGGGTCCATCGTTGTAGTGAGAGGAGCTTCAACAGTGACTGGGACTTGTGACCCAGGTGTAGGTTTAAGGGACCCTATCTAACGCGTTAAACGATCACCTCCACCGTCCAAGTTCCTCTCTCTACCAAACCTAATTTAAAAAGGTATATTCGCCTTAAATATATTCGTTTGAATATAAAGAATACACAAGTAAATTGGCTTCAAATTATTATAGTCTTAGTATTTTTTCATCATTTTATTATATAGAAAAATATGATAAGTGAGTACTCGAAAATGATTATTTTCTTTAATACAACATAAATATATTTGTTGAAAAATTCAAGTCTTATATCTAATATGAAAGTTACGGAAAATTATATTTTTTCTTCTTTTTTGGAACTATTATTTATATAAACGTTGTTTTATAGACAATTCTTTCAATAAATATACTATCTAGTGTCCAAATACTTTATGCATACATCAAAAATAACATGATTCATAATAAAACAATATAAAAATTAAATTAAAAACTTAATTTATAATAAAATAATAATTATTATATATATAACCATATTAAATATTAATATTTATGTACGGTGTATGAATATTCCCCGATAACTCGCTAACTCCGCCACATGCTACATCATTGTAAAGTGTGACCTGACTTACAACAAGTACTTCTTATCAAATATACCACTTAATAAACTTACTAGCATTTAGATTTGAATTAATTATTAATATATATGTATATAAAAAAATAAATAAATAGATTATTGTGTATATATGAAGATTTAAATATTAGAAAAGTAACTGATACGTCGGGGGTATTGTTTTTTACGCGTAGTAATTGTAATAATATATGGTACATTTAATTAATGTAATTTAATGAAATTTATATAATAAAACGAATTGATAGACACTTTCGTCTGTCCGTGATCACGGTTACTGTAAAGTAACTGAAACGTCGGGAGTATGTAGATAAAATAATAAAAAACGCGTAGTATATGAAAAACTTAGTTTAATTTGAGATGATTTTGATAATAGTTATTGTATTGAAATATTTGTGA